GGCAGATTGATTTCAATTAACCGTAGTTGTGCTCTCTACGAATTAATATGTAGTCGTCGCCTCTTGGGCATTGCTTATAATTAGCTTTATATAATTTGATGTATTTATTAAAATATTTTTTGAATAGAATTTTCTCTTATTTGCTTATACTTTTCAGTAGTAGACGCTGCTTGTGTAGTTTGAAAATCTGTAAATTATTCATTAAAACTGATACTTTGCCAACAGCTTAAGTGCCGGAAATTACAAAAACCTAATTGTACTATAGTTTAAACTCTTCACGACTTATCTGTAAAAGTGATGCTTTGTATTGTTTTTTTTTTGTAATAGAGAACGTGTCTGCCAACTCTTATCTTGATGTTATTTAGGTTTAGTTGCAAGAATTCTTCAAAGAATTCAACTTTAATATTGCCGCTTTGTATGTAGTTCGCATTTTTTGCATGTTGCTTGTTTCTTATTTAATGATGAACGCTTCGTACTATGTAAATACTTAACTGAATGTAATATGTGCTTTTAATTCAACCGATGAGTTTACACTGACGATGCGCCCGAACAAAAATATTGTTTTCTCATTTTTTCCAAAGGGAATGAAAGGGACAACAAGATGTTCGAGTGTCTCGATAGTGGAAACCGTCGACGCTTGTGTTTTAATATTTTATTTTAATTTCGAGGAATTTTTTTATTTACTTTGGTAACATTTCAGCTTTGGTGATTCCACGCTGCTTAAGACGCGGATCAGTATCATCAAATCAACTTTGATGCTTTCTAAGCTTTTACTTTTGTACACTAAATAATATAATAATTACATTTACTGCCACTCGATTTTAAATGCCCCTTGAATTTATGCTGTTTTTTCATTATCATTTTTTTGGTTATTTCTATTTTTGTTTTTCATATTTTAAATTACTTATTTAAATGAGATATTTTAAAAGAAAAATTATGAAGTGACATTGTGTAAATAGAAAATAACAGATAATTTTGTCGTCAGATGCGAGCACGCTGCGGAACCGCTGCGACAGCATGCCCTCGCGCGCTTGCTCCTCCTTCGAGAGCGAGCGCGCGCCGCCGCGACACGACCTGCTTGATGGTCAGACATATTGCATTGTTTATTTTGTTAATTATGTTCTATATCACTAATATCATTGCCTTGGATAAAGCAATAACAATGACAATAATGTTAACAAGATTCGAAAGGCCCCTATTAGGGTTTTAAGTTCTTTGTAATATAGTTTTAATTAATAAATTCTGAGTATGTAGTTTCTACAATTATATACAAAAACATAGTAAGTATATTCATTGTGGTATGCGTATCAGGGCTGGACTCGTCGCGCGACGACATCGACTGCGTGGAGTGGTACCGCACGCCGCGCATTCCTGAGGAGCCTGACTGCATCGACGTATCCAAGGACTTTATCAAGTACGTCGCCTTTCATTACAACGACAATAGACAAACAATAGTAAACAATATTTGCTTTAATTTTGTACTCAGTCAATGATCGAAATAAAATAATAATTTGTTCGTAGCCTAACGCGGCGCGGCGCGTCGGTCCAGCACTCGCGCACGTCGTCGCTGGGCGCGTCCTCGGGCTCCGCGGACGAGGGCTACCTCGCCATGGGGCCGCCGCCGGAGCCCTGCGGCGCCGCCCCGCCGCCCCCGCCCGCCTCGCTCTCCAGCGGCTCCGTCTGCTCCGGCACGCCCTCCACAGACCCTAGGTTTAGGTATGTAACTCAAACAAACAACTGTACCAAGAATCATGCTCGTTAGTCTGATATCCTTATGTGGTACATCCGCAGCGAGTACCAGCTGGAGCCGGCCATGTCGCACATCGCGGAGGAGAGGTCGGCGCGCGCCTACAGCGTGGGCTCGCGGCCGGGCGGCACGCGCGTCGAGCCCGCCCGCCTGCGCGCCTACAGCGCCGGAGCGCGCCGCCGCCCCGCGCCCCGCCCCAGCCAGGGAGACTTCCTCGAGCTCGACTTCTCCAACAACTCGCCCCCGCCCAAGGTCAGTCGAATAACTTTTTTATAATATTCATTTTCTTAGCCTATTGTAACATTCGAGTATTTCTGTATCATAGCCATTACAAAATTGTAAATTTGGAGAAAATGTTATTTTATTTAATTTTCACCAGGTGATAGTTCCTCGGACTCCGCCGACTATTGGCTTCTTCGAATCGAAGAAGAATACGGACGAGTACGTGGACATGTTGCCGCGCAACTCCGGCTACGTGGAGATGAAGCCCGGCGAGCCGCCCGCGCCCGCCGCCGCCACGCCCGCCACGCCCGACGGCTACGTCGAGATGACGTGCGGCCGCCCCGCCCACAGCGCGCACGCCCCGCCCGCCGAGCCGCCCGACACGCCCCCCCAGCCCGCGCCGCCCCACGCCGCGCCCCACGCTCAGGGGCAGCAGACCTCGCAGAACTCCCACCACTTGTCCACGGTTCGGGAGATATCGGAGGACGGGCGGCGCAGCCCCGACTCCTCCCAGTACGTCACCCTGGCGCAGTCCCCCTCGCCGGAACTCAAGGATGACACTAAATCGAAAGCGATGGACACGACTGATAATAAAAGTAGGTTCTAGTTTACATGTTTATGTTCCGTCTTAATGCTTCATTCGAAAAATACAATGTTATTACACAACACTGCGTATATAAGGCACGTTCATTTTGTACTGGAAGTTTTGACTTTACATCGGACCGTAAAATGAATTGGAGCAGTGCGAGCGTGCGCCTTATGCTTTACTAAACGTGATTGCAGCCTGTGAGACGAGCCCGGTGGCGGGCAGTCCCGGCGGCGCGCTGCACTACGCCGCGCTCGACCTGGAGCCCAGGCGCGCGCCCGCCGCCGCCGCGCCCCGCCTCTACACGCAGATAGACTTCCTGCGCAGCGAGCAGCTGCACCCGCACGCCACGTAGCCGCGCCCACGCCCACGTCGCCCACACAGCACGCGCCCGCGCCCGCGCCCACGCCGCACGCACGCGACCTCGAGCGACGGTTTGAAGTGAGATTGTACTGCGCCCCGCCTACATGTACACTCTGGTGAACCTGGAGTACGAACTGCGACATTTGTCATGAAACTAAATTACGGGAAAATGTTTATTTAAAAAGTAATATTGTGTTGACACATTCACTACTTTTTTTGTATAATTTATCGAGAGATGTGTAGGTACTTATTGTTGCTATATTTTTGTGATTGTTTGTATGTACAAGTGCACTCGTATTCGCAAACTTTATTATTGATTTGCCACATGCCCAAAGATGGACTCTAAAAACTTCACACGACACAATATTTCGTTTAAGATCAATCAAGTGTAGGGCATTTCTCTTTTCTCTGAATTATTTTATATTGAAAATTCGAGTCAAATGCGCGAATCTAACTATTTAAATTTTTATGACTATCAATTTGATATTGTGGACTAAGAAATTGATTATTCGAACAGTTGCAATATTTGATTAAGTAATTAATATCTTTTGATAAATGTTGCGCTTTTGTCTCGTACTGTCGTAAATGTTGCGCTTCTGAAGCTGTATATGTATCATGTAATCTTGTTATATTTTATTATAAATTCTTCTATAAGATTCTTAGCTAAATCAGTTAATTGATCGGAACGTATATAATTGACGAGCACTCGCAAACTATCGACTATTAGCACTTAGTATTATAACATGTTTTACTCAATTCATTTGTACTGTACGCGGTTATTGGATATTGTAAAAAAAAAATTAAAAATCATTTATCTTACGAAATGCTTGTTGCTAGGTTTAAAAATTCCTAATTATAAATATTTATTTATTTATTACCGCTATCGATAAACTATCGTCGGGTAAAGAATCATGCTGTATATATCTCTAGTACAATCGCGACGACGAATGTTAAACAAATTTTAAAATAAATATACAAAGTGAAAAAAAATGCAAAAAAGAATCGTCGAGATCGGTGATGGCGGTCGTGCGTGTGCCGATATTAAATACTAATTATATATATGTATAAAATAAATATAATTAACATAATGCAAGGGTTGTGAGAGAGGCCTAATGTAGTAGTCAGACTGTTCCCGGGCTGTGCGCTGTGCACTGGCTCCCGCTGGCGCGCACTGGCGTCCACTGGCGCGCACTGGCGTCCACTGGCGCGCACTGGCGTCCACTGGCGCTCCGCAACAGCTGCCCCACATTTGTGCAATTTACACTAAATCAAATACTTATGTCTACATTGTTATCGTTTAACTCCGGCTCAACTTAACTGTTCCCTTCGTTGATGTGTTCGCGATATTTGTTAGCGAAACTACTTTAAAATGGATATTCTGTCTTTATTTTACTTGTTGATTTGTTTCCGATTGTCTATGGTTGTACAGTTGACGAGGAAAGTGTTTGTTGATGTTGTGTTGATTGATGTGTGACGAATGGAACAGTTGACTGCGTTATATACAAAGAGGATTTATATAACACAAATCTTTTTTACTTTGATTGCGCAAATTTTGTATTAAAAGTGTTGAAATGTTTATATAATATCCGGGCTTGGTCTTTACTGCCGATCAAATTGTGGCCTTTAGCTTTTGCTCTATTTTATTTATGTTCAGATGTTCGAGTTTTTTTTTTGTTATTCAATGTTTGGTTGTATTTTTCACACTTTATGAAATTTTATTGTTTTGTTTTTCTATTAATGGATGACTCGTAATGTTACTTTATTCAATTTTCATTTTTTTGTTTTTATAAAGTAAATGTGTTTTGTTGACGATTGTATTTTCATATACAGTATGTTTTGTTTGACTTTATTTTGTATACTTCACTGAGACTGGAAGAACAAGCTCGGACTCTGTTATTTACAGGAATTATGTGTTCAAAACGTGTAGAAAAAGATGTTTTCATTTTTCATATTGTTAATGCAAAAAAAAAAAACAAAACGAAATTAGAAAAAAAACAAAGCCATTGTATAGTTATATATAATAATGGAGAATACAATTTTATTTGTTACTCGTAGTTTTTACAGTTCACACGATTTAGCACTTTTGTACTTTGTAATACAATATAGAGTCGCGTGCGACACAAAGCGACCGGTATATATGTGTACCAAGCTGATGCGCCCGCGCGCAACACTAGCCTCGGATCAAAAGCAAAATATATATTTTAATATGACGTTTAGTAAAATTTAATTTTTTTCTGACCGTACTAAACGATACGTCATGCGTTAATAGTATAATTATATGTGAATTCTGCCGACACAAGTTTGAATAAAGTCGTGATTGTTATATAAGAGTTATAAACTACAATTGTAATAATATGCTTGCGGTGGCGAACAAATTCTATAGCGATTTACCCCACGGTACTAGATCCCACTAAAAAACTGAATTATTTTAAGAAAAAATAACCCATCGTCAGACTGAGGCACTTTTATGTCACATAACTCATTACTATACAAGCTTCAGAGTTTGTTTAAAACGATAACGTGTCAATTACGCCATTTTTAATATTAGTATTTGAAGTTGTAATATTTGTTTGCAGCCGCGAGCCTCCACCCGCCGGATTTTTGTTTTACATAAGTGCAATTAGCGCCCGCCCTGGGCGCCCACATCCTACTAGTCCCGCGTGTTCAATACACCAGCGATAGTTGTAGTCGCACCTTGCCGCGATCCCGACCTACACGAGCTGGCTGACTGACTCAACACCAAATTTTACAATAAACGTATTTAATAGAAGTCCCCGCGGTCGTGTGCCACAACTTCGCATAACTCCTCCCCCGATGGAGGAATCTTAAAAGGCTCCTCCCGACGATCGCGCGCCTCGCTCACAGAATTAAACAAAATTGGTTCATTTATAGTGGGTTTCTGAGACCCAAAATCTTTGACAAAACGGAGATACTATGTTTTAAATGGGGATTGTGGTCTCAGAAATTCACGGTTATTTGAATAATCGGTTTGGATAGTGTTTTGCATGCGATATTAACGCTTTTAAGGTTATGTACGAAACATAATACAGGCCGGTTCCGAACTTCTAGTACAATAAGACTGCCGATTATCATTGTAGTCAGTTTGCACAGACATGGAGCAGAGCAATGTAATGTGCTTACCTCATTGGTTCCCATCTCCATGTCTTTAGGTGAATTGCTCTCGAAATATGCTCGCATTATTGTTTTAATTTGAATATATTCGACGTATAATATCAACTTTCACGTAGATTTACTCCAAACCAGTGATATCCAGTGATTTGTTAATAGATTGTAATAATTTATTAGACGAAAATTATTAAAAAAAAATGGCGCGTTAAAGTCCAAACGGTGTACGTATAAGATACTGAACCGATTTGGATTTCTTAGTGGAAAATTATAAATATAGGATTAATTGTATGTATGTATTAATTTGATACATATTTATTCTTGTCAGTATTCTACGTGAAAGTTATATGTCGACTGTGCCGTAGTGTAGTTACTCTCGCTAGCCCGTGCCACCTCGCAGTTTTTTAGATGTACGTTGTATTGTTACGATTAATTTTATTCCACTTAGAATGTAAGAGTTGCGATTTAGTGTTAAGGATAACAGACGCGTACGGAGTTTCTATTGGGATATGTTGTCCCATCGTCTTCAGTTGCCCACTGCCCACTGCTGGGATGTTAGCGTTCATTTTATTAACACTAATATTATTATAATGTGTATACAATAAGGTCACAAAACATAAAATAGATTTTTATTAACTAATCATGTCAAGAATAAAAAAGGTCTGTTTTACTTGAGAAATTATTCAGCGTCTCTAACTTAAACCTTGTATCCTTCTGGCCGAACAAGTGAAAACTTTCACTGCGTTTCTCATATATTTTGCCTTTATCCAAGGGCGATCTGTTTTCAATTGTGATGCTGAATACTAATTACAAATCATGTAAAACGAAATAACACTTTCTAAATCGGTCTCTGAAGCCAATTTTCTCTTCTCTAATCATAATACTATTACAAAAACAGATAAATTTTACTCTGTTAATGCTTCATTAAAATTGTTCGCTCGATTTCTTTTACATCGTTAAGAATGATCGGCGTAGTGCACGCGACGTACACGCGTGCACGTCGCGACTCCGTGCTGTGACGTCATGACAAAATGGAGTTTCAAAATCTATACTAGTCCGATTGCAATTATTGCAAAATTAAATAGTTTTTGCATATAAAAAATAATGTTCCTGTAACGGCGTAAATAGTGATTTTTTTATAATGTTAACATTAAGGTTTACTATATATTGTGTAGAGCAGTTCACGTTATGTTAGGTTTAGTGCGTACGTGGGGAACAGGCGCGCCGCAGAAAGGGGGCGAGGTCGCGGGGGGGGGATCGCTAAGGAATTCTGTTTTGTTTGAAAAAGAGTAATATTTTTTTACAAATGGTGCTACTGTTTTGTGTTTTAGTGAATGAGGTGTGTGGGGAGACAGAGACAGAGCGAGATGAGGGGTGGGGAGGGGGGCGGGGCGCGTAGTGACGTAGCGAGCCATCACTCACAAGTAGATGTATTTAGCTTTTGTAACCGCGGAGCGTCCGGCGACCGGACGCGCCCTTATTGAATTTCTAAATGTAATTTTTTTGGTACGTTACATTTTGTTTACTTTCATATTACGATTATATTGTAAATAAAAATAAAAGCTTTGGATTTGAGCGTTTGTTTCATTCAGACTATAACAAGATGCAAATTATTGTCACTCTATGAACAACTGGAATTAACTCGACATGTATCCGAGGACGGAGGTGAGAAATAATGAAAATATTTCAAATACAATTTATTATACACATACCATAACACAAACATCATATATAACCAAATTACAAACATACAAAATTTTACTCAAACAATACCAAACACCAAATATAACATAGTAAATGGCAATACATATGAATAACGATTATATGACAAATGAGCGGAGCTCTTATTTACTTTTTATTGGTTAAACTTAATTATTGGTAAATATTTTAAATGCACTTTTGACCGCGATACAAACAGGTCACTGATTATGTATCACAACAAGAAACATTAACACAAAAACTTCAAGACGAATCTATGTTTAACAATAACTGCAGCAGCAGGTTTTAGTGAAACGTTTTTATATTTAAAGAGATGACTTATCTTATACATAATGTCAATTTTAAAACAGATTATATAAGCACAACTATAACAATAAGTAAGGCAGGACACCTTGAATTAACTGAAATTTTGTTACAACAGATTCTGAATTTGAGCAGATTCATGGCACAGGAGTTTCTTAACAGTTTTATTATAACTAAAAATGTATCAGGTAACGAAGTGGAGAGTGAATTACATAATAGATTTATTCGATATACGAAAAAAGACCGGTAAAAACTTTAACATACAAAATTGACAGAGTAGTTTGATTTTATTAGCTAGGTGGAAAAATCAAAAGCGTGACACGATTTAACATATGAAAATTCAAATAAATATATTGTCAAAGCAAACTGAAAGGTGAAAAGTAAATTCTATATTTAAGTGGGATTAAAAAAACAACAGTAACAAAATCAAGATGAGTGAATTATGAGAAATCAATAAATGTTTTATTTATATATAGATATATAAAAAAGTCGTAATGAAAACTTACACTAAGTATGGAATAAATACATAAGAATCTGTGTAACCAAGTTTGTGTAATAATGGTGGGGTTATGTTGATTATGGCAAAACGGAGGTGAGAAAGTTAACGCACTCAAATTGAACATTTAAGAGTATACCAAGTCCTATAATTAGCATAATAAATACATTTAACATAGATTTAGTCGTAATTTTCAAACATTGACCCATTTTCGACCTGAAAATTGTCTAAGAAGCTACTTGACCAGTTAACCGGACAAGACGTATAAATGCGTGAGGCGTAAACAATATCGATTACGGTTAGGACATATGAATACGTCCTCAAAAATTCTATTTTGTTTACTTGCTCTTAATTGTTTTGTGATTCCTTTTGTACTTTAAAATTATTAATAAACGATATACATTTCATAATTTATCATTCATTTTATGAATAAATTAAAATATAGAAATATGAAATGACGGTCTCCGGGCGTGACGTATTGACACGTCCTAGCGAAACAATACGCGCCCGGTACATGTTGCATAATTTGAACGAGAACTCCCCGGTTAACAGGTTAATTACTAATTTATCTAAAACCCATGTGAAAAGTTCATTTACAACACCAAAACAAATTACTAATTTTATTTTCTTCAATCATTCACCCGAATAGAAAAGTTTAAGGACATTCCGTACATATTCATTCATACGGATTTAACACATTTATTCCATGTTTATGTAAATCACTTAACAAAATAATTATGATTCATCTTACTTAAAATTTTGCATCCAGACACACGGCTGTACTTCTAATATTCTAATACTTCATGTTGCCAATTATAACTTAAACGAAGCCTTCTAAAAGGCATATCGTTTGTTACCATTATATATTCTAAACTATAAGTCATCCAAACTAAATGCACTTGTTTTAGTAAAGTACAAAATCCTTATCGATACATCTAAATTGAGTGTGTTAACTTATCTCCATTGATTCACAGCAAGTGAATACATAAGGTACATGTAACATTATTTCGGTGGTGATCTACCATTGACGACTGTTGGAGTGTCCTTCCACGATCTGCCTTTCCTTACCGTCAATTTCTTCTTAACTACTCTGGTGACTGAAATCTCTTCATCTGAACACAACCGCTTCTTTGGTTTAGTCTTTTTTTCTTCTAATGTAAAAGAATCATCAAATATATCACCACTGGAGTCCGCAGATTTGTTGTCTTTTGCCGCACTGAATGGTTTCTTAGTGCCAATAACTTCACAGATGGGACTGTCAAAGGAGACCTGTCGCGGGCTTCGCTTAGGTCGCTCAGTTGATGTCTGTGTCGCCATGTTGGCGTGGTTCTTTTTAGCTGGCGGTGTTGCTTTCGGTGTCATTTTAGTTTTCTTCACTTTGATTACTAGTGATGGTTCCAATGATTTCCTTTTAATTGGTTTCCTTAATGTTCTCTTTGCACGCGGCTTATCCACAGGTTCCTCATTTTCACAGTCCTCTGTCTCCGATTCAACAGGTTTTTCAACTTTCTTTGTCCTGCTGACCACTTTCTTGACAACTTTCTTTCTTTTAGTTTCTTTCTTATCTACCTCTTCAATTTCTTCTGCATCATCTTCATCTGTGTCTTCAGTTGTATCATTTTTACCTTTTCGTTTCTTTGTATTTTTGAATTCTAATTTACTTGTTTTAGTTTTTCCTTCGCTTTTGAGATAGCTTTCTAATATTTGTCGACATTTTGCATAATTTACTTGCTCCTTTGGCTTCAGTGAATTTATATATTCAAAGAACTTAATTAATGCATCTGAAAATGTTTTTTTTTGTCTATTAGCATATGTAACTGAACTGAAACATACTGTAAGAAACACAGTACTATCATTTATAAAATGAGGTATCTAGATGACTTAAAGTTTATCAAAATTTATAAAATGATCATTTGGGATAAGCTCACCAGGTACATTGGGGTAGTTTTTGGAGATTTCACTGCGAACATTCTTCATGAACGCCTCCTTCATAGTCTGCACAGTCTTGGGCTGCTTGAGGTGCTTCTCCCAGGGCAGCTCCCCTACTATCCACTGCAGCATATTGTAGCCCAGAATCTCTAGGTCACCACGCATTGTGGACACTGTGCAATGTTTTGATGTTTATAAATAAAAAAAAACATGCATTACAAAATACGTAAAAAGAACAAAAAGTTGTTTGTAGATTGTAAAGTAGGATCTTTTTGCACTGGTGCCATCTACTAGATGTCTCAGAGCCTCACCAGTGACGCTAGGGGGTTTTAGTGAATAAAAACCTGTTCCCTGCCAGGAGCTGGGTATCTTTTATAAGATTTCGCCCAAAACAAAAAACCGAGTATAATCTCACTAACCTCCAATATGAGCATCTCTGCTAGTGTACTCAATGGTACCATTATGAGCACATTTAGGGTCCGGCTTGAATTCCTTATCATTCACCCGTGTAGCAAGACCAAAGTCTACAAGATAAGCCTGGTTCTCCGTGCCTTTCTTTAGACCCAGAAGTATGTTGGCTCCCTTAATGTCAGCATGGACATAGCCTTTACTATGTATGTATTCCAGCACATCCAACTAAAAACATAAAGTTTACTTTGATTTTATAAATATATTACAAACATAACAAATTTTACTGTTTCAATGGTATGTTTCTTACCATTTGTAATCCAATTTGGAAGACAGTTGGCACAGGAAATGACCGCCCCGACTCCTTGAACAAACTCCACAGGTCCTTGCCATACCTCTCCAGAACTAAGTACCTGTATTTCTCTCCTTTGAAATCATGTGACCCATTGCCATAATATGATGGCATACCTAACGTTGACAATTTCTTACTTTGCATGAATTTGGCAACTGAAAAGATTTACATTATAATTAAAGTAGTATTTATTTGTGTAGATTGTCTATAAATATTGATTACAATAAAGAAAAAATAATTTATATCTATAACTTACTATCATCCTTATTGGCATTTCGTATATAAAAATGCTTTTCCACAAATAGTGGACCATTCTCATGTGGTTCCTGGATAGAACAAAGCATTTTATGTATTTCATTCTATCATTGTAAATAGTTCATTTGAATTTGAAACATTTTACAAACAAAATGTTCTAATAATAAGATTGTTTAAGGTGATGGAGTAATAATTACAATGTTCATTTTTAACCACCTAACTTGGTTTAGGATAGTGTTTTAAGTCATGTTATGAACATTATTTTATTTATAATACTGATGTAAAAAATATAGAAAAAAAAAATAAAGCAAACATTAAGACTACATGACTTATTACAGAGCAACAAAATATCCTGAAGTGTTTTTTCCAACAGGAAAACAAAACTTAAATGCTGATTTGCTAATGGCTTAATACATGGATTTAGAATAAAAAGGTTTTTTTTCTGAATATGTTTGGTAATCGTTTACAACTAGGTAATTTTTAAATATTAACAAAAATACTCACGATTTTTACGACATAGGGATAATTTGAGCCTTTCTTAGGCGAACCCTCATGTTCACAAGCTGAGTAAATTTCACCAAACCCGCCAACTCCTATCGAAGGACCGATGCGCCATTTCTTTTTAGCTATGGTATCGTGAATTACTTCACCTAAAGGAATCGGTGCGGGCATTTTATAGCCGTTGGCTTTCTTTCTCGGCGCGCTAGCCTTTTTCGCTCTCCCGGACATTTTGAATTTACGCCGTAAACTATCAAACTAACAATTTAAATAATATAATCGACGAGTAACTTATAGTAATTATTTACAGTGAAATATACAACAACCTATAATAATGTAGCTATACTAAATCTAATTCTAAAAGTATTTGTCGATTTTCGGCTTTGCTTTTGTTGACACAATTGACATTAATTGTCAAACGAAGAATAGACAAAATGTCTGGCGGTTCGTGCAGTGGCCATAGAATAAACAAGCTAATTGGTTGCGGCCATTTTATATACTCTTTGGTTGCGGCATTGTTATAAAGATAACAAATTGAACTTTATTGGGATATTTAAATGCTATATTTTAAAATCTTCAATTAAATCCTCATTTATATAGCATAATTTACAGGGATGCAGTACTAATTATAAATTTGTCTTATCTTAGATTCCTGCTTTCATGTCAAACTAATGGGCCAACTAAATCGATCCTTAAGATTAGTCTGATGATAACTTTTTTTTATTAGTTCGGCCGGTATGACCTAATTATATTGTGTTGAGGATGTCCATGGGTGGCGCTGATCACTTTGTTCTATACGTTCCTAAGATAGGTTTAAAACATCTTCAGGTAACAGAAATTAATTGCAACAAAAGCAAATAAAAGTCATTGATGTAACGAGCAAACTTTAATAAAAACTCTCAAACACGCAATACAATTAACACATGTACTATATTCGTTATACAACATATTTTACAATTTCACTAGCCTTATAATTAAATTTTAGTTTATAAACATTATTAAAAATATCTATATTAAACTAATTCTATGATTAGAAAAATAAATAATAGCATAATTAAGTAACAGTCGATTGTAACTTTGATCTTACATCACTACTTTGTTTTTAAATTGTGATTAATTTATGGGCGGTAAAAATGTTAAGAACTGGAAAAACATAATATTTAATTTTTCATGGCAATTCAAATATTTATTCTCAAAAGTATGGTTCTTCAGGTGGGTTTCTCAAATGTTCTTGACATCATAGTGTTGAGAAAGAAGTCATCTGAAAATTGAGAAAAGAAATTAAATAAAATATTACACATGAAATCAAAGTTTTCGTTCTAAATTATTATAGGGTGCTTTAAAGTAATTGACCTATACCTAACCTTCACAGTTAACGTATAAAATATCAAGTTAAAAACTTACATTGATCAGTAGAAGTCATCGTCATCATCGTCATACGCCATAGAGTACCAGTCTCTCGCCGCATCTTCATAAATGACCTGTCTCACGTGCTCGTCGTATTGCGGCCGGAGCAGGCGTGGCGAGCGCGCGCGGAACTCCAGCGGCACGTCGTAGCAGCGGCACACGCAGCACGCCGGGAACTTGAACCAGTCAGCGAAGATTCCGCGACATTCGTTGCGTGGGTCGTACGCCAATAGCCGGTGCAGACGGTACTGCTGTTCGCAACTGGAAATGACAACTAGGTATTTTAAAAACTCTCTGGTAAAAACATGAAGTAAAGCACAAACAAGAATAGGGTAAAAAAAGACAATTAAGTGCTCAACAATCAGATGGTTTAAATTTCAACTATCATCAAACACGTACAACACTATTGCGGTCTCTTTTTTAAAGAATAATGAGGTGAATGACAACATTTTGTGTCACAGTTGCCACGACAGTGGAGATTCACTCTGCATTACGAAGTAGTTAAGGGCAACCTACCGGCAGCCCTCTCTGCAGTACATTTGCTTGCGCTCGTGCACACAGGTCTCGAGGTGTATATACTGTTCGAATGGGTACATGTTAAGTAGCGCCAGCACCTCGCCGCGCGTGCTGTTCGCCCAGAACGGCGCTGCCATCTCTTCTTTGGATTCACAAGCGTTTCTAAAAAATGAAAATAAATTAATACCGAGAAATCCTAGTATGATACGATCACACTCGCGTTAAGCATAAACATATTACTTACGCTCCTCTTAACTTAATCACAGACGGTCTCAGAGATTCTGGTTGCGTCGGCTTTGGATATGTCTCCTCTTTTTTATCAGTAACTTTGGTATCAATCTTGTCGTTCTTGACTTTCTCATGCTCAGAGAAGAGCAGCGTGGGTGGTAGAGTAGATGCGTCAGTCATTGGCTTCCAGCCGTCCTTGACTGACTCCGTTGTTGTATCGTCGTACTGGACGTAAGTTGTTTCTGTTGCATTTATTGTGTATTCTGTTGTAGTGGTTTCATTCCTGTCAGTGTTATTTTTGGAATCGCTATCATCTCTCAGAGGTTCACTTTTCGAACTACCTAGAAATGTTGGATATAAGCTATTAGTCTCTATAGTCTGTTTGATGACCGCTTCTAAAGTTATCACGTCTGGTTCTAAATTATTTATTTCTATATTGGCTAAACTTTGCAATTTTGTTTTATACGACACTTCCTTCTCATCTATCATCGTTTCATTGTTTGTGATTTCAGTAGCATTGTTGTTGCCCGTACTGTTTGTTCTAGAGTTGTTCGTGTAGTTTTCGAGTGGCTTAACTTTTAGGGTATCATTGTCAAATTTCTTATGTTTATCGGTCTGTATCGGTCTAAAGTGAGGTTTATCTTTCATGGCACGTGCTTGACTTTTCTTTGTGTACATTAATTTTGCTTTTATTATATCCTCCTCGAAATCGCTGGACTTTCTTTTACCGCCCTCGTCGTCGTCTTCTATAAAGTTTTCTAGCTCCGCCTTCAGTACCGATATATGACGCTCTTCGCCATACATTCTTCTCATAAGTCCCTGGAATAAAAAAAAGGAACAAATTTTATACGTTGGAATCGATTTGATTTAAAAAATCAATTAATTATTTTATAATAAGATGTCTTTAGACTTGCCTGGTTCTCTCGCACAAAGCGGCGTATGGCGTGCCAGGGGTAGCCGTTGCCCGGCGTTGCGCAGTAGGCATGTCGTGCGAGGTCGCAGGGCGGGGCTGGCGGCGTCCGGGGCTGCGCGCGTGCGCGGCTGGCGCGGTGCGGCCGCGTGCACGCCGCCGACGCGTAGTCGTATGCGTCGCACCATCGCCACGTCGCCTACTTGCGGAAACAAACGATGGGTTTTTAGTAAAAATTCAGTTACATAAGTTTCGAGACAGGTTAGATAAATTACTGGTATCCTTAATTATTGTCTGAATCTATATTGAAGTTATGTATTGAGCTGACTGACGCATCGCCCCAGTTGGCGATGATGTTAATTCACTCCTTACGCTGCCATCCTTGTCGCAGAGAGAGCGTAGAAAGTCTAGGCAAAAGTGAAAACGTCTGGCTCCCAATCAGAGCACAATTAGCGTGTGACACTCTACGTTTACTTTCATTTCGGTCACCAAACTAGATTAGGACGCCCTCGATAACGGCAATGATTCTTGATCTTTTAACAAGTAATCAAATTGAAAGAATCATAAGTATAGCGTAACTTTTTGTATACAGCATCAAAGAACAAAGACAACGAGACCAGACAGAGAGAACATACGACGTGTGCTAGCTCTGCGGCCGCAAGCGCGACGCGCGTTACCGAACAGTCCCGTTAACATTAAACGTACCGAATTCATCGCATCTCATTCGATATTTAAGTTAACAGTTCGGTTGCTAAATGCTAACTGTATCTGGGTTTAGATGTCATGGATTTAACTAAATCGAGTAATGGTAGAATCAAGAGAAGGGCTAACAGTACAGAAACTATTGAGGCCTTTAACAGATAGCTACTTACTAAAGCCGTAACGCTGGTCGACAAAACCAGCCTGATTATTATTAGAAGAACATACTAAAAATGAGATAAGACAACCAGCTAGCAATGACTTAAGTTCTACATCCGTAAACAAAGCAAACAGAAAACATTTAAAACCAGTTTGTAAGAGGCGCGTGGTGATTATATAAGGAACAAAAGAGTGTTAAGGTGTGTGCCACACTGGCAGGTGCGGGACACACACGGCAGTGAAAGTGACCGCTGGTATTTGGGAGCGGGCTGTGACGTCACAGCGAGACCGGCGATCTATTTATCTGATAATCGGAATATCGGAAAACTTTGGCCTTTTGTTAGAGCAAAGATGCAGACGGCAAAATTATGTCTAAATTAAACTTAATGTGACATAAAAGCTTAAATACTGACCATTTTACAAGAGTCAAAAGTTTATTTTTCTTAAAAGTGTCCAGACAAATATTTTGTACCTGAGGGTACTTTTTATTACGTGAGATCGTCTCCCTTAGTTTCTGAGAGTCGAGGTCGTGTCCATTTCTCGGGCAAAATTTATCAGTTGCCAGCTTTTTCGTTATAACAAAACTACATAAAGTACATCTTAATTAGATACCTCGTCTAATCGTACATCATTCATTACCACTCCATTAGTGGTATCCATAAATTCAGTGTACTCAATACCTTCGTATGTAGTAAATACTTTCTACACAAATTACTGTTATAGAGAAACCTATATAAAATAATAAATGCGTTTTAGATAAAAAGAAATATAAAGAAAATTAAAAGACGAATGGATTTATCCACCAAATGGTTGGTTGAGGTAACTGGGTTATAACTGGCAAGGTAACGAGGCGACGCGATGGCCACTTTCGCCGGCCTGTCGCTTGTCGCCTGTCGCCCGCTGTGATGTAAATTATAAGTCACATCACTTAACGCCATTTTTATGACACGTTACGTCATCTAGAAGTTAGCAACACTAAGTATTTTTTTAAATTGGGTGAATTTTTGGAAACTTACTTTTAATCGATTTTGATTTTTAATTTTGTGTATATCAATTGTATCTTTAAGATAGAAAAATTCAATAAATTTCTAGGAATATCGTCCTAATTAGATTTCTTAAAAAACTACAATTAAATTCCTAAAGAACGATATGTAGTTAAAAACGTTAATTTTGTAAAGTGGTGGAATAATTTCGAATTTCATTATATTGTATTTATTAATTGCCAAGATACTGGGCACAGGCCAGCAACTGCCCCGAATAAATATTAGAACTCGATACAGAAAAGTCGAACGGATGCTCTCGAATGAGAAAACTCGTTTCCTCGGTGTGTTGATCTGATCATAAACTGATTTTAACCGTCTGAGCTGGCAAGTAATTACGTCAAATTTATAATAATAAGGTTTTATAATATTTGTTAGTAATTTAACTTACTAAAGATGAGCGAAAAGTAATAGCTAAAGATATTAAAGATAAAATTTACACAAATTTAATTGATAAAGGTTTTGAAATCTAAAACGACTGCACCTAAGTTTTGAAAGTTTTCATCGTCTCGTTATAAATTCTACCTTAACATTGCATTAATTTTATATCGATACAAACATAGAATACATGTTGTTCAATTATAAACAGTTTCTGGCAACAATATCGATCGATTACTGGGAAATATTGATAAACCATCTATCTTCCACAAGTTCTGATATGTCTGAGTGTATGCAAAAACACCGATTTTTATATTCACGAGTTAACAATCATGTTATTGCAACAGCAAGTTTAACGTTATTTACACTGAGAGAGAGTTAATTTGTTAATTACAGAACAATGTTAGAGGGTGAGATAGAGAGAGTTTGGTCCCGGGGGAATCTTCCAAAACATAGGGTATCTAAGAGAGCACCGCGGGCGTTCCTTTATTAGGTTTAGAATTCCTCAACTCAGTGACGTTATTTCATATGCAAAAAATAAATATTCATGAATTGTATGCAATTGTACACTTACACTGTCTACTGTCTGTTTTGGCAAATCTATCTGAGGCGGATTATTCGTGGACAGCTTCGAAAAGCTCCCAAATTTCGTTGCTTTTAGAATCAATAGTAGCTTTTATGTATGTACTTTATGTAGCATCGTTTTTGCACTAACTGTGGTTCCTAAAACAAAAATTAATTGTTATTGCTATGAATTCGCTACATAGAGGTCATGTAGGCACTGGTCATTAAAAGTGGGTGCTCAATCGGCCGGCCTCATTCCCACGTTCTCTAACTTGGGCCCGTTGCTATGACTTGTTGCTAGCTCTATTTGGTATTGTTAATGTGCGAGTATTGCTTTTATCAGATAAATAATCTAATTTTAATACTACGCACGTAACATATTACCTACAATAATAAACAACAAAGAAATTCGGATATATAGGTGTTCGAACATTATGCCCGCTCGAATTTGCACGAGTCGCTGCACAAAACAATTTTGGGTATCGAATCCAAGAGGATGCGGGGGCAGAACACATGCTTTAGCTCCTTTTCCTCTAACCAAAGTGAGCCTATATTTTTAATTTCGTAATAAATGCTTCTGTTTACTCTACAACTATATCATTTGTCTGCGAGATGACAGCGCAGCGCTGCGTGGGCGACCATGCGCCGGCGTAATCGGGAAAGTTGTGGAGAAATTACCGCAAGGCTGCATTTAAACTACGTTATAATACACGGGAATAAGGTAACGTGAGTAGAATCACATCATTTATGCATTCGTTTAATGCTTATAGCAGATATGTTATTTAACATAGGAGTTGTTAACGGATTCGAAATGTTTACTACTTTTATACCTATTCCTCCCAATCGTAGTGTTTCCGATTTAGTTTTATCGCTAACTTAGGTTTAATAAACTTGATTAGGGTTAATATAAACTATTTAATCTTTGCAGTTAGTAGCGGTGGAATTTTTAGTTTTAAAATGTAATTTTGTATTCTTCTCTAGTGTAGTTAACAGATTTCTATATACTCGTTTCAATATAGTCCTGGTAAGTTCAATGAACTTTCAATTCCCACAAGACATTAAGAATACTTACCTTATCTACGTTGAAAACATAACAGAGCATTGTTTGAATACTTGCACATTTGATTAATATTGAAACAAGGTTAGTTTAAAATATCATTGACAGACTGTCATTTATTGGTTTTTAAGGTACTCCCTTAGTGCAGATTATTAAATCTACACCGAAGTATTACTTAAGTTATCATCAAACAACACTCATAATGGAAGGAAGTGTTAAATAGGATTAGAAGTTTAAGCAACGATACTTTTTGGAGAAAATTATATTTATTTTTATTAGAAATATAAAACGTTACACTTTCTTATTGAACACTGACTCATTGTAAACACGATATTTTGGCAAGAGATATTTATAATTTATTCAAATTTATACCACCTCGAAAACACTTGGACCCCAAATTTTCCAGTTCAAAGGAAAATTTGCATTTTATATCCCAAAGCGTAACTTAAAGAAACACCCTCGTTTAGCACTTTTAACGTAATTAGCACTCACCACAAACAGAAAGGCGATCGCAAGCCGCATTTCTCTATCGAACTTTCACTGTGAACGCACTCGGCAGGCACATGGTGAACACGACCGTTGGCCACCGCGGTTGGCCACCGACTGGTAGGCTAAGGCGCTTTCGCATCGCTCCCTGTCAAGGACTGCATCAGATGCACTTGATTTTTATTAGCGATCGAGAACCCTAAAGGAAAAGTAACCGGTACACTTGTCAGCGACTAGTCTAGCCGTTGCCGGACGGCCGGCTCCCGTGATTTCGTCCGGTGCGTTTTATATGGCAATACCAGATCACGGCACCTCGTAACAGTTTCACGGCGCGCTGTCATTTAACGCACTTCCGTCGATAAATCTCAGAATCTCAGATAGATATTTATGCCATTACTATATCTGTAGGTTATGATGCCGTTAACTTTTCATACAATGTTGCCTAAGGGCCCATTTGTTACTTTAGATACTCGGCTGCTTTACCGATACTCCTTATCTGTGAGGTTCTATGTTTCTATTAGCCTCTATAAAGCTTTCTTTGTCTTATTTCTTTTGTATATTGTTTACGTTTCCAATTCGAATGAGATTTAAATTTATTTAGAAGCGTAGTGCGCGTTACTTGCGTTATAATTTCCGTACTGAGTGATATATCGACATCTGCGCCGGTTGTATTGAGAGCAGAGCGCGCACTGAATATTGATTGCTTGTTTAGTCAACATTTAATGACCAGTTTAGAGCAATGCCATTAGTACCATTCACTAACCAATGCTTCGCTTACAGACCATTTATCTTGGCTTTGGAAAATCATTGTACTACCCCCTGTAGTTGTAGCGTTTAGACAAGCTATTTTAATAGCCATCTTTACATTAAACTTTTACGGCCTCATTCAGAATGCTTTAACGAGCACTATGAGTAACGAGTACGATCAAATATCGAAATTGCCAAAGGCTTCTCAATGATAACTTCTTTCATAAGCATTATGAAGAAATTGTTCAGAGTTTTAAATAGAAATATTTTAAAAAGCATTGGTATTTTATTATGCATAAAAAGGGATTCCATCTGAAAAATCCTTGTCTCTCTATTCTGGGACTTGTAGTTTGGTGGTCAAACTCTAACCGCTGATTTACTTGTGTCCAAAAAGTTATTGCTTGTCTTAAGAAATTTGCTATTGTGCGGTTGCTAAGTTCATTAGTGGAAGCATTTTACTTGCTGCTTTTAGGAAACTTACGGGATTTTTACGTACACTAGGAAATAATCTTACACCTCATTATTTTATAATTTGTTCCCCATGAAAATTAAAAATATGTGGAATTTTGTAATGAAATGAATATGAACATAAACTTACTAATATTAGAAAGGTACATATTATGAATATAACAATTATTTTTTAATTAACGTGAGAAGAAGTGCAGACACAGTAGAGTCTTTTATAATTGTTATTTCACGCCATCAACATGGTAGAATCGCATTACATTGCTAATTCACGCGACGGAAAAATTAGGTTCCGCTTACTGGCAAGAAAGAGTGTGTACGATTGAGTAGGTCAGTCGAGTAATCGTTCACTGGCCGACGCTCGCGGCTGTCTCTATCCAGCTTACCATCTGTGCGATATGTTAGAGCGGGACAGGGAGCGTGCGCGTGCTCGGAACCGTTATCCCGCGACTATATCTTGAATGAAGATGGCGTTTTCTCCCGCGTCAAAACAATGGCGCCCATTAGGGTTACCATTTTTTGTTCTTTAAATATTACGCATAATTTATTTATATTTCCTATTAAACTTCTTATTTATGAATGTATGAAAATAAGTAACAGAACCAGAAGTGATATGATAATTTTAACAATGTATACTACATATCAACTGCAGCTTTTATCTTTCATTCATTCCGTTTACTTTCCATACTACTCACCTAATAACTCTTATATTCTCTCTAACCCTGACAACACAGATATAGGTAATTCTTGCCAGTTACGGATGTTCTTCGTTACTGTTAGCAAAACTATTGTTAAAATCTTTGTTTTAATTTTTATTTTTCAGGCGTGTAGTCACCCTACTTGAGTTGCAAATTGACCTGCCACTTTAAAATCGAAAGGTGCCCCTGATCGGGTTTAATTACCTCTGTCTGGTTAGTGTCAGCCTGTCAGCGCTATTTCTCCCGTGCGTACACTATCACGGGCTATATCGATGACATGTCATTTGTATTAAAATTATTTTAACTTCATAGATTTTCTGATCGTCAATTTTGTACATGAATCTGAACCTGTACAAGTCTGAACATGTTATAACTTGTCATGTTACGACTATCCAGTTATCTTATAATATATTTTTGCTTTAAAAATACACCATGAGTTATTTCCTTTACAGACGAAGTTAATTATGAGTTGTAAGTCGGACAGTTTGTTCAAGTTTGATGTTTACGAGTCTCAGACACTGCTTAACCGATTTACCGACACTGTCAATATGCACTTGAGAGAAACACTCACTATAGACCTAGAGTTTGTTGCTTATGCGAAAGTCGACCTAATTTTAGTAGAGAGTTAAATTTTAATTGAAAGACTCTGAAAATGTCCAATTACTTGACGACTTTAGTACTACTAGTAAATATTATAAAATTATTAATTAAGTGGTGAAAAATTTTAGTAAAGATTAATAAAAATTATTTTTTGGGTTACTTGGACTTAAGATTAGGACTTAGATATTAATAGATTTCGTATCACACTTTTGTGATGCTTATATGTAGGGTGCCAGGTCGCCAAACCTAATAGCCGGACAGACCACCCAGCTAAGCCAAACATTTTTGTAGAAAGGCCGGACACCCTACATTATTTAAGGATTTTGTCTATATGCATTGTCGCTTGCACTCGGCTACTGTTGTTTACGAAATTTAAAAAGCCTGACAACTGGGACACCATTTGTCCCCCCGGAAACGCAATCAAAAAACTACTTGCATGTATGTAACTTCGTAACTTCTATGCTTTCGGATTGCACGTGATTCTCACAGGGGGAAGGGTAAAGCAACTCGTGACACTTAGTTGATACCAAAATAGGTTTTATTATTTGCACACGCAATATTCTGTAGCGTGGGCGCCACGTGGCAATGACGTCATTGCATGTTTACTTATGATACACATGTTTTGATGATCATATACATTAACATATTTATTACCATGGTGGGATTAGATTCATTCATATTACCCAGGTACAAATATGAATGAATCTCACATCTAAAATATTTTGTTAACATCTGCCATAGACAATCTATCGGTTTTTATTATTTTACATGGAAGTAAAAGACAAAAAAAAGTATACTTAAAAATTTAAGATTACGTTATTTACTTAATATGATAAATATTGTAAGAATATAAGTATATTTTGCGTAAGTTATTAACATACCTCCCACCTTCTAATTTCGCATGTCTCGACTTGGTCTCGACGCCTTCAGTTTTGGTTCCTTTTCCTTCTCAAGTGTAGGGTAACCATGCAAAGTGTGATATCCATTTTTGTTGTATGATTAGAAGGTAAATTTCAAATTAGAAAATACAAGTTTTATGGTAAATTAAATTTTGCGTAATAACCTATTATTTATTTATGAATATATTGTTTATTGTCCTATAAAATGCCAGGTTTATGGTCAGCACAGTGTCAACAAATCTTAGAAAGTGTCGGCGAAATCGAACGGCCGATAAGTGCAGGCGTTAATACACTTTCGATCTTTCAATATTTAACTTTCTCAAGGATTTTGCGACTTTCATATCGCTTCTTATAGAGATAAAGGCTTACCTCATGTGGGTTTTACCACATCTTAATATAGGCAGTTTTAATTGGATATTAAGCTTTCTAATTTGCGATATTAGTTCATCATTTCATTTTGTATGAGGTTACAATTAAGTGACGACGTATTGGCGACATTGTATGACATCTATGTAATATTCAGCTTTGATTTATAATACTTAGTTTTTATCTAATTGTTTTTAGATAACGCGTAAATTTTAATGCCTCTGTCTCATCGAACTTCATTTTTCTGGGCAGAATGTTGACTATTATTTAGTTAAAGGCGTCTTAAACGTTACAATCCGTGCAATATTACTTTTAAAGTTGCAAAGATTTGTAATATTTCTTCCGTTTTCTTCGCATGTTATTGATTAATCAGCATTTGAATAAATTACATTTTATTGGTTATAATGGAGTAAAATTATAGTCTTTTATGATGTAGTTAACATGCAGTTGAATTAATATCGCTAGTTTATTTGACAAAAATAAAAAATATATTAAGAAGTTAATGTCAGTAACTACATAAACAGCAATATGTATTGTACGTACATGTTACAATATTTAAAGATTGAATCCTAGCGGAGACAAAAAAAAGAAAAGTACGTTTTAAATGAACTTTAATAAAATTATTTTTAAATGTGCTATATATTCCTTGATAATGTATCTCTTAATTTCCTCCAGAACCTCTCCGGTTGGCTGTCGTCCCACGAATGGTAGATCTTCGTCTTGAGCAGGTACTTGAGTGTCGTTGTCATATATTTGTTTTCCACCTCGCCCACTCTGATGAGCACCAGTGGGTCATAGGGAGTGCCGTCCTCTAGAAACAGTCTGTGGTACTCCGCGAGCTGCGTCTCCCAGCGACACCACTGGGATTTCGCGAAACTATTGCTTACAATTAAAACTATATATTTACTTTGATTAATACTATTCAATATTGACTCGGAAATGAAGGAACCTATCTCGAAATCCCTTTCGTATATACACAGCTTTAGATACGGAGGCGTCGTCTCTAGCTGGTTGATCATTTCTGCGACGAACTCTCGGTCATCGTTGCAGTACGATACGAACGCATCGAATCTGTACCCGTTACTGGGCAACGTCTCCGCTTTCAAAGATTTCCGTACGAACTTCCTGCCTACTGCTATTTTAGCTAAGAACATCCAGTATCGTATATAAATCCTATATTTGTAAATCCCCACCAGAAGTAATCCGAACAGGAGTAGAGTAACTACTGAAGGCGCGGTCCATATAAGGAACATGACGCTGGAGATCTTTTCGTACATGAGACAGCGCAAAGTCTTGACGGAGGAGAGGTACTCAGCGACGCGGCGACCCTCCCACACGTCGGGGCTGCTGCACAGGAAGCGTGAGCTCGCGAAGTATCCCCGCAGGAGCGCGGTGCCGTTCACCTGCAACCACATGTACGTCTTGTACATCGAGCTACAGTCGCACACGAACACGTTGTCCAACAGTTCGATATCCGTCGTGCGGCCCTGGCGCGGATTCTCTAGTAAATAATTTATGTCCTGTATCATGCTTATAGTAAAATGAGATATCTTATTGTTGGTCAAGTAGAGATTCATCGGACGGACCCCGGCTGCTAGAAACAACGATTTCCACCACGATATCAATAGATTCTCACTCAAGTCCAGCACCTGCAGGTTTTTCAATGGTTTTAGTGTTTCAGCTGTTATGTAATACAACTGGTTGTTTCTTAGTATTAAATGCGTCAGGTTCGGCATCATTTCAAATATATTATCCTCGTCGTAAAAACGTTTAATGCCACAATTTTTGAGTATCAATATTTTTAACTCATTCAAACCTTCAAATTGAACACTAGTCAAATTTTCGTTTGCCGTGAGAGGGTTGTTGGCCAAGTTGAGCATTTCTAAATGTCTCATTGGCTCAAAAGTTTTATCTCCGATGTGATACAATGTTCCATTTTCCATACTTAAAATCTTCAGATCTTCCAAACCCAGGAAAGTGTAATCGAAAACTGATTTAATTCTATTATATGCCAGGTTCAATACTTGCAACCTTTTGCAGTATGTGAAAGCATCTCTGTCGATTTCATAATACATTGGGCTGATGGAGCTACCTTTATTTGACGACAGATCTAAAAGTAACAGTTGCTGATTTGAAATATGTTTCTGGTGTATACCAGGCAAATTGTTGCCGCCTAATAGTAAGACACGTAGGTTTGGAAATTTTAAAGGATCAAAGGCGTTCGGGCCTATGGATATTGCAAGGACTTTTCTTAGGTCTAGCACTTCCAAGTTGACCATTGCTGGAAACGTATCATCTGTGATTATTTCGAATTGATTTTCAGCAAGAATTAGTCTCTCTACTGTCGAGTTTGCAATGATATTGAGCAAAGCTCTCGGCGGCTGTTTTCGAAATCCCATTCCAGACAGGTCGAGATGAGTTAAATTTATATCTTTTTCTATCATTTTTGTTAAAAAGTTTCCTATTAAGCTAGAATTTAGATCGTTTTCGCCTATTATCAACTCTTTTAACATTAGTAAAGGCTCAAAACTTTTAGGATGTATAAATTCCAACCTGCATAGATTTATTTCCAGTCTTTTTAATGACGTTCCTCTCATAACATGAAAAGCGGTCTCAGGTATCCTTTCCAAGGAATTTTGCGACAAATCTAAACTTCTTAGTGCTGGTAATGTACTAGGTTTAAATGCGGGAGTTAAATCTAAAATATTTGTGAAGCCGTTGTTGACTAGAGTCAAGTTGCGAAGATTCTTGAGACCTTCGAACGTGCGCTTATGTAGTGTGTTAAGCCTCGTGTTGTAGGAAATTGATAACTGTTTAAGGTTCGTCAAGTTGCGAAAGAGTCCCGGTTCCAGATACTTGAGTCTGTGGTTGGCCTCTATTTGTAAAACTAGCAGGTGTTGGAGGGCGTCGAGCTCGCCTACTCGTATCTCTGTGATCACCGTCGTTATCACCCGGAGGAGGTCACTCTGTATGTTCACCTGAAGGGAAAAGAAGAAAGAAGTTATAATAAATAACAGATAACATGCTTTCAGATATACGTTTTAGACTATTTCTGTAGGTACATGTAGTTATGGTTCTTTTAACATCAGATAAAATTCTTGCAATGTTGACTTTTTTCCTAAAAAAAAAACAATATGAAAATGTCAAGGATTCGAAAGTGTTACATTTATAGATTTGATCGAGAAGTATCTGTTATCTGTTTTGTGTGTGCGCAGTGGAGGCCCTCCTCCGCCTGCGCTCGCGGCAATAGACGCCTTTATTTGTACTATGATAGTTAAATCTTTGTGTTGCTTTTGATTGTGATTAGATATTTTCTTTTAGTCAAACATAAAGTCAGCTATTGTATTTGTTACAATGAGATAAGCGAATAACATCATAATCTAGTTTTCATAACCCAGCAACAAAATTTAATTCAACACTTTTTTAAGTAACGATTGCTCTGTCATTTATGATTAACTAATTTAAACCGCAAAATGGTAGGCAGAAAAGTTATTTGCCTGTAGGTAATCTTACCTTAGGGAAGCGTTTACACTCATAGTTGCCGAAACATACGATGATCTTAAGATTGTTGTTAGTCCTGCAGAGACAGCCGGAGGTCTTGTCGACGGCGAGCTGCACGGGCAGGGCGACGCTGGAGTCCTCTGGCGGCGACAGCACGTTATTGGTGATATCCTTGTACTCGTCGAGCAAGCTGCTCCGCGAGTGCCGCGCGTAGCACAACAGCAGCCACAGGTAATGGCCAACGAACATTTCTCGCAACAGACCGCCTGTAAAAAAATATTTAGAAATAGTGTGTAGGACCTTTTTTATGAGAGATGGGGGAATACGAGCGGCATCACTGAGATGATCGATGCCCACGATAATCCGCAACATCAGATGAACAGCAAATGAATTGTCAGCCTTAATCAAGATGGTATGCTGCCTTCTTGAAGGACCCTAATTCATACTTGTTTGGAAATACCGCAGAGGACATACCATTCCACAACGCGGCTTTGTGAGGCAGGAAATTACAGGAAAATTTACCAAGTTCAGATAGTGTGTGAAGTGAAAAAATCGGTACAAGAATTGTACCTTGTGGCACACCTATTATTCATATTAACAGCTACATAGTATTATTGTTAGCTTTGTTATTAGAAAACAATTTAATTATACATTATATCGCAACACTGAATTTGTAAAGACAAAGATTTTAACGTCCGCAATAATTCAATACCTACAATAATAATGTTGCTACCATACGTTATGCCGATATAATTTCCTTAAATTTGGATTATGTTTTTTGTGAACTGACCTAAGACCAGTAAGTAAACTATAACGCTTAGTTGTTGAGGTAATAAGTACGCAAAAAGCAGACGTTTCTTTAATCATACGAAAAGCAATGTCTTATATTGCTTATAATTTGCTTTGTTTGTGCTAGATTAATGATAAAAAATAATCTTGTTAACTTTTTAAATATACATTTTGTTCTATGGATTAAATAATAAAGAATGACATGTGGTGAGATGCAATGAAGTCAAACTTACTGACTACATATTTACACACTACATCGAAATTTCTCTGGTTCGCTTTGATCAGTAAAGTTAGTCAAAATCAAATGTCTAGTTAGCGTTAACGTTTAGCCAACGTAAATTTTTGCTGAGCATTGGTCAAAACATTCGATAAGTTTGCTGCGGCTGTGCAAGACAAAGTGAAATGACTCTCTTGTCTTTTGCTAGACTTGTTTAGCTAAACATGATATTGTTGTTACCTTTTTGGGAAATCCAGCTCTTAGCCGATAGAAGTTAGCCGTGATGCTTGTTAGTGTGGTCGAGCGGACAAAGGGGGCGCAGCGGCCCGCCTCAGCCTAATTAGCACATATATGATGTTTGGACAATCTATTAGCGTAAGGCGGATATGGCTTAACCTTCACGAAAAATTTGGCTATGATTTTCGTATCAAAGAATTTTCAACAATTAGGCACTATAACAACTTTTATATATACAATCCATTTTCTGATATCTGGTACACTGCAGTCAATAATTGTAATAAATAACACTTTTCCACTTGACGACTCTTACTGGATTCTCCATCACTGTTGTCGCTCACTGCCAGCAGTTGCGCGAGAGCTACACAGGGGGCGCTGGCTGTGCTCGCACTGAGCTGATTCGCCTGCCGTGCCGTATGCTCATAGATTTCCTCCCAAACACTGCCATTGGTCCGTATTATTTGCTAATGTGATAGCAAAGTCGTTACTTTACAATTCGGCACTAATTTTTAGTGATACAATACTTATTTAACGTCTATGATAACTTTCTCTTAAAGTATCTTGTTTTATTGCTTTGGTTTTGTGACACTTGTAACAACATAATGTTGTTGGTCAGTACTCGTATGTTTAATAAATCACTAAATCACTCAAATCTCATTGTGTTCTCTTTTCCTCTCCTTTCATTATTTCTCTATCTCTTACTCTTTCTATATGGGTATTTTCCGAGATGCTTAAATTTGTAAAAATAGGATTTACATATACTATGTTTGCTAGTTTAAAAATGGTAACAGTTAAACGCTAATGTAACATTTTATAAACCGAGAGTTTCGTGATTGCTTATAATAAGTCCAAACCTGATTCTATAACGGAATACAAAGACAACTTGACATAGATTTGAACACAATTATAACGATAATGATGAAAATAAATAGCAATAATTTATAGAAGAACAAAACATTTCCTGCGCCTGTTTACGCGCTCGCTAAACTAACCATAAAGATATCGCGCGCGCTCCGCAAACACGAGGGGAATAGCTGTGTCTTTATGCTAATTGAAGTCGTACTTACTAAAACAATCTCACGTCTCAATTTCGGTTTGTCTTTCGTTTACATCCGCTAAAGTTAGACGACCTCTGTATACATAATTATGTGTAGTAAGAATACATAGATCGTGTCTATATGACTTGGGTATACTAAAATTACAAATTAAATTTCATAGCCTCAATGGATTTTTCTTAATCCTGGAATACAGCTCTCTCCTGATTTATCTGGTTTTCCTAGGATTCCCATACTTGAATTTGCTGTTTTTTTTTTCAAAGACAATCACTTCAATAAACATGTTAAAGTTTATTTTTCATTTCTTTATTACAAGATTTATGTTATATTTAACATATGCGTAATGTTCATTAGGTTCATATGGGCGAGGGCAGCGCTGCGGAAAGCTTGGTGATAAGGTCGTCCAGCTGCAGCAGGTTGGCGCGCGCCTGCCGGGACACCTGTCCTTCCGGCAGCTCGCTCGGCTCGTGGCGCAGGAGCCACGCTGATTGTTCCAGGATCTTGCGGGACTCCTGCACGCAAACATATGGAAACCTGATAACTGAACACTGCGTATACTAGATAGAATAGAAGAAGCAATAGTAAGAAGACTTACAGTGATATATCCGAGCATGACGAGCGGGCCTTCGGTCGCGGACTTCCGACGGCCAGTCTCCGCCACCGCTGCATGCAACTCAAAAAGTAACGTGCCGCGCAGCCGAGTCTCGGCTGAAAAATTATAAGCACATATATTTCATTGTTTGCAAAAAAAACAATGCAATAGACCTACTAGCTAGCCACCATATGCGGACTGCTTCGAGCAGTCGGCGTGTGGGCGAAAGCATTCTTTAACGACTACAACACACTTAAGTTCGCGTACGGTGAACATCAACTGCTGCTTTTCAATCGGTCTTTGTATGTTAACCCTTACCTGGTGCCAGAGTCTCGAGTAAGTCGGCAAGTTTCCTGCAGAGCTGCGTCTTGAGTATCAGGCGATCTTCTGTAACTGCAGCGAGACCCAGCGCGTGCTGCTGCCCGACCAGCTGCGCCAGTGCCAAGCTCACGTCCGTCATGTAGTAATGCGCTGGGTGAAGGTAGCTGGCGCAGTGGCTTACGAACCTGCAGGTTTATATTAATTTTCATATACTTGACTTGATAAAGAGCATACTATAACCGAGAAGGTCTTAAATATTAAAGAATTGATGAAAAACTGATTAAAACTAAACTAATACATATAACGTAATATTACACTACACGTGTTATTAAATACAGTTAATATTAACTTTGAATGGGAAATCTGAAATATCTGTTGTGTGATATTCTACTTATCCGAGTAATCCAAAACAAATGTTATGACAACTCGGTTCACTCATTATTGTACATATGTTTGCACGAATATGAGAATTGTTACTTTGTTGTCAAGGTCGAGTGTCGAATCATTGAGAAATATTATTGTGATGCTAGATGGTAAAAGTAAATAAATATGTTTTGATTCTGAAAGCACATTAATTATGTACAAATTATTAAAACAAAACAACAAACGAATATTCCTACTTTGTGTTGAAACTATCTGACCGACCTTTCGCAGGCGTCGGCGTCTCCTTTGGGCATCACACTGAGCTCGCGACCGATGTCCTGCAGCAGCTGCTGTATGATGGCGTCGCTAACGGCGTCCCCGCAGCTGCAGCATTTCCAGAGCTTGTCGTCCAGGCCGCGCGATGCCGGGTCCGGGCACGTCGTTTTGTGCAGTATCGGAAGGATAAAAGTATCAGGCAGGAGGTACCCCTTGCAATCCCTAAGAGCAAAATACATTGTAGGTATGTGACATACAAATAAGTTATCTAGCTTGTGTATTGATCAAAAATCTTGAAGATCATCATCATCAACCTGCTCTTATCCTTACGGAATTCACTCCTTTCTTACGCATATCCTCTTTCACAAATTCAAAAAGCATTAAGATATGGCATTTAAAAAAGAACTGGGTATTTATTTGAGTATCACTAACTTCTTCTTGCACTTGACAGCGCTGTACATAGTGCCGAACTCGGTGACATCAGCGCAACGTGGGCAAGTGCACTCGAAGAATTTGGAGTCTGCGAGGTGGTGCCGGCGAGCCTCTGTGCCCCACAACGGGTCTGTGTAGCACACAGAAATGTGCCCACTGGCGGGGATATCCACACCCGCGCACAGTATCTGAGGACACCACAATCACAACGCATTAAAATCATAACTTCATAGTTTCAAGTTTGGTAGTTTCCAGATTAACACATCTTCCTATACATAATAAACTACTTATAACATAAGTTTTCTAATAGCTGTACAAGTATTTGATTCTGGTTGATATTCAGAATTTATATTAGCTAAATACTTACAATGTCTCCTGAGGAGGTAAAGCTCTTATTGCAGTTAGCGCAGCAGCTGTGCTCAGCCATGGAGACGCGCTCGAACACCGCCACGTACTCCGGCTCCAACAGCGGTACCTCGTGACCGTTGATCTGCACACGATATACTTAGTCATATCAGGAAGCCTCTTTCATTATAAAAATAGCAATTAAAGCTGATTTTCTCTTTCTTCCTATTCATCTTTGACAATATTCAAAAACGTATTTTGATCACTTTGCAAGTCGTATTAGAAGAAGTACTTAATTGCAAAACAAATAACGTTGAATACCTGTATAATCCCGCAGCATTTCATGATCTCTTCCTCAGTGAAGGTGCTACCAAGTTTGAAGAAGTTAACGATGAAGTCTGCGATCATCTTCTTGTCATTGTTCCATTTGTCGGTTCCCTTGCGGTCCGCGCAGTGCGACTCCAGGCTTTGCAGCTTTGCCCATAACTTCTCATTGTAGTCTCTTTGGTACAAGCAGCGGAGAACGGTGATACATTGGTAATTTGGATGTGGAATACCGAATGATGAAATTGTCACCTAAGTAAAAAATAATGGTAACACAATGCCTATAGTGTTTATACGTGTAAACAATACCTCAGTAAATTGTACCTTTTCGCCTCTGTTTTTAGTATAAAGGCACTCTGGTTTATGGACCTCGTTCCTGGTGCAGGGCTCCGAGCAGAAGGGCCAGCCGCAGTCAGCGCAGGATACTGTCTTCCCTGCCTCTAGCAGCTTGTAACATCCCAGGCATACCGGTGGAGTTACCTGGATAGTAAACACTTTGAATGTAGATGGATTTCTCCATATTTTACGGGAAATAATACTACAATTTTCCGTTAAGTCTAACCTGAGCAGGGCCAGTTATAAGCGGCGATTCTTTCATAATTATATCACCAGCTTTAATTTCTCTTGTCGCTTCTAAGTATCTTCCGTACTTCGTATCCTCCTTGACCCTGGCAGGAGTGCAGCGTTGCTTGTGCTGCCTCCAATCCTGCTTCTGATGTTCCCGTGAGCAGTAGTGCGCGTTCTGACATCCCGAGCACTTCTGCTCCGCAGGGGCAGAGCACACTGCGCACTGATTTAGCTCTCCCATGTTCTAAAATGTTTTAAATATTAGAACAATACAATAGAGGCCGTAAATATTTTAACAAACCCAGTGTTGCTAAGTATTCATGATCTACTTTGACAAACTTCAGGGAATTTTTATTATTTTGTAGTAAATTAAAACACAGTAAAGAAAGAAAAAATAACATTGTTTTTTCTGTAAATTGATCCAAGTGAGATATCGAATATCCCAATCCTAATGCTGCAAACGTATAGAAAATAGTTCAGTTACTCCAAAGTACTTTACTTAAATTAATTATAATATAAAAACTAATTATAAATGCAAATAATGAAGTACTTACTCTAATTTCTGAAAATATTTGATATCGTATATTAAATGTGAAAATCCATGAATAAACTACGAGCGCGCAGCGCAGTGCCGGGCGACTGGCCAGCCGATGCCGCGTGCACTGAGGTAAAAATAACCCAGTGGATTGTTATAGAATGTAACCTATGCGTGGCATTTCTCATATCAAAGAAGTATTCCTTATTCAGTTGTAACTACAACTTGTATGGATTTGGTTAAAGGTGACACAATTACGAGGGGAATGACATCTGAAATGACGAATGATCGATATAAAAGACAAAATCTAGTGAGCCAACCCCACTTAGAGAACATATGAGAACATTCCATCTCTTTTAGAGAGAGGAATGAGAACATTCGACCTCTCATAGAGAGAGGAATAAGAACAGAGAGAATAGTGGTACAACGGAGGATTAAACCATGGAATTACCTTGATGCCTTGAAGTGTCCACTTGTACTCCTTACTATACTGCATTCACGAGGCATAAATTAAATAAAATTAATAATGCAAATAAGCTTAGCTAGCTTGGATAACTTATTCGTATAAGTTAGCAATTATTTTTTATTAAGGAAAGATGTGATAGGGAGGGATAGTTAAGAAAACAGACTTCTGTAACAACAGATGCGTGCCAGAGAATCTTGTCAATTTTATTGGACATCGAAAAAAAAAATATGAATAATAAATGAAACGCATAAATTAGGTTAACATTTTCTTTAATAAATTATTATAATATAAGCATAGAATATACCAAACATAAAAAAGAGCATCTCTCTACAAAGATCTCTTTACAAATTACAATAAATCTCGAAAAATAACGCACACAGTTTTAATCGAATCAATTGTCTTTTTGTTAGACGAATGAACAGTTATATAAAATACTGAACATTTGGAAATATTGATAAAACTAGCAATCTGTATACATTAGTTATAATTAATTTTACAATAATAACAATAAACAAACATTAATTTGCTAAAAATGTTAATCAACTTAACATATTTTAGGAAAAATTCTATAAAACTTATCACGTTACAAACATTTTCAAGTATTATTTAATTAATAAAACCAGACATAAATAACGATACCAACGATTTATTATCAAAAATACGATCCCATAAATAAAATTAATTAGTGAACATTCATAATTTATACCCGTAATTTATTTATAATAATTTTGTTTTCGTATACTTCATCTTTATTTACACAATAATATTAGAAAACTAGCGGTTTAACACGTTCCATGCCACTAAGATTTTTTCGAATAAATCATGCGATGCTTGTCGGTGGCATTTAACGTGTTAAAGTTGTATAAGTTTTTCTTCAAGGTTATTTTCAGGATATCTTGCCGATAATCTGCTCCCAGGTTTTGATCATCTTGAGAGCGTCCCTGGCGGCGGAGGCCATCAGACCTTCAGAAGTCTGCGACGGCTCGAAGCCCAGGATCAACGCTGACTCATTTAGATAGCTTACAATCTGTAATTAAGTAAACACATCATATCAGATAATTTGTACGTGAACTGAAAATGTCGTCTTTATAAAGCCTTTTATTTATAATAATTTAGTTATCTAGTAAGTTTAGGAAAGTACTTTTCTTGAAAACATTTTCACAAACTAACCTCTTTTAAGCGCTCTCGAAGATTGTCTTTTGTGATTGCTTTCTTTTCGAAATCTCTCGTGGTCAACACCATGAGCGGAGCGTGCAGTTCGTACAGCGTTATTCCTACAACGAAGGACATTATTTGATTTATATTACACAGATATTTCTCTTAAACACAGTAATGAGTTAAAGCTACTGACCCCTCAATCTGGAGTACCCCGGCTCGATTTGATCGAAGACCTTCATGAGGTCCCTGCAGACTTGCACCTTGCGGTGAAGCTGCGCATCCGACATCCTATGTATCATGTAGTCAGTCACTTTGCCGTACAGTTGGCTGAGCGAGTGCAGCGCGGAGAGGCAGAGGTAGTGGCTCGCCGGCAACACGTTGCTGTACTTTTTGATAAAGTCTTCGAACCCACTCACGTCGTTAGCGTCTATCTGCTCGAACTCGTCGGTTAACCTGATAAATAAAGATGAAATTTCTGGAATCTGGACGATTTTAAAAAGTATTTAGTTCCGCCAACCATTTTCTAAATATGAAACAAGCTGCACGAAACTAGTTCCTTGCTCTTATTCACATTAAACAATAATTTTGAGGCCGTTGTAGGAAAACTTAATTCTTAGACTGCGAGGCATTCTGTGTAATAGTGACCTTTTGAGCAGCATTTGCACAGCCACTGCAGGCATGGCGTAGCTGCAGTCTGGGGTGCTGCACTGCCACGCCGAGTGCGGGTCGAGGGGGGCGGCGGACAGCACGCGGCCCGCACACTTGGGGCAACAGAAGGCGCTGCAGTAGGTGCCCAGCTCTGTGGGGTCCGCGCACCTCTTGCACGCGCACTCGAAGAACTTGCTCAACTTTAGGTGTTCACGCCGTTTCAATGTGCCCTGGAATTATAAGAAAATGTTTTATTGTTTACGGATTTTCGACATCTATTTCATCCTTGATTAGATCTCGTGTTAACATTTAAATTGTATAATCCTCAATTATTTGATAATTAACCTATAAATCCTCCTACAGCATTTTTAGTCACCGAACCCTTTATTGGCCTCTCTATAGCCTAGAAACATTCTGTGTGTAATTCATCACCATCATATAAATAATTATATCAGTGAAGCACTTTAAAACCAAAGTCTTTCCTGTATCGGTCGTCGTTATTTGGTACAAAACAAAGAAAGATGACGTACGCAATAGAAGATTGTCTGATAGTAGGTGTACATATGTAAGTAGTTACCTGCTAGCTCACCTGCAGCGTGTAGGCGTAGCAGAGGGAGACGAGGTCGCCGGGGCGATGCGGCAGCGCGGCGCGCACGGTCAGCGGCCGGCCGGCGCGTCGCTCGGAGTCTGTGTGTGTCGTGCTGGGCGTGCAGTCGTGCGCCAGCAGGTACGCCTTGTCGTACAGCGCTCGAGCGCTCGCCCCACTGCCGCCCACCTCGAATGCGTTCACCTGCAATCGTGATACAAATTCTATGTTGTTGCCCTTCCACATAAGTATCATTAGGGCAATAGTTTACAGACATCGTATACTATCAAAATCAAGAATAATTAATATAATATTTGTACAGATAAAGCACCTCAAGTATACCGCAGACGGTGTGTATCTCGTCCTCGTCGTATTGCAGGCCCCAGTTTTGCAGGCGTCGCACTACGTGCTTCTGGTTGGCGGGCCAGATGTCGGCACGCGCTCGCCGCAGCGCGTTGTGCGCCTCCATTGCACACAGCGATGCCCACTTCTCTGGGTCCTCTTTCTTCAATAACAAACATCTGAAATGAACATACGATAGCTTTTTATTTTGTCACGTTTTTTTTTGTTTTGTTTTCGTACCTAATTCGAAGAAAATTTATTAAACGCTCTTAATTTGTCTGCTATAAGTTACATAAACTACATTAATTAATTTTACTTATCTTTAAGGATTTTTTTCAGGATTTTGTTACAATTGACTGTTTTGGTTTTAGCAAAGCTGTAACTTTAAGTTTACCTCAAGGGTGTGATAGCGTGGTAGCAGTCTTTCAAGTCCTCGAGGTTGTTGTAGTCAGGCTTGACATCCACGGAGCTCAGCGTGGTGCATTCGGCGGCCGAGTGCCCGGTGTACTTTCCTTGTCCCGGGCACGACTCGCTGCACAGCGGCCAGGAACAGCCTTTACATCTGCACACGAACACGATGAAAAATTTTAAAAATTAAACTTAAAAAAAAAGATAAAATACCAAAACATTATTCGACATATCAGATGTGCAATATCCGTTAACATTTCAATGCAATCTCGATTTAGAAACAGAGACTGACGCAAATATTGTAACCTCTCGCGCGCTCCACTGACATGATGGGATGCTGCGCGCGCGTTAACTGGATCCTACCGGTTTTATAGTTCCTCAATCGCTTTATCGCCGATATTTATTAGCAGTATGATAGTTTAATTTATTTAATAGTTTGAAACTTCATTATAAAAGTGATTTTAGATTTAATTAGAAATACCTAACGACACTTGGCTTTACATTTTTCATTACACATATTATTTTGCATAAACGCATTGAGTTCTAGCATGGATTTAATCTACGTTTTCATAACTTAAGAGTCCTATGAAGGATGAATAATGCAGATTGAAAGAATAATAACACCAACTTGACGATAGCGTTGTCGTCGAGCTCGCGATAGCAGCCGAGGCAGATGAGGCCGCAGCCGCTGCACGGGCCCACCGCCAGCGCGGGCTCCTCCATTATCACCTCTCCCGCTACGATGTCACGTCGCGCCACCACGTACCTGAATACACATAAGTTGTAGTACTTACTGCTAAACATCCGCGAATACAGAGGGCAAAGCATACAACAAATATGTCAAAAGATGATTAACTAATGATGTTAGATCCCTTCTAGAATGTTCAGATTACTCGTGACTCGTGCTTATACAACTAACCATTCAATAATCTAACCATAGCATTTGTCTTTAGTGATCACGCTCGCGGGATATCAGTGGTACTCCCAGAGGACAAGTAGCGTGACATCAGACAGCTGTTTCATTAATTAACGTAACGTAAACACGTCGATGGCTAACTGTCGGCTCCATTTGTTACGTGTGCCGGCGGGACGCCAGTGTTGACACACCACACGTGGTACGCCGTCGGCGTGACAAGTCACGTGTCACGTTCCATTTAAAATTACAGCCCCGAGATCTCGGTGAGAAAATCTTTACAGTGTTTTATTGACAACATTCCTGTATACAAACTTAACAACATCGAATTCATGACAACTTGGACGAAAGGACAAGGATTCTTATGTGTCAAACACATTGTTTTTTTTTAATTTCGTAATTACTTTTAGCTTTTTACCAGTTATGTTTTATTAAAAGAAATTTCTCAAGATCACTGTGTTTACGCAGAAACTATAAAACTAACATAAACCGTTAAAATCTTACACATAAATCAATCAAATTGGTTTCGGCGAGAGCAATAAATTCCATTATTAACTACTAACGATATATTCAAACTTTTTATCGTTTTGTTCAACGACTATTAATAAGACATACCAGTAAACAAATAGGATTTGAATACATGAAGATTGTATTAATAAAAACATTTCTAAGTATTTTCAACAAATTCTATCTGGACATTAAATCTCTAGATTACACCTTTACTGAATAAACAAAACAAGTATGTCGTTCACTTCATCTTAATGTTAACAATCTTAATAAATAGGATATCGCACAAGTCTCACGAAAAAGCAATTCAAACGATGCAACCTTTAAGAGCTGTCTTGGTAAAAATCCTTACACAAGCATTAGTTTGTTCCTGCATAAAATCCAATATTTTGAGAGCAATGAAACTTCAAAACATTTCAGTTCTTGCTTACCTGCCCATGACATCCGAGTGCTTGACCTCATAGCAAAGCTGGTCGTCTTGCGGCTTGGCGGGCGGCTGCGGCTCCTGAGCCGCTTCCGAGGTTTGTACATCTTCCACGTTCTCCTTATTGCGGCTCTCGCCTTTGCCGCGTTTCTTTTGCTACAACAATAAGCAACGCAATAAGCAATTCCTCAGTCGTGTGTGCAAACTGTTAAGTCCCTACTCACGCAGATTATGCACCCCAACATGAGAAGTTCTTTCCTCCAGGCTGGAGCGAATGCGTGTTGTTAGTGAATGGATCAGTTTGTGCCACGACGTGTCTGCTCCGTGACGTATGAGCTTTATGAATGAGTGCTTGGAGGCGGTAGGCGTAGTCTGGGTGTATTTCCGTACGCCACTTGACTCCCCGTGCCAATGGCACGATGTAAAAACTTGTTTCATAACCCCGCGGATGTATCCGATGGCCGTGAATTAGATAAAGGTGTGGACATGCGTGAGAGCGCTTAACACCTGTATGTTTTGTGTCATGTCTGCTTTTCACGTGTCTACACTTTGTCACATTTCACCCATCCGGTACACTACCACTAGATAGGATTACTAGTCTAACTAGCAGAAGCATCAGCCCACTAACCGTAAGTTGAGGGGGACAATGGACTAGTTGTTTTTTTAATTGTAAAATGTGGATGTAAAAAGAATAGAAAGGTTAAGAGAACGAAGAGTTTGACTTTTCACCAAACATCTTTACACTACGTGGAAAAAATGTTTTATGTGGGTACGGATTGCATTGCAATGTGTACCAGCCCTTATAATATCTCTAGTCATAAATTTCTGTAAACCAATACTACTAAAGCTAATGCTAAATGTTCAATTTTAAACCACCTTCAGCTGAGATGCTGATAGTTATATTGCTCGTTTGTAAAATCTCAAGTGTAGCTCGAATGAGTATGAAAATAACAGAAAAAGAAACTAGAAACAAGTTGGTGAAATTGCAAAAGAAACTACTAAAATTTACCTTGACCTCAACTTTTTCGTCACCTGAGAGGTCATTTAAAGGTCAGATTCCAGTTTCACTGAAATAGAACTAATATTTTACTTGTAAATATGACCTGCGTTATCTAAAATCTAGATAATTTTCTTTGTAACTGTAATCGTACAAGCCGCAACCATCGTATTCCTCAGATGTTAAATGTATTATACGTATTATGAAGTGTGTTAAAACATCAACCGCTAATCTTTTGAAATATTTTTTTTTATTATTATGAGCATAAGATATTTACGGATAGCCGCTTCACATTCCGATCAATTTGCATAGCATCGAGCTCGGACTAGTTAGCGCAACAAATCCAGAATACCGACGCTCCTTGAGCCCCATACACTCATAATAAAGGTCGTTACGGCGTATTATCGCCGCGAGATCGTCCGACATTTGAACGTCGTCCAACCGTCGGGAACAATAGGTTAGTTACGCGATTCGCGTATTTTAAAACACCGCGAAAACAATTCACTGCCAAGAAACGAATGCGACGCGAGTGCGCTCGCTTAGCTGCAAACAGAAAACATCGAAGATTATCATTTATAAAAATAGGTAGTTTTAGACATAAAATAAAATTCCCAGATGCAAGTTACAATGCAGACGCAGACTTTTAACATTAAGTTATCTTATTTTGTTTATCGCAACATTGCTTAACTAGGAGCCGCGTCGTTTATCTTATTGTGGCACCATTTCAAACTTAAAATGAGTCGACAAATTTAAAAGTAAAATCTTTAAAAGATAAAAATGCATCTAGGAAAAAAATGTTCTGAAAAATATTTATCAACTTAATGTATGCCTTTGTATGCAAAACATATAAACGCGCTCTCTAATCTTCATACTTACAAACGCAAAAGAAATATTTATTGGGTCAGATTATAAGAGATTAGAGCGCGGTGATATAGTGCGAGGAGCCATGGTACGGAGCCAATTTAAAACGCGACAGATAAAGTTAAAAATAATTTATGGCAAATCGTTAATGGCGCGTGAAACGAATCTGTTGCGGTGACGTGCGCCGCGCTGACAGCTGACGAGCTGTGACAACCCGCGTCCGGTTTTATTAAACTCATTATTTATAGTTACTTGCATTTGTATGTATAAAGCTTTTAAAAGGTTACGTGCGCTTTGGTGATTAAGGATGCTTTGTTTGATGGCTCAATGCAATTTATTTCTCATTATTGATTATCAAAAATTAGTAACGCAACACTTGTTCATATTATTGTCGTTGTCTCGCTCATTCACTCTCAGCAAAGTTATTAATAGCTACGATGTACTATTAATTACAGTTTGTCCGTCTACTCTAGATGATGTTTGAGAACTTGGAGTACACTTCTACATCTCTCTAATGACACAGTAGTTATGATCGACTCGCTATCAACATTAATTAATAATTTGCTCCAAATAATATTTAATGTTAAGAGACGACTTTTATTTAAGATTATTTTTTGTATTCGTGTGTATTATTTGTGAAAGGTAATAGAATTGAGTGATCTGATAAACAAACTTAAAACATTATTTAAACTTGACTATAATAGAACTTCGTCGTTTGTTTTGTCTGATTCGTGATATTTGTGATAATGCCGATCTCCTCATGTCAATATGGTAATTGCCATCATGCAGTTGTTGCTGTGATAACCATAGAAGAGAGTTTATAAGTAGGGCAAAAGAACCATCAGAGGAAATTTAAACACCCTTATTATAGACCGCTATTACGTCACCATTGGATTCGGTTCAACAGCAAAGATACTGGCTATCATATTAATCGTTTTGTATCGGCATATATCGTGTGCTCCGAACGTCTCACTACGAATCTTTAATTAGGTTCATTTACAACGGACCGTAACACATATTAGATAAACATTTTGACTTGCGAATGTTTATCGAATTAATCTTGTGTCTGGTAATAAATTCATCTGCTTATATTTATAGTGCGCTCGAGGAATTAACGAGCAGACTGCGGCCCGCGCGTACAACTATTAAAACATTCAATGTCGTTTAGTGCGCTTTAAAACAACTGTTGTGGAAACCATGGCAACAGCTGTTCTCTAGCAAAACAGCTGTGAAAATATTATAGATAGAATAATAACATACTGCTCCGCAATACAGTTATATAGTTAATGAATATTCACTAAAGCAAGAGAAATTCGGCAAAACATATCTCTATTGCCTACTTTAGATCACTGAAATTACGATTAATGTTTTTTTTTCAGTATGTTAATATACCTATTTAACAGATAATTGTCAAGTTATCATTTACGTGTTTTGAATATTTTTATATTGCGTCGAGTGACGACGTATTGTGCGTGTCAAAGTTTAGCTGCTGCCAGACGCAGTCAGATGTGGTGGACTCGCACACAACTCAATACCTTTAGTTTTCTGTTTAAAAGAGAAACTAAAGGCTCCAGCATAAAAGTTACATTCGTGGATAGAATTGAAATTTTACATTGCAAATTTCATATGCCTAAATATACATAATGTATAATATTTAACATGTATCATGTTAGGCTTTGTGTTCATTTAGACTAAATTGAACGAGGAGTCGCAATTTATCTTTATTCTATAATTGCAAATTATTATTTTCAATAACCTAATTAAAATATACGTACTTTTTTCTTGTGAGACTTTTTATTCATGTCTGCCTGTCTTCAGATCTGAAATGAAAACAAAGATTACAAAATAACTGGGCGCATTTCTACATCAACGAAATTAACCCTAACAATTTGTACACAAAATACACAAAAGTCACATCGGAACACAATTATTTTGCATACGATGTCGACTAAAGTTAATACTAAAGTAAATAATATTTGGATTTATATAATCAATTAAATGTAGTTCTACTTTATTTCCAAAATTTACTTGTAATTAACTTTTTCAGTATTAATATAGTTCGGAAATTAAAGAAATAAAATCTTGTCTCAGTGGTAGTTTACGCAACACAATTCCCGCGCCGCAGTAAACATTCCGGGATCGTGTAATGTTGTCCCGAATTCCAAAATATCTGCCGCTGCTTACTAATCAAACAAATTAAAATATACCTAACATGTAACAAAAACATATAGACAAATTGAGAACCCATTTTGAAGTCTATTAAAATGTAATCAAAAGAAACCATTGTAGTGCGACAGGCTTAGTACATGGGTCTTATGAAATCTTTTCAACATTTAATCGTGTTACTGTATGGCTTCAATGCATGTAAAATAGAACACGAGTGAACTACATTTATTTTAAGTATAAAGACATGATTATAACAAGCTCGCACATCACGTTGTGGAATACTCTGACCTCAGCGGTATTTCCAAACAATTACGAAATAGGGGCCTTGAAGAAAAGAGCGTACCTCCCTTAAAGGTCGGCAACGCAACTGCGGTTCCTCTGGCGTTACGGATATCCAAGGGCGTCGGATCAAATAATTTTAGGCGATTTGTTGCTCGTTTGCCCCTTTGTCAGCTTGGTATTTATGTATTTGTTCATAGGCATTTTCGAGATGAAAAAGTTAAGATTAAATTGTTACACAAGCTGTGTTACACAGAACAATGTATACAAACATTACGATCACTGCGTGCCAGTGCCACACTAGACTGGACGCGAGTAAATCACATGTGAGCGATATCGGCCTCATTCGCGGCAGTCGGTCAACACCATTACGACATACAAATAACTTTTATATTATTATATAATTAGTATCAAAGAACTTAAATGTTATCATACTGGTTACCTTTTAGGTACTAACAGAATTACATACCTAGGAGAAATAAATAGTGAAAAGAAATTAGTATGTTTTTTCTATATTAAGATTTGAAAATATTATTCGTAGCAACACAACATAAAAATAGACTTCGTAGCACTTTAGTCGGTCAATAAAAATAATAAATGCCAAAATGTTTCCAGATTAATGGAAACCATTAAAATGACAAAGTGTTTGTTGTGAAATTGTGTCATTATAAAAGTTTAACATTATGAAAACTTTTACGTAGTTGACTTGGGCGTTGAATTTAGTACGTTCTCTGTAGGACAACTGTTAAAATCTTGTCGTTAGGTTCAATACAATTTTAGAATTTTTAAAATTTTTATGATTATGATATAGCGGTATGTATCCCACGACGGCTAAAAAGCAAGTTAGTAATTCAATTAGTATAAACCAGCTTTATCTAATGTTTGGACAGACGTGGCGTAAATCACAACATCGCGACGTGCGCTTGGCACTTCCTAGCGACCAGCCGTTGGATTTGGCAAACTTAGCAGACTTGGCAACCGCACGCCGTCTGCTGCCGGCCGTGTGGAGTATGCTAAGGACAGCGCAGCAGACTCTAGTCTTGTTCTATTAATTTGTTACAGCATAGTCATGTCTAATCAGTTTAACAGGACTGCAATATAATATAAAATTAATTAAAGGAGGCTAAATAGAGAGGTAGAAGTAGAAGTTGGATTGTTTGTGTCTGATCAGTTTGAGCGGAAAACTTAGTGTGCCCTTGATAATGTTTTTATCCTACTTATTCTGACTACAACTTATCTCTCATATTTTATTATTTCTGTCTCTTTCCTGTCTTACGTGTATGTCAGCAATTGATCATAACTATGGTTTGTTAATAACAAGCTAGTGTCATTTCTTAGAAAGTAAGAGAACATTTAAAACGAATTTTTATTTTCCGGCCAATTAGTTAATACACGGTGTGCAACAGTATGTCAGAGAAATGTACATTTTCATTTTCGTTCCTTGATTAGTTATCGTAGCAACCGCGGCCGCAGCAGGGCTGGCAACGCTTTGCACCGCTTGGCACTCCTCCCGTCGCCTAATTACAGCACGCCATGTTCACTGCACTGCATAATTAACGTAAATTTGCCAAGTTCATGTGAAATTGAGGCCAATCAGTACAATGCACTCGAATGCATGCGTATTTATTCTTGATCATGACAAATATTTTACCGTTTCAGTGTTAAAAATATACTTTTTATGCAAAGAATTTTCTAATTGCAAAATTCTTGGCATATTTATTAATTATGACTATAGAATTTATTATATCGTTAAACTATGTTTTAATGGTCTTAACACAACACAAAGTTTACATAAGCGTTAAAATTGCACGTGACATTGTGTTGATAATTTGAACAATAAAAGTTGTTTTCTTGTTGACTGAAATCTGACACCGGAATTACATTAATTACTTTGTTTTACAGACATTGTACAGATATGAAAATAAAAATACTACGTCATGTTGTCCCGATAACATTTTTTTTTTCTTGTTTGTAGTTATTTAATTTGTTAACAAAATATAAATATTAGCTGACATCGTAGACGTTCCGATTAGAGATATTCTACGAATAAATACTTTAAGAGTAATCGTACAATAAAATGCGTACAACAAGAGTGCGACGACGTGCGATCAGTCAGCGATCATATGCAGCTTGTACACATAACATACCATCCCGCTTGGCAGCCGGCGCATGCGCCTGCCCGTGCGCCTGCGCCGGCGCTGATGGAATGCCTTTATTATATGCTACTACCAATGTTTAATTATGCTGTCATTATGCAAGGCAACTTAGATAAATGTGTTTTAGTTAGCTCTAATCTCGATAAATTTGTCTCTTCCTTGGTAGAATAGATGCTTAAATGATTGGAAAAAAATTTATTTAGTTAGTTTGTGTAAAGTTTTTGAAATATCTTACGCGGCAGCTTGATAAACAACTTTTATGTTAATTTTGAGAACTTCGATTTCTTAAGGTAGAATTTATTATAGACATTAACTACTATTTTGAGTAATTATTTTATATTTATTAATATCGGAAAATATAATTTTTATAAGATATTTAAAAAATATGATCAGGAACAGAGGGAAATAATTTATAGATGTTCATGTAATCTCTAATCAAAGTAGAGTAACATTTTCCTAGCAACAAGCAAAGAAGCAAAGATTTTGAGCGATGCGTTCACGTTTTAATTTCTATTCGTCTGCGGAAATAAACTGTTTTTCTTAACTGTTCTGTGTCAACTTCCGAGACAGATTGAATAAATATCATGTCGGAGAAAACATATTTATGGCTTAGGGTTCGCGTACACGATATATTTATTAATATAATGTATACTTAACGTATCGCCCTTTATTAGTTTTATTTTAATTCGATAAGTGGGCACCTACTACGTTAATGCTACGAAATTGTACATAGAGGTACGAGCATTTGAAAGATCTACGAAAGTGCTACGAAATTATTCTTCGCTCAAATTTTCATGTTAAATTGAATTAAAAAATTGCTGTTAAAATTAGGTCATGTATGAAACATGAGATTTCGTTTTATTAATATGACCTGAATCATTAAATTCAGTTGCTGTTGTAAAACTGCTACGATTATTTCATGTCAACTTTCACATACATATCTGTTTTTGTAAGAAAGCATAAAGCATTAATAAATCTTAATATCTCAATTTGAATGAAATTTCTGCAACTGTTATATACACAGCGCAAACAAGTAAACTCATGAAAATTTAACTAAAATAAATAAAATGTTAAATATAAATGAACATATACAAACCTCCGATAATCTGCAGAAACTATGTTGCACAACACTTAAAACACCGAAAATAATTTTAATGTTATAATAAATAAATAATTAAGTTAATATCTTTATAATCTTTACGAAGATCAAAGGCGGGGAAATTTTTAATGATGGCCGCCGCGCGCAGGCTCGCGCACTTGTGATGAGCGCGCTGCACTGCCGGCTGACTGTTCCCGCTCGGTCTCAGTGGTCCACTGGTCTCTGGTTCACACTGGGGACTGGACACGACACAAGTTAACGCAAGAATAGGTCGCTCTCACCCTTTTCTTTCTCACTAATCATAACAGCTAGTGATTAGCGAAACATTTGCTATGTTATAGTTAGTATGAAAAACGCGCGCAATGTAACTCACACGGGCATAAAATGTTTGTTTTTCGATCTGAAAAACGTTTCTTTATGATGTATGATACTTTTCAGTCCGAAATGTTTGTGTTGTAAATTACGATGTTTCAACACAAAGCTGATTGTAACCATATGTTGTTTTTTCCTAAATTAGTCAATTCTAAGAAAAGGTACAACTGTTGTATAAGATGAAAGATCTTTAAACATTTCAAATGCGATTTAATATTTTAATAGCTATACATACTGTTAAGTAAACTTGAATTTTCCGAGGTTTCCGGTCACTGAGAACCGAGTAGATTAGCTGGTACAGTATTATAATTATATACTAATTATTTTAAATATGAAACGGTTGATGGTTAGATTAAAAGTAATCAGTGCTATAATAAAATTAATTTCCTTCAGATAGATGTAAAAGTATTGTGCCGTGGCGAGGTCCCGGTCGGGTTATAAAAAGCGCATCCATCGGCGGCCGGCCGGCAAGAATAATAAACAAAGGAGGGTCATTAAAATGGCTATTTCGGACCGTCTGCCCGCGCCGACAATCTTTTGTACGCTGTCATGAACTGAAGCGGTATCATATACAGTTTATCTCTGGTTCAACAATGAATCAACTGAAACACAAAGAGAAAAACCTTGCTAAAATCGACCCTCAGGGAGGTTAAAGGATCAAACTGAAGTAGATCCGCCAAAAACAGTAGCAACTGCTGAACATCTTCGTATAGCATAGCGTTACCGCGTCTATCGCTCACCCTGTGGACATTTATCCCACCTAATCCCGCAACTAACCCGTCTGTGACTTGAGCAATACATTCCTAGCATCGATAGTACGCCTTGCTGCCAGGGCGTGAGGTATTTGTAGTACAAAAAAGTACAACGCGTACGAGTAGTCACTATAAATCCTCACTCTACTCAGTCGTTTTAACTTCTCCAATTGTATTAGTGGACCAGATTGTAACAAACTGGTTAATTATAACACATCATTAAATGAGAGAATGTCTTCATATTTGATTACTTCTTTCTTACACGACCAAGTGCTTTTTGTAAACTGTCGACAAGCGTTAACATTTTCACGTTGGTTGAATAAGTACTCGATGCAAGGAATAACTTATTTATATAACAAAGTAATTATTTCCAACCTCATTGTAACTCACTCAGACTTAGTTTTAGATTGGTAATATTCCTAACTAGAACAAACACAAACTAGTAATATTCCTCAGAATTACATCTAGAGCACGTGTCTATGTTTAACAAGTCATCCATTCCTGCATTCATCACTTACTAGCCATAACAAATTTAACACTATAAACACATTTCAACATCGTTCATCGCTGCAACAGATATCCTCGACAGAGATGGCGCTGCGATAGCTGGACTATTTCTGTTGTCCATATAACACGACTATCAAATATCTTTGGATTCTATTACAGACTTATTAAAGTTAATGAGTGTGTTCTTTCTCTTTGTTATTCTTGTAATTTTATAATAAGTACCTAGTTAACCAATAATAATAGCTATTTACAAGTTTCTCGACCGTTGAAACTAAAATTCAAAGAGTTATAAGAAAAACGGATACATCGCCCCGTTTCCAAAGCAACCGATACAAATACAAACATTGAAGAGAAACGTTTCCAGGTGTTTAATTTATGAAGTCGGGACTGATGAATACCGCACCTTCTACAGAACGAAACGCGAACCCCTCAATATAATGTAGAGCACTTACAACATATGAAAAAATGGTATTAACGTTTTTTTCCCTTCATCTTAAAGGTATAATTTTGTTCTGAAAAAATTACATATGCAACCTAAATATAAAAAAGGACCAGCAATAACAAAAAACAAAAATAGAATTTTCTTAATTAAATTAACATAAATTTGAAAAATTCATCTTATAATTGTTGCACAATTTATTTTATTGCCCAACAAGGCTGTCTAGCTTGGTGCGAGAGGCGCTGCTATCGATTGGTTCTGACAGAAAATATGAAAAGCTTACGTGAACATAGAAAAGAGTCGTACGACAAAAGCATAAAAAGAGGGCGCTAATGAGCTATCATATTTAGTTTCAGTTATGTCCACCGGGTCAGATGTCTCTGTCGGTCTATACTTTTATTCCGGCCGTTACCTCGAGTTTCTGAAAATCTGTGTGAAACGTATCGTTATCTCTAATGACTAGTAATAACGTCTAGGATAAAGATATGTATTATACAGAGATTTTGGTCTTAGAAACCAAGGGTTTTTTTCTTTCAAGACCACAAAAGAAAAGATTTTTCTGTGTGGCCTTTTCTATCAAAATAAGATAAAGAATTACGTTTAAAAAAATCCTTTTAAACTCTCTATTAAAGTTTATATTCGGATATATAAATTGATCAATACAATAAACCGAAATTCCAATACTTTAATGCCCGATACATTCGATATAAAGTTTATGTGAATGTTCTCAGCGATCGTAAATTGCTCTCATCAGCAAATATTTACGTTTTGCTAAGCAGAAGTGAGACGGGACGCGCGCCGCGCCGCGCCGGCTTCGCGCGAAATTGTTTGACGCACCAATACACGGTATTCAATAATGTTTATTGAAACAACACTCGATTGATCACATTAAAAGCGATAAATATTTATCTAATAAATCGTCGGTTATTGTAAATTAGCAGACATAAAATGAATAAATTATTACTTTATGTTCCAAGAAAATAACGTTTTAAAATATTCCATTCTTGTCTTTTTTAACCAATAGAGGGCGTTATTCTGGAGGAGGGTTTGAATAATATAAAAGTTTAGTTCAACAAGTTTTATTAATTTGAGCATCATTTTTCTTATTCTGTACACAAATATAGCTAATACTATATTAATAGAATTTTTTATGCTCTTAATAATTATTGTCAAACATAACCCTAACCAAAAATATCAATTCTTAAATGTAAATTATGTTTTCTCAACATACACGCTAAATCAAACTGTGTAATAATACATTATGTAGTTAAAATTATATGAAAATGAAACAAAAAGAATGTTTCATTCATACATGTAAGACATACTAATCCAAAAATGACTATTTACTTTTGCAAACAATATATAATATTTTACAGAACCGAGTAATGCAGAAATATAATCAAACTGGAAATATATTTAATGTTATACATAATTTTCTTTATTACCATAACAATATTACATTAACCTTGTCTCAAAGGAGTTCAAGTTGTTCAACATCAATTACTTTACATTTTATAAATTGATTTCTTACACATTTACAAACATTCAAAGCACCCAAAGAGATTGAAACATATGTAGTTATAGAAATGACATAATGCCTACATTACCACTGTTTATCAAATCAAAACCAGCGCTATTGGTTAACATATTAATAAAATATAGGATTTGAAACACATAATTTGGATCATCATCAGCTCACTATACGTCCCCACAGTGGGGCTCGGAGCCTTATTTTGATAATATATTATAAAGACATTGAAAATATCAAAAAACATTGTTATGATATATACACATATTTTAATATAATACTTCTATTTTATAACACTATGTAAAATCATAGAGAAATTATTACAATTTTGGCAATTTTTTTTATGACATGCCAAATGCACTGTATAGTGTTACAACTTGGCATGTCAAACTTGACAACTGAGATAGCACCAGTGGTTTATGCATTTGAGCTAAAAAAAATAATTTGTAATGTCCATCCTCTTTACTTAAATGTCTTTGCAAGCACCTTAGAAGAAAAAAATAAATGTTAAAGTATATTTGAATTTTCTAGCATTTCATTTCATATTTCGTAAAAAAAAATGTCTATAAATTTTAATAGGAACATCATTTATAATAGTTAATTTGAAAAATATTATATTCATGAGCTGATAAAATTTTAACACAAATTTCAACAGTATAACAATATCGTGTAGATTTACTTGAAGTGTAATAAACACAAAGACTAACAAATTCAATTATTTAGCTGTCCTTCTCCCACTTATGCTGTGTCATAAACCTTAGAGCTACTATAACATTCAACAGTTTGAGCGCATGTTTTAAAAAAACAGATTGACGAGTTGCAACAACATTGCATGACTCCCTGTGTCACAAATCATAGTTAAAATCTGCCCGTTCCAAGTCTCGTATCTCCACAATATCAGTCTTGAGTCGTAGTTTTAGAATTTCCCTCCAAATCGCCTCCCTGTGCTCCTTGTTTGTGATGCCCATTCTTAATAAAGTATTGTCATTGATTCTAACTAGAGCTCTTCCAGTAATATCATGCTGTGAATTAACAATTAATATGGAAATTATTGCACATTAACACTGTATCTTTGTTGAATAATTTTAATAATTGATCCACAACTGACAATAATTTACATTACCTCATGAAACCTTTCCCAGTACAGGCTGTAGTAGTCACTGCAGTGACGGCGAAGCCATTTCTGTACGTCGGCTTCAGTCCATAAGTACACTGCTTTAGGCCTTGTTGCCTTCGTCTGAAGCAAGAAGCATTATTTTAATTAAAAATTCAGATTTAATGTTGTTATGCAGATAGAAACATGCAAAAGTAGTAAGATAATATAACTCAGCATCATTGAATTAGAACAGCCTAAAGGTAGCTTAAAGTGAATACAAATACAAAGTCAGAAATTGTAAATACCAAACACGGCTCTCCCGCATTACATTATTAATTTTACCTTTGGCTTATTAGTATTTAAGGCGGAGTCTTCAACCATTTTGATTATTAAATTTTCTTCGTACTTCTTTTAATTTTGTAATCTTAACACATTTTTGTAAAAAAAAACAAACATTAAGAAATGGCATTTGATTTTGACAATAACAATGTCATTATATAGATTTGATTTGACAATGTCACAAGTGTCACAGATAAAATTAAAAAGGCAAATACAGATGAACGAAATTCCATATAATTATATTTCCCATTGGAAATATTTTCAAAAATAACACTAATATTTGAAGAGTCTCTTAACTTTTCCTCGCCTTTTATAATTACTTCCTTGTAAGTCTTCCCTAACCGTAGTAACGGGTTGCAGAGCCATTTTTGGCAACATAACAGCAATGTCAAATATAAAATTAATTTTATTTTTAAACATTACTTTCTTGGCAAAAAATAGCAACATTTGTGCATATGTCAGAAAATGGTAAGAATTGCCGGATTTGTCATCTGCTGAAAAATAAAATAAATCGTCTTATACCGGAATTTTTCATCTCAAGTTTATAAGATGCAACTGTAAACCTTTCGCTATGGCACAGAATTTACAGAAAAAGCCCTCAAAGGGCATATTAAAGACCTCAAGAAGTGTCGACGGGCAAGACGGAACACCTTCTACGAGTAAGAGACCAAAAGAGCAGAGGTTTGACGAAATGAACATTATGGAGACGTTTCATCCTGCCGACAAAGATTACGGACATATGAAAGTGGACGAGCCTAAAACTCCTTTCTCAGAAGCGATAGATGGCGACTTAGAGCCGGCAGACGAATTAGACGCAAACATATTGGCGGCAAAGCTCGCGGCGAGCATGAACAAGCCGCCCAAGTGCGTGGAGCCCTGCGACAGCGATGAGGATATGGATGAGCCCGAGGAAGTGCGACAGCGGCGCCTCGAGTTTGAAAAGAAACGGAAAATGCACTACAATGAATTTCAGGTTATATTTACATCTACATATTTTTGTAATTTTTAGTTCTATAGTAAATTTCAAATGATGCATATTATTTTAAATTTGTTTTGCCTTTGGGCCTTTGCAATTCATTTAAAATACATGTTTATTATTTTACCATGTATATCAAGACTTTTGCATGCAATCCAAATTACTAGCAATACAAACACTTTAAATATAATTAAGTAAATCAAATACCAATATACTTCACTAAATCTATATAAATATTATTAACATAGAACATCAGTTTGGCATTATTTATCAACAATGTAATAAAATTGGTAAATGGTAACTAAATCTTCTTCTATGTAGATGTAAATGGTTAATTAGTAAGTTTAGTGGGTGTTGGATGTGTTGTGGTGATGACTCACACTTTATCATTCAAGTGGCTGGCGGCCTACGCTTTGTACTTGATAACAAAATTACATGCAATTTGCCTTTATATATTTTTTTAGGTACTATCTCATCTGGTATATTTATAGATTTAATATGAATTTAGGTTGATTTGAGATCTTTGTTTTTTGTTTTAAATTTTGTAGATATCTAATAAAATTGCATGACTTATCTAGTTTTCTCCTACTTAGTGGTGTACTGAGATTTGTTTCATGCTTAATATATAATGAACCTGGCTGAGTAACAACCTTATTGCTTATGTGCCCTGAATGAAAAATTACACCTTATTATAAAAAAAACACTCTTCCGCTTTCGTTTAGTAAATATAGATAATAATGATAATGTTCTACAAACCTATTGTTCTATCTTAACAGCTAACAATGACTGAAATTGTATACTACATAGAGATATGTATATAATAGCTTGTGTAGGTACAGTAGTTATGACACATAGTGCATTTATTAAAGTTAAACAATGAATGCACATTGCCTATTTACACTTATTCGCTTCTCTAACTCCAGGATGTTATAAGATCAAACCAAACCATTTTGTATTCATTGAGAATTATTAATAATATGAAATAGAGGTAAATAAAATAATTAGAAAAAAATATGTAATAATTTTTATTAAAGCTTTAAAATGAAACGTCAATAGCCTAATGTACGGTTACGGGTACGGATTTCCGATAACTAGGTCGGGGTCGAATCCCGCCATTCGACCATTGTCATAAATATTATCCTAACACAAGCCTAGAGCTTAGTTGGAATGGTAAAAACAAATATTAGTAAATTTCCAAAAAAAATCTGCTAATATTTTAAAAAAAAAGAGAGATCTGTTTAATAGTGAATTAGAAAATCTCTGATTACATTATGGTCTATCCATTTTTTTTGCATTAAATTTTTTTAGTCAAACAATACACATAGAAGTATTTTTAACTCTATTTTGTTAAGTGATGTGTTAATGAAGGCGTGTCACGCACGCAAGACGGTATAACGTTTTTGGCAAGGTCACACCCATGCCAAATGTATAGAGAGACCCTAAATGTCTAGTACTTATTGTTAATGCTTATAACAATGAAACATGTTAAAAGTCTCATTTGAAAAATGTCCTATGGGTAAATAAAAGGGAAATATTCATGAAATAGCTGAAATACCTTGTATTTTGAAAGAATAGTCTTTATTGTATTGATAAGGATTTTTTATATAGCTATTACCAGAAAGTGTTATAACATCCAGATATATAAAATAAATATATCACTTTTATCTGTGACTTATCAACAAACAATGTAATAAACTATCAACAGCGATGAATTACATATAATAATAGTACTCAAATTTTATTAATCTAACTTTAATCGGAATTTCCAATCTTCTTATCACATCTTGGATAATTTAAGTATTTTTTCATTGTAATTTGATAGATCTTCATTTATATTTTTTTTAATCTGCAAAACTATTATAAAATAAATAAACATCTTACTATAATATGAAAATATATGCAACAAAATAAAATAAAATTTTAGTTTATGTCCTTACTACAGTTGCATGCATGGAGAGTTATTTACATAATACCCTAAATATGACACATACATATTAACCCATTGCAGGCATTACAGCTGGCGCGGAAGCTGATGGCGCAGGAGGAGGAGGAGGAAGAGGAAGAGAAGGAGACGCGCTCCGCCACCTGACTGCAGCCCCTCAGCGCTGCCTCTCGCTGTACATAACACGGACCATCTCAAGCTGGTTGGTTGCACTGACATTGTGTTGTATGTTTGTTGAATTGTAAATATAGCAATTTATTTTTTTCTAGTAGTAATTATTTTTCCCACTCCAAATAACATATACTTATATTTTACTTAATTAAACATTCAAATGCTTCAATGTAAACCTACCAAACCACGACCCACATTTAGGCCAATATCTGTGTCTAGCAAAATTTTCTTTCTCAAAACAAATGGTTCGGGATTTATCTAGGAGGTGAAATTTCTATTTCCAGGTTCATTTCTTTTAAGTAAGAATACTTACTAGTAAGTTCTAGACGTAATATTTACATATTTATTATAAATGTTTAATTATGAAGCTTAAAACAAACAACAGTTATATAATGATATAATAATTTCTTTCCAGGATTTCGTCAAACATTAGTTCCAGCTTCCGCAGACAATATGTCACATATAAGTTGGTACTTATGCCATAGGCGTTGTGTTCCTCAACTCGGCTGTAAGAAAATGTATGTGCGTGCGTTAGATTAGTTTATATGCGACGGAGACTTATCCGTGATTTATATGATAAATTTGCATTTTTATTTCTACAAGTGTTCGCGTGACGAACGATCGTTCGCCGAATATTTAATGCGACGCTTACTGTAATGTTAAGGAAATTATTTACAATCAAGATGTGCACGACATTCTTTTGTATTTACAATTTATTAGTTCGTAACGCTACTTTGACGTAACTTCGTCATAAAACAAAATGCATTAGAGCTTGTTCATGTATAACTCGCGCTGTGCCGCTATTTAGATGTCACTAACTCATACAACAAAATGTTTTATGATTTTTTTAGACCGCGTTCGCGCCCGTGACTTACGTATGAACAAGCACTAATGCATTATTCTTGCATCATTTAGGTAAACATAATTCACATAGATTTATCAATTTGTTAATACTTTCAGTACGCAATAGCGCTTCCAAATTTAAATAAGATTTTTATAAAGTGTATTATTATTATAGAGGCCAGGGTAATCGATGCTACTCGATAAAATGCTTAACTTATACGAACTTATAAGACCGACAGGGCAGATAAAAGTCGACTAACTTACATAGACCTCTCTGAAGATGAAACTACGATATGGATAAGGTTGTGAGAGCTTCGTACAAGAACCAGTTTTATTGCGATTCTTAGGCTTTGTTCACAACAAAGTTATTATCAGTCAGTCACAGTGAGCCGCGACTTTGTCAGGGCAAAGACGAAGTCGCAGATTCTTGGGCTCACAATCGACTTCATAGAAGGATAAGGCGGCGACTGACAATATATTTCGTATTATCGCGTCCTTATGGAGGTCTTCATCTTGCAGTGGAAGAAAAGAAATATAAATTTACTCGTGCATTCGCCCCAATTGATTGACTGTAAAAACTAGTCGGTAATTTGTAATTTTCGTTTTATCCAATATTAAAACATATTTGATTTGTTTTCTTTTAAATTCTAGGTCTATATCTATATACATCTACATGTATGTTTTAAAATTAAGATGCAAGAACTTCGCAAGGATTTATAGAAAACTTATTAACTACGCAATGCACTACAAATTAATTCCTAAGCATAGAATCGAATAGGACATCAGCTGATTATAATATTTGATTTGGTAATACGTTGATGCTAACAGAGATGAGCAATTTCAACAATAAAACCTCAGAAGACGTTAAAAGTGTTAGAATGTCGTGAAATATTTTCTTTTTATTGTGCCAAATTGAGCAAAATTCCTCTCAAAATAAAATTATATTTAATTGACCAGTTATGTATTATGTTAAAAGTTTTATATATTAAAGGCAATTATGTAACGAGTTTAAAAGAGAGTATATATTATATACAGATAAACAACAGAAGAGTAATATGTTGTATAGACATATTTATAAACTATCCTAGACATCTGCATGTTATAATTTGTTACGGAGTAGGAATTAAAAACATATTACAATGTTACATTTGTAATTCTTAAGTGCGTTTGTTTTTGGGTAACCGTCTTCATTTATAACCTTAATTTCTAAACTTATATTTACTAATAGAATTTTTTTTTATTTACAATATGTACTAACACTAATCGCTTCTGATGACAATTTAATACAGACTGGATATCATTTCATTTTGTTTTATTTATTTTTACTCTGTATTTTTTCTTTATTTTTTTTAATAATTTTTTTTTGTAACTCTTCGAATTAAGCTTGTTAAGCTACTGATACGGCAGGTTTAATATTAGTTGCTCAAACTATGAGTAACAAAAGGGGTAAAGAAAAGATAATAGACAATAAATTCTAGATTTCTAACATTTAATTTTTTACCTGATCCCTGAATATTATGAATATATGTTTACTTATTGCACTGTATACCATAGAAAGAGAAACATAGAATCTGGACCTCTGGACTAAGTCTCATAAAAAACTCAGCTTTTTTCAAAAAATGAGCGAGATAACATATTTTAATAGCAATACAAATGTAGAATGCACAAAAACCATTAGTTGGCCTTATTAAAATTATTTTTACTGTACTATTTATAATAGAAAGAAGTTTGTAAAGCAGTTTTTTGTTTTATTTTCAACAAAATAAGTCCTCACATTGCTCACAGGTTCATTGTCCTCCTTAGATTAATACCATTTTATCTAGACATTCTCTTTTATCAATTTAAGACTAAATTTAGCTCATCTTTTAATTATTTGCCTAGTGAAATTGTAAACTGACAATTTTCGCAATCGGCCGGTGACCGATGAACGGACGCAAATTTTTTTTATACCTATTTAACATAATGTTGCCACTCACCATCAACTAAAGATGTGTGAATCAGCTCTGAAGTGGCTCAATAGAAAGCAGGTACAAATTGTGCTGAGTTGCAGTTCACTGATCTGCTTCAGTAATGCAAACCGTGACCTGAACTGCATGCTATTTTAATCGAGTTATCTAGCCAGCGGTAAGAAATGATCTCGTAAGTTAAAAAAGAACTGTGTACAATTAATTGGGAATCAGTATTATTAAAGTATTCTATTTATATTGTGAAATTATTCATTTTTCACGACATTATTTACAATTTATTTTTATTGAGTAAATAAAAAAAGTTGTAAATGAGATCTATGCAATGCTGTTTACAAAAACGGAATGTCAGTCCGTAAATGGCGCTTGTGTACGTACGACATTTATGTTTGAAAAAAACGTCGCCTTGACGACGAATTTTGTGAATTTTCTATGTACTATTTGCGTGATTGTAATATGAATGACTTAAATTATGGATGACACAGAAAAATTAACGCCTCATACAACAGACCACAAGGCAAGTATTTGATTTAATAACATCTATTTATGAATGTTTTACAAAAGCTTCCGAGGATATTTATAAACGTTGATTTAATTCGTAAAAGTTCGTTTTAAAACCTGCGGATAGAGTTTTTTCTATAATACCTGTAACAGGTCTGTTTGAAATTGTTGTTTTACTTCATTTTTGTAGACACTACTACCGTTGAAAAATATTTACTCCGCGAGTTTATTTTTATTATTTTGTATATTTTTAGAATGTCCTTCCGGATGTCGTACATTCTCAACAGATTCCCAACATGAGCACGATCGAAGACGATGAATCGGAATCTGCTCTCGATACAGGTCAGACTGCTGAAGGCGGCAAATCGCAACATGTCGAGGTCGATGATGAAACAGAGTCAATATCTGAACATGTCCCATCCGAAATTGAATATTCCGTAACCGAGTCGGGCGATTTAAACGAAGGGCAGACATCTCATGATATATTAAATGTTGATAAAGGGAATACCTCAGATAACAGCGCAAATATTCCTGTCCCACATTCTAATAACAGCAACCTTGAAGATCCTTCCAAGCTCTCTTGGAATGTTGATAATAATACTCATATTAGCAAAGAGAGCCCTGTTAATTTGACTATGTCAATTGATTCAAAGGGAATTCTCTCAAAGTCTTTATCACTTCATTCTGACAATAATGAACAAAAAGAGCTTGAAAATGAAAGTAGTATTAAATCTGACCACTCTGACCAACAGCAGGATGATCAAAAAGATGAAGTTGATAGTCCAAAGGAGTCACTTTGTAGTGAATATCTTGATTCACTGAATGAAGATGTCAGTCAAAATTCCTATTCAAACAATGAAAATAATATATCTGATACTTCAAAACACTTTGAACATAAAGCTGAGGGAACTCCCAGAGACAGCTCTGAATCTGAGGAGATCATTAAGCTAGATATTAGAGGTCATGGTGTACCTAAATTTCCTATGCAAGCGGCAAAAATTATCTTTGGTCCGCCCCCTGAAGGTGGCACAGTTATCGAGAGCCAAATTGCTCCAATTCCTGCATTCCAGAATTTATTATCACCATTTTTAGTTGTTGGCAATGAGGGGGTAAAGGTTGAGGAGATTTATGATGAAGTGGAACAGAAGAGCCAACAGGCTTCACCGGAAAAGTCACCAATGGAGAGTCTGTCAAGTGATAAAACTGAAAAGGATCTATTAATTGAAGAAATGACAGTTGAAAATGCAAAAGAAAAAGATGAAGAGAGTCCGAGGCAGTTGAAGTCAATGCCAGTAGAGGAGACAATTTCAATGAGTACAATGACAACGGATTATAAGACTATATGCGAGGAATATCAAGAGAAGGTACTGCTTGTGTGTGGATATTGTTGCTGTGTGTGCATTGTCCTGGTGTTCTTGCTTTGTGTGTTGTTAATACTGGTCACGCACCTCACTTGCTTGGTAACACTTTATTATTTGCACCAGGTTAATTATCTCCTGCATTCTTGTTATAAAATTTAATGACCAACATTTTAAGTGAAAATTATGAATAAAACTGCATGTTGACTAATATTCATTTATTTTATTTTTTTGTACATAGAATTAACATAAAGGTTGCCATATTTTAACATTTAATTTATATAAAATGCTAATTTGGTTAGACTAATTACTTATTGGAAGGGCTAGATTAGTACATTGGTGTGGGGTGTGCATGTTTTGATTATCATATGGCCTGTGTATAATGTTTATTTGTGAGTTTCCACTGCCAAAACATGTTTTAAGAAGAAATATTGCAATTTTTTCCTTAAACTGAAAATGTTATTGTAAGCATGTTTTGGAAGTGGGTAATCACAGTATACATCATATTGTTATGAGTTCACTGCTTTGGCTGCTCATGCTATTTTTATGATGTCTAAAATATAGTGTGTGTGCATGTGGAAATAAATACAAGATTAACAGCAGGCCGGGGCTTGCAGGGTCAAACAATAAGCACAAATAATAAGCCTATGCATTTTAACAATCCTGGTATATATAATTTATTTGAGGGTAGTTAAATAAACATATGTTGCGGTATGTTATGATGAAAGAAGTTTTACATAAAGTTTTTATATTTATTGATCAACCAATTAATGAAATCATATACAATGGTATATAATATACACATAACAACTTATTCATTAAACTACCTCAAAAAATTAGTAAATAAAACATGAATAAATTATTTATGATAAGCAAAAAAATGACGACTGCTAATTATTCTAATTTTGGCACAGCAAATATGTTCATGGTACAAGAATATTTGCTTGTATGATTGCTAGTTGTATTGAATGCTTGTTTGTACTTTCAGCTTGTGTACCTCGAAGACGCGATGACGCGACGTGACGAATTAATCGCGGAACTGACCGTCTCGTTACAGCGATCCGTCCAGGAACGGGACCAGCTCAAACATGACAACCACCATCTGGTGGACGAACTGCAGCACTTGCAGCACGTCACCGCTGACGCACCACTATCCGAACATGACACAGTAAAAGCGCAACTGTCCGATTTTATCAAGTACCAGTCCATGGTCAAAGATGACACCACAAAGTTCTATTCCGCCGTGATGAGTGGCACAACATCTTTGCAGTGTTCCAATGGTGAAAAAGATATTGACAGAGAGGAAATCACAGTTAACTATTCCAAATCTGATTTAAGATCTTCCGATACGGACGAATTTGAAAACGGTTTTGAGGTTAAAGTGGTGACGTTGTTAAATAAATTCGAAGAGTATATAGAAGAGAATTTAAGAAATAAACTGCGCGAAAGTATTATTCAGGTATTGTGCGATGAAATTGGCAAGATGCGTATAGATTTCGATACGGAAATGAAAGATATGGAAGCTCAGTTGCAACAAGACAAACAAGCGTATAGTATCGAGACTCGCCGGCTGCGGGAGCTGCTGGCCTGCGTAAAAGCGGGCAACGCAGACATCGACGCCTTGAGAGAGGAGCTCAGCATCAAGCATGAGAAAGAGATGGAGAATCTACGGACATATTTCGAAAAGAAATGCTCTGATATGGAAAGAAGGTAAAAATGCATTCCAGTATTTTATTTAGATTAATATAATGAAATTTATTAATGACTAATTCTCTCTATTTATGCTGCTAAGGCCATTAAAAAGAAGGTAAGGTTATTTTAATATTGTTTTTAATTAAATATAAGTGAGTCAGATTGTACAAATAGTTCATAATTTATCTAAATAATAAGTTTTAGATTATAATAAGTTATACAACGGTTGCAGCTACTCTGAGGAGGTGTGGCGCGGGCGCGCGTGCGTGTCGCCCCCGAGCGGCGCGGCGTCCGAGTGCGCGGACGCGGCCGCCGGCGACTGCAGGCGGCGCACGCGCAGCGCCGACTTACCCTCGCTCACATTCGAGGTGTGTATAAAAAAGATAAATATATATTCATTTATTATCTTATGTTGGACTCTTGTGAACAACAAAACCTTATGTTTAAAGTAATTTAAAATAGTTTTTTCTATTTACTTCCAGTCGACTCCGATGGAGCAGTTGATAAAGCAATTACACAAGAAGTACGAACAACAATTGGAGGAGATGCGCGGCGAGCACGCGGCGTATGTGTGCGACCTACGCGACAAGCACGCGGAGCGAGTCGCCGCGCTGGAGGAACAGGTAGGACATGACAAAGCAATACAATGCCGCACTCATAGTAGTTTAGTATTGCTTAGTAACATATTAACGATGCCTCCCCATTTTCATTTGTTTTTTCTAGATTAACCAACTGAAAGCGCACATCCAGACAGCGGAGAACACGGAGGGAAATGTGTCCATTTACCCACAAGACATTGACATGGAGCTGGAGAAGGTCAGTGTCACACTGTACACATATGAATGTTTATTATGATTGGTGTGTACAAACCCTTATACTTAACCATTACAAAAATGAGTTTCATCTCTTAATCTGATCAAATGTGCTGAAATCACATAATTGGCATGTAAAATGATGTTACTATTTGAATTGTATATTCGGAAATTATTTTCGAAATTTTTTTTGATCAGATTTATCTTCTGTATATTTTTAGTATCGTAAATAATGTTTTTGTTATTGTTAGTACTAATTTAATCTGTATAGTTATAATGCACGGTTTTTGGTAACAAATATATAAACATTACTTTCTTGTAAAAATCTTCCATATCAAAGCAAATACCGATTCAATCGAGCAAAATGTTATGATTTTAACGATATTTCTCTTAAAAGACATAATATGTAAGATTCACACACATTCAGAGCTGAATTCAAACCTTTTCAATGCACAAGTTCTGGTATAAAGTTCATCTGCAAAAAGAGCATACTTTCCTTTCTATCTGTAAAGGTGCTATTTGTAAATATAATCTATCTAATATGTGGGTGTTATTTCTCTCCTGCATGCTTGGAATGCCACTAACCTGTGCGTGTCACTAAACCCGTCGGACCGCCTCCGTACCGACTGCGTACCGACTATGTACCGACTGCATACCGACTACGTACCGACTGCGTACAACAGGATGCAGTGGAGAATAGACTGGAAGAGGTCCGTCAGGAAGTGCTGGACCAAATACAAGAGCAGATTAAGGTGGGTACTCGCTTATATACTTGCTATATACACATCATGATTAGTCAGCTTTTAAGCAATACATAAACCTTTAAAAATGTTATAGAATGTCCACTGGCTGACGCATGAAAGGGACAGGTTTGAAAACCTAAGCTATTTGGTAGCCTGTAGGTGCTATAAAATAGTTAACAGGTCATTTTGCTTGGTGAGCGAAGAAGCTGAAGGCTATTTGTTGAAATTCAGTAATTAGCAATAAAATATCTACTTGCTATTTTTGCTTCGCATCCCTTTGGTGAACTCGAAAACAAGAAAATTTGGCTTTTATTTAATTTTGTAATTCCTTTCCAAATGCTTTAGGCATATATTCACATACAGAATCACTTAGGTACGCTCATACATACACATACAAACATCAAGAGTTCGTTGAGAGTACATCAAACCCGGAACACGTGGTGGTGCCAAAATAATATTTTGGCGACGCGACAGTCCCGCCTGAGTGCTCGCAGAGTGCTCTCATAAAGCACCAAGCGTACTGAGGAAGACGTTTATTTCCTCCCCATTTCGATGAAATTATATTTGAAGCTCACATTGATGTTCGAAAACCTGCCTGAGCATAAGCATACTTGCTTATAAGTGGGAAGCGAATTTAATTCTCTGACTGCACCTTGTGTTTGGCGGTCCGCCAGCTAGTGCAGTAGTGGACACAGGCTGGTCACTTGAAATAGACCAAGGTCTGAATGACTATAGTTTTATTTCAATGGACTTTCTTGTAACTCACTAGAAGGACTCTTTTATATACATCTGTGTTATCGTTATAGGATTTGTTTTAATTTGTGTATTTTGTATGAAATGTGACAGTGTTTGTGGTGTGCTCGTGACGTGGACATGTGAAGGCATGCCAGATCGGAATTATTTGCCAATTTGCAGACGAGTAAGTGTGTTTATTATCGACACATTATAAAACAAGAAAAAAGTTAATTTCATTAAATTTTTGATATACAAAATAACTCATAACATACACATTCCTGGTACTGTCTCAACTCTTAGATGACTTGCTTTAATATCTTGACGAGACCTTTTTTCTAACATTATTTCTGTCTTTCCGGCATCTGTAAATTCAAAGTTTCTTATCTCAATCACTTTTTTAAATAGTTATATGATATTTAAGACATTATTAACTAGAATCATTTAGCGCAAATGCGCGCTTTCGTTACCAAGTCAAGAGTTAGATTGAATGATTGATTGTTGAAGGGACTTAAACTTTGATATTTTAATAAGGTTAGTGTTGCGCCGATACACCGGCACAGTGTCAGTTTTTCTTCCTAACAGAGAATACAAAACTACTTAGAAATGAAAATAATTAAGTTAAAAATAACACGCTTCCCTATAAATGTGTCATGTGTGTCATGAAGCTCTCCACTCCTCAGTTAAATGGTCAATAAAATGTCACTATCAAAGAGGCAAGTCATAGGTCATCAGATTTTCTTTACGTCGCTATCTACTCTTTATTGAGTTTATCTTGAACAGTATGAGTTACGTGTTTTAAGTTGTTTATAAATTCAATAATATGATAAATGACGTAAGGAAAATAATATTACTGTGACCACACTTCGTTGAATACAAGTGTCGAAAAAAATATTGTTTTTCCTCTCATTGTCTTTGACAGAATAGAGACAACAATATTTTTAGTAGAAGGGTATCGTTCTAGGATTAGCGTAATCAATATATTAGCTACCACCTACCTTTTATTAATCCAATGAACGGTACAATTTTAGATTTTTATAGTTCTTAATTTACAAATTTATTACGTACGTTTATGATAACGTAAATTACACGTCGTAGTTTATAATCGTAAGTACTGGTATAGTGCGAGTCGGGTCATCGCCATTTTGTTCGTGGTTCTGGCGGGACGCCAAGACGCGGACGCGGAGACATTTTTCGCGCGGTTGACCCCGTTATTTTGTTACGCGCCGTCTCCAACAAACTTTTTTTTATTGTCTGTGCACAGATTAAACATTTTATGAATGAACTATTTTTTGCACTCAAGTTATTTAAACTTTGTGCTCTGAATCATTGCCACTAAAATTATCTTCAATGTAACGGAATTTGTTACTTGATGCTACTTGATTTAATTACTCAAATATGTTTGCTAACAAAATTGTTGGAACTGTTTTTGTAATGTTTGTATTAAAGATATATGTTATTTTTCAAACTGTTAGCAAATTCTTAGAATATTTATATGAGCTTGCGGTGACATCGCTGTTACGTTAAGTTTGAGTTAATAATTACGTCAATTCTTTTAATAACTTATATATTGGTCATTCTACTAGATTTTGCTTGAAATACAAGATATGTAGAATAATTCAAACTTTTTACGAATAATAAAAAAACAAATACTATTAAAGAATCTTTATAACAAAGATAATATTTGTCAGCGTCACCGCTAACAAAAGTTCTTGAAGCCTGTTATTTACTTAAGTAAACAATCATTAATTAATGACACAATATAGTCATTTATTTTTATAATCACTGAATGTAAATATTATGATGTGATAACAACAATCGCTCTTATTTCTTTAGACATAAGGCTTATATTGTTCACTTGCCCATCAATCGGTGTTCGGTGATAAAGGGTAGTGGGGTCATGTCCCTCATTTGCTTTATATCTTCCAGTCACTCTGTTTCTGCGCTTGTGCACTCAAGTTTTAATAATCTACACTATGTTGTGTGAACATATTGTACATATACAAATCATGAGTTTTGTTCTCAGTGTTGTGTGAACTATTGTTATTGTTTGTGAGTTTTTTGCAGTGGAAAATGGGTGATATATATGTAAGTCGTTATCAGTGTAACTCACTGCAATGTTTGTATAACAACATAGGTACTATTATCTCTGTCTTTATTAAAGAGAATGAGTAGGATGACAATATGTTTTTATGCAAGTTGTTTCACAGTGAAAACATACAGTTATATTATGTAGTATGTATGTTTGGGTACAGAAAAGAATTACGGTTTATACGTCACTTTTGTGGTATTTTCTCTACAAAAAAACATGGCCAGACCCTGTAGCCAATAAGGTTTATTATTGGTAGTCTACTTAATATTTTTCCTTTCTTCATTAGTATAATGTTGTAGTTGTGTAGTAAGTGTGCGCATGTGCAGGTGTTGCTGTCGGACCCCGACGCGGAGCTGTCGAGCTGGCCGCTGGAGCTGGTGGCGCTGCGTGACAGGATACACGGGGACGCGCGCGCCCTCCATGACAAGGAGGTACTCTCTAATACCTACTATCAAATACTGAAAACTCTTCCTTCTATATTACCACTTTGTTGGAACAATCTTCAATAACAAAAATTAGCACAAGTACGAGTACAGGATCTTCTCTTTTTTGTAATATTATAATATACAGTAAGGACAAAGTCCTATTGTTAATATCCAAGTACATGCTTAGTTCGCTTTAACTCCAAACTTAAGTACGCTATGAATCCGGAAGTCGCCGCACAAATAGCTTTTAATGTAAATAAAGTCCGATAGAATATCGCCGCCTTTACTTATACGACGCAACTGAAAAACGTACAAAGATATAAGTATATTCATGTACATACGTGTTACAAAGTATGTACATGAATTTATTCTTTTAAATACAACCAATGGGTACATTATTTCTTAACACCTTATTAATATGATCGCATTAAACCGTAGATCCATGGGCTTCATATAAATAGATGTCACCCCCGCCCCCTCCTCCCCCGCAGTCCGCCCCCCGCCCCGCCCCCCCGGCGCGCTCGTAAATCCGTGCCGGTGGCGGCGCGCGCTTAATTGCCTTTTTCATGTGTATCAGTTTGTTTTGCACCCGGCTAATTCGAACCCGCTACCCGCTACCCGCTACCCGCCGCCCGGCGCGCACTCATCACACAAACACGCGAGCTTACACTGCTCATTTTTGTCTATGGTCCTTTTCGAAGATATATTAATATAAATACTTAGAAATAATGTGCAACGAGCAGACGTAGTAATAGCAGATTGGAAATTATCAAATTGTAGACCGTATACATTGAGTTATCTGTGATTCCTTTCTAATTAGAAAAAAGATATTGAATTCATTAATTTATTATTTCATATACATCATTAGGAGATTTATTGAGACAAAGTGGTTGAGGTTGGCGACCTGTCATTTCTAATTATATGTATAGTATTTGTTTGTGTGTCGCCGGACACGGACACGGGGCAGCCGTGCATTGCGCGCACTCGCTGCTGCGGGTGTTACCAGAGATCCGGCACGAGGGACCATTCTCCCTACAACCAAACTATATGAACTTTGATCTTTAATACGATGGTATAAGGTTCAAAATATATTAAGTGTGGTGTGGCTCTGTACTAATTAGAGTTGATCCCACTTTAATTGTTATTAGCGTTACATATGCTTTGGGTGAAATAAAGGTTTACTTTTAAACCTGTATTAACTTTAATGGTTGAGTCGACAGTTAGATAGTTCTGTTTCATAAATTCTACCAATGTTTGACTTTCACTGTACTATGGAAACACCAGAAGAAATTTATTAGATAAAAGTAATGGAGTCTTGAACTCTTAGTTTTTAAAGGATTTAAATTTAGAACCTGGACCTCACCAGGTCGACCTTGTAACATCATAATAGCCTTATAATTATAGCTTGTAGCAAAATGACCTCAAGTGTGATATATTTTTCTACCAAACCCCGTGTCTCAAATTTTTTAAAAGTTACCGTTGTGCAATACGGGTGGTTCGTATCAATACATTATAGTATTTATAATATTATCAATCACGCGAAGCTTTAAGCGAAGTGCAGATGTTTGTGCACTTGTGTACAGTGCGCGCCACACGCGCCACACGCACCACACGCGCTGCCAATGTTACACACCTAATGTACGTTACTGCGCTCTTGAGATCGCACTATTGCATAAAGATTGGTACAGTCGCAAGAAAAACATGTTGTCACGAAACTTTTACATCCAAAAAAAAAGTTTCTAATGCACATTATTTCAATTCATTCGGTTGTCTTTGTATTTGTGTCCATGATTGTTTAACAGATATTATCAAAAATAGCACTATACAATCCAGCGAATCGATCACCTCAAGGGGAAACACCCGAGCTTTATAGATTTACGTGTCCTTTGAAAAATGATTTTTTCGCTATCCTCATCCCATGCTACGCCGCTACATTTTCAACAAAAAATGTCGAAAGTCTAGTATTGTTGATTAGTGATTATGTAGGTGAGTGTACACTCACGCACATAACGTGAACACGACCTACTAATTGATATCAGAATATTGCCGCATCTAGCCGAGTGTACTGCCTCTAGAGTCGGCCCGCGATCCGCTACACATAGACATGTTCCGTGAATATCGATAAAAGTCAAATATAAAATATATCAATGTTTCAAACATGTATTACTGATTTAATATAACGGTTATCTGGCATTATACACAATGATTAACAAAAAAATCTCTACCTTTAGTCTAGAAAAAATTTAAAATGTCGTGATCAACTATTTAACAATGATTTCCTTAAGATAAAATGTATCATATATTTTTTTTAATTAAGTTAGTTATTTCAACATTGTACACATAAATAAATAAAATATGTCGGTATCGATAAATCGACGTAATCATCGGCAATCTCTATCGAGACGTAAGAAAAACAGGAAGTATTCTGCCACGTGCACTTTGCTTAATGTTAAGGTGAACTGTTTTGTTTCAGGTGACGGTTGCATAGACATATCTTATTGAAAATATATCTTTAAATATTCTTACCTAATCTATATCGGTATCGTAGGTTTATATTAATATTAACCAAAAAAGAAATGTCTACGAACATAGTCTTTCTGTTGGCTATTTGTTTGCGTCCAAAGAAAGGGCACGATAATCAGACAGATAATTCACTTCAAAGGCACACGTTTATCTTATAACATGTTAATGTGTTGTGCTTCCTGTTAGTTCTTCTGGTCTCATAGTTACGCAGATTAATCGCTAATTAGTAGTCCAATTATTATAATAAATCGAATACATTAACTCTGGTAAATTATGGCTTAAAATTATGGAAGAAAATATAGTACTTAGCTTTTATATTGGAATCGCCGTACTGCGTGCGCAATTAATTTGATAGTTAAAAGAAAATTTAAAAATTAAAGGTATCTTATTAATGAATGTTGTTAATTAGCAGCAGCAGGCCACTTCCTTGTGAACTGTATGCAGCTTGTTATGAACTTTGCATTGTATCGTTTATAATTGACGTAAAATACTTTGTACTTTTAGACATTATTAATTAGAATCCTTTAGCGAGAATGACGTGCTTTCATAACAAAGTCCAGTGTCAGAATGATAAATGAGGGGACATAAACGTCTACATTTTAGTAAGGTTAGTTTTGCCCCAGTACACCGGCACAATGTCGGATTTTCTTCCTAACAGTATTGCAAATCATCAATTTGGCTACTAACAGACGATACAGTTTCTTAGTACGCTTAGATAAGAAGTTTAATTAGGTTCTATATACTCTTATTATAGTTTTTACGTAATTTTAACTTTGTCATATTGTAGATTTATTGCCGTTTTAGTAATTTATATCGTCATATATCTCCATTTATATCTCAGCGATGTTATTTATAAATGATGATTGTGCATAAAACTCGTGGACGTATACAGCAGGATGCTGCGGGATATTTTTAACTGTCAGACTTTATGCGAGTATTTGGTGGTCTGTCACTTTGAGATAAGGCAAAGTGCGCTGAAATACTTACAGTTAAGTCACAGCTGTAACTTCTAACCGTTAATACCCATATCTATTTAATGCAGTATTAAAAGTTGTAACCGTAATCTATTGTCAAATATAATAAACTAAAAATCAAAAACTAGCAGTAAACTGTCGAATTTATTAATAAACTTCCGTATAATGTTAGTTATACTAACCTGTGGTTCTAGCCGTTAACTGCGACACTAAATTAACTACTTAATCCCGCTGCCCTCGTCATATGACAATTATCTTATTAACCACTCAACCACTTCTAACGGACGCCAGCTCTTTCAAAGTTGAACATTTTTACACAATCGGGAATAAAACAAAACTACGTTACATCAGATGTGCGGTATCACCTACTATATTTAAATCATCAAATTACCTAGTTCTATAGTTCATTGATTAAAAAAAAAGAATTATAATTGGAACATGCGATGTTAGGCTATTGTGCCAATTAAAATGGATTGTGACCTAGATTTTGTACAATCACATTCTGCAATTGTTGACATTTAAAACTTAAGCTCTCAATTATAATATGCCAGATATCAATGAAAGCTCGACTAGCCGATGTCTACTGCATATTATGTAGTGCTTAAAGCAATAGACATATTTGACGAAGAGTTATATCTGTTATGTATTACCTTGCGAGATGTACCTCTTTTCATCGGATGGATCGAAATCTCGTGTATGGGATTATCGCAGATTTGCAGATGCAATGCGTTTACGAGGATGCAATTCAGTGTGGCGCCGACCCTCACACGAGACGGTCGTATGTGAGCTTTCGGCACCCACAAGTGAAGACATTTAAGTCTCTATTGAGTTTAACTTAAAGTTTATATTCGTATGTACGCTGGAGCTAGACCGTTAAGTTTCAAATGGTGACCGTTTTTCATTATATGGTTTAATTTGTATACGGCTCTAAATATATTTGTGACGGAGATGTGCGCGGTTGCGTCCTGTTCAGTGCAAATAGTGCGGGAAAACTGTGGAACATTTACTATTGCTGTCTAGTTTCAAATATGTGTCTTTGGTGGAAATATATTTATTTTAGTGATTATCAATGATATTTAAATTGGAATTGTACCGATGAGGTGTGGCCAAAATATGGTTAGATAGCTTTTAATATTTTCTATAGTTTTAAAAACATTATTTTAGATTATTTTTATGACATCTGACAAGTTATGACTTAAAATTTTCGGTTTGAATTTATCAGTGTTAATTTTTTTTTATAACATCCTAAAAATAGTTTACCGGGTCTAAAAAATGAGCTTAAAAGTTTCTTTCTCGTGGTAAAAAAATTATCTCAATATGCCAACTTGTGAAGTAAAGTTTTATTTAAGTACTCAACTAGTTCAGTGGGCTATCTCTTTATCAGAGAAAATATATATATCAATAATTTAAAAAGCATTCGGTTAGGTACGAAGACCGATAAGACGATGGACTTATTGACTTTAGCAAACTTCATATAAACTGTCTAGATAAGTGTGGACACACACATATTTGTTCATTCCATTTTTCCCAAAGCTATCACGATATTTCTTTCTTATAGATTAAAGTTATTGTAGCCTTGTTAGACGATTCAGAGCATCTCCTTTTCAAAAATTCAATTCCAAAGAATGGTTTCCTTTAATTTACCGGAAATTTCCCCTCTTGCGCTCTTGTAGCATCCCGGATTTTAGGACAATTGGTAATACGATGACACTTGCCCGCATATGTTTAAAACACGGTTAACCATCAGCTTCTGTACGAAAAAAGACAATGCATGCTACGTTTTAAATGCCAGATCAATAGATATTATGCATATTTTCTTAACTTTGTTTAAGCTTCTCCTAAACATCGTGCGCTTAATAATTCATTGATTAGGATGGCGTCATACCCTCCCTTCCGTTCTCACGTGCTCCGCCGCCCGCCCCTCGCCACTTAACCCCCGCTCGCCTATAAGTAAAGCACACAAAAATCCATCCCCCTGACAGATTCATCCCGCATTCATCGCAGCGGGAGGCTACAATAGATTTAAAATTATAAAGTACTTGTTTGTTGTGCATCTTGAATTAATATTTCTAATTAGTATAATAGAAATAAGTCACTATGTTTATACTGTTAGTGATCATATTATCAAAAAATATATACATTAACAATTTTGAAGAATGTATAAATGCATCTTGACAATTTATATCTAAAAAAATGTTTTTTTTTTATTAAAAATGTAAAATGTTTTGCTAGCGGCCTCTTAAATCATTTTACTCGTAATTTAAAAAATAGGGCGGAGTACGCTCTCGTATATCGGATCTCCCTAACCCTGTCCATGCTAAAGAAAACAGTGGTCTATTTCTGTGCCGGCGCCTGCGAGCAACTCGGAAACAATGCATTATTTATGTATGTGCAGTGCTGCACTAATTCTAACACGATCATGATAAAACTATTTCTACGTGTTTACTTCCAGAAAAGTTATATTTGAGGGGAATTAAATTGACCTACATATAGACAGATGCAGACAGACTAGACAACTGTTTGATATGTAGAGGTTTTGCGTTGACTTGATCGTGCGAATTCAAATTATCATCACTCACCGAAGGGCTCGGAGTTTACCCTAACTTAGTGGTATAGGCCATAATCAATAACGCTGGCTGAGTGCGGGTTGATTGATTTCACATATATCTTTGGATTTCTTCGCAGATATGTCCACTTGCAAACTTACGTAACGATGTTTTTCTTGTTAATGTCTATAAAATATTTACCGAATTAAATATCTAAAAAATAATGTCAAACAAAATGTTATTTTCTACTGACATATACAATCCTGTAGTCATGTTTCCACGTATGTTAACCACGTGTTCTGTCTCAGTAATAACAATATGCATCATTGTTATCTTCACTTGTCTCGCGTCGGGCCCCCTATACGAATACTACGAGCGGATATCTACCTTATTTGAATATAATAGAGTACAAATTGAATAAACTATAGATGATTGTGTACAGTGACCTATTTATCTCATACTGACATGGGATATTACATTTTACAATTCCGTATGGCATATTCCAAACTTTGTACTTTTTTAACTTTTTGTACCCATTGTACATCTGAGACATACTTGAGGCATCTTAGTTCTTACTAATATTATAAATGTGAATGTTTAGATGTATGATAATTGCTAGAAGGGCTTCATGGATCTCGCTGAAATTTTTGATACATGTGGAACATAATCTGGAAGAAGACATGGAGTCGCAGGAGACAGCTAATCAATATTATGGTCATTCACGACATTTGTCCCTTTCGATACTAGGTTGTGCTAATAACATAGCAGTAATATGTTCCCTTATCTGACATAATAGAAAAATAAGCCATTGACTCAAGAGAAAACCTCAGATTTCAAAATTGCACTTTCTAGGCCTCAATTCCTAAGTTAATTAAATGTTATTAATTAAACAATACTTAACAACTTAACGCTATGTTTCTAAAATGAGTTCACATCCAATTTAGTGGTAATACAAATAGATTTAGACGATTTTATCGCTAATTATATTGAGTTAGTTTCTTTTAGTGCTCGTTTAATGTTTCGTGTACTGTAGGCAGCATTTTATTGCCCACACGGCTCGTTTGTGTTTTTGTGTGCTTCCTATTTTTATATGCCAGATGCATTTACTTCCTCTTTACACGTGGATGCTGCGTTTACTGACGGACACAACTCACATACATTTTTCAATAGTCTTGGGTAGTTTAGGAATAACAAGTACGAGACTGATCTGTCTACCCACATTTTAGGACACAAATTATATAGTGGACATTTTCGCGCGTAATGCGTCTGACATTTATATCAGTATCGTAAACAAAGAAGATTGACCTATTTCATATTTGTGTGTGGAAGTGTGTTAAGTCGGGATATATTTTTAGTGCAAAGAGCGGTAAGGACGTCATATATTCACAAGTATGTATATGTAAATAGATCGGATAAATGGGTCGCCTCGATACCACATTATCATGGTGTAAAAACCAAACATTACTAAATGTTTATGAGAAATCTTTTTGCATTTGCGTATTACAGTCTTCTTCCAGGTCTGCATCTCTGCGAGCCTTGGCCTTTTGTTACAATAATTGATTTTCTATGTTATATAAAACAAATGAAGGTCACTCCAATATAAAGTTGTGTGAGCGATATCAAATGTTACCAGAACTAATCATGAAATTCTTTAACTGCTGCAAAATATATTTCTTTACGAAATTACGAACTTATGTTTATTTTTCGATTCTAGTTGTTGACAAAACTTGTTGACAATCGCAATAAAGTTATAATGCGAAATATATAGATTTTAATAAAATTGACTTTTAATTTCTCTGTGCGATTTATTATAAGGATCATGATAATTTTACGATGACATGAAACTTGAGTGTGTGTGAACATTCAGTGAGTTTGAGTTAATGTTTCGTTGTGTGTACAATGTAAACGGGACACGATGGTTATCTTGAGGAGGTTGATGGTAAGTCAGTGTGAACACGATTATTGACTTGAAATATTTTTATTGTTGCATTTTTAATAACATTTAAGTTATAATTTTCATTGATAAACGAAATATCCTAAACTCGTCTCTAACACAACACGTCTCTATTAGCGTTGTTTGTTTAACAATCCCTATCATGTTGATGTGGTTTGTTGGAACACGTGTGTCTGACCGCCCGCCGGCCGGAGAGCGACCCCCGTGTCTACTGCCGATGACACCATCGAGCTGTGATATCATGTTCCCATTGATAAAGACCCCTTATCTAAAACTGAGTCATTGATTTGTGTATATGAATCTTTGCAGTTGACAGCTTTCCAAGGCGATACATTTTGCTTTTAGGGTATATGAATAGTATTTTGTAGGCTTACTTTGACTTTACTCAATGACTTTACTCTTCTCCTGCCCTCTTACAACACAACAAGCCAACTTTCAAATTGCCAGCAATACGTAGTATTGTATTCAGTAGTGTGGTTGCACGCAGGTGCCGAGCCTGCGCGAGGAGGCGCCCAGCGCGGCCGAGGCTGACAAATGGCGCCAGCGACGCTACAACAGCTTCGACCAGAACCGGCAGCTCGAGGAGGTCACTAAGGAGAGGTAAGCTTTACATTATCACATCGTCAACTTTAACTAGTTGTTAATTTAAAATAGGCTCGATTGGCTGTACCCATACAACAATCATTGGTTGGTGATATCGTCCTGGACCACAATAATATTCTTGGTGGCATTGTATGTATGTATTGTGTGCACGTTGCAGAGATGCGCTGCAGCGTGTAGCGGCGTCGCTGCAGCGCTGCGTGGGCCAGCTGGTGGCGTACTGCGCCAGCGCCGAGGACGAGCTCAACCGCACCGTGCTCGCGCGTCTGCTCGCCACGCTGCTGCCAGACGAACAGTACGTTACACAACCCTCAGATCTTAACCTTGTTACATCTTGTTACACATACGACATATCATCTTCAAGTCGTCGTTAAGTAACCACTTGACGTATACAACGATCGAACAAAGAACCAATTTTTGTAAAATTTGTTACATATGTCCCTAGTGTCCTAGTTGCTTTTGGTTAGAACTTATTTGTTATCAATAGTATCGGCGTCTGTGCTTTGCACGTACAATGTAAGTTTGCAATGAACATCGCGCTGGCAAACCGCCATACGCAACTTGTTTTGTTCTGGCGACACCCACAGTTGTTAGTTATGGTGTACTCTGTATCCACACTAATCCATACATTAAACTTTTATAATACATGCTTCATATTTAACGTGACGTTGCTCAATTATAAGTATACGAAATTATTAGCAGAATAATGTTAAGTGTAATCATTAAGTTGGACTAGAATTTGACTACTAGAATAGTTAGATTCGGTATGCTATGTTTTTTTAATTGTCTCTATTTTTTACATTATTTAAAGACTGATAAATATAAATGCTGATCTCAGAGGACGAAAGTGTAAAATCCCAATTGCCTAAAAATGTAGTTGTAAGAGAGGAAGACGTTTTCATACGCGCTAGTCGTCGCCAGACGCAATATTTTACGCCGGATTTGTGTCTTTGGGTGAAGTCAAATATATCTTATTTGCTTGTGCATCTGCGCTATTTATGTAGCAATGCACATCGCCCGATATTATGGCTGCGTTAAGCGAATGTCTGTGATACATGAAAAAATAATTTCCGTATTAATTTAATATTTTAACCAGATATGCAGCAATTATTATAACACGTTCTTTGCCACTACAATTTTTTTATGAAAATGAACTCGCCAGGCGATCGTGGACGTTAACTAAAACATTACTTTGGTCCGTCATGTCTTCACGTAATACTCACAAATTAGTAGGTTTCATTTTACCCAATGTAAAACAAAATATAAATTGCCATTAAAGGAAACAATTTTGTTTACTCTTAGGTCATTTGTGGAGGAGTGCGGGCGGGTGAGCGTCGGCGAAGTGTCGCTGGACAGCAGCTGCGAGCTGGACGCGAGCGCAGTGGGTGGCGGGGGTGGTCGCGCGCGGCACGTGCACTTCGCGCCGGAGCTGGGCGGCGTGCTGGCGGCGCTGGACGAGGCGGGCGCGGCCGGCTTCCTGCAGCACCAGCGCGACCTCAGCGCGGACATCAAGCGGGAGCTCGAGCACTCGCTGCGCCGTCTGCGACACGAGGCCCACGAGCTGCTCGACCTCTCCGCGCGTCTCGCCGCCAACAGTACGCGCATACATACACTAAATATTTACCATACACTATATATGCACTGCACTATTTTTATTAACCATCTCGTTTTACTCCTCAGAAAGGAACCCAGAAACGAGAATGCTGGAATCGAGTCAAGTTGAAATCAAGGAGCTCGAGGACGAACCCGAAGAGAAACAGAAGTCTTGTGATAATTGTGAATTACATAAAAAGGTAAGAATTTTGTGTATCTCCTTCAGATGTATTTCGTAATTTGACAAGTATTTGTCCACTTTGTTCCTACTGGTAGCAGCGACACTTGAGGAGGTGTGAATGTGTTGTAATTGCAGTCGATGGAGGAGGCGATGTCGGAGTGCCTGCAGCGCGAGGGTCTGCTGCGCGCGGACCTGGACGCCGCCATGGTCAAGATCGCGCACCTCATGACCGACCGCGCCCCCTCTGATGACGTCATAGCCGAGGGGTATGCTCCCTACTGATCAGCTTATTTACCATTATCTATAGGTTTTAAAACCTAAAAATATACGACGATAGTTTAATACATAGCCAGCGTAATAAATAAATCATCGTATTTAAAATGAAAATCTTGGAATTCGAATAAGTCGCGATAAATAAAATGACAGTTATTGATATTTGTTTTAGACTGCCATGTCTCTTTTGGGGTATATTTTGGTGAATAGCTTTGAGGCTAGGAAACAGCGTCAGTATGTGGTGTTGTGTAGGTACGGCACGTGCTCGGCTCTGGAGAGGCGCGCGTGCGCGGGAGTGACGCGCTCGCTGGAGGAGGCCTCGCCGCGCTCACAGCTGCACGCGCTCGCACGTGACCTCGACCTCATGCAGCGCGACCGCGACGACCTCCAGCAGCAGGTGACCACTCATACACTCACACACTCCGCACTGACAACACTCTACTTGTATCAAATAACTTTTGTGATACACTTCTTCGCTCCTTTTATAAAGTTTGATATTACAGTTATATAATAGTGAATATGTTGACATGATATATGTATTGATATATTGCTTGTCTGTGGGCGGGCCCGCACACACTCGCACACACGCGCACACACTCGCACACACTCGCACACACTCGCACACACTCGCACACACTCGCACACACGCGCACAATACTGCTACTTATGTGCATCGTCTTACAATTATTATTTTAACATTTTTAAAAAGCATCAAACTTCGATTATTTTTTGATTTATTTACGATGCATGTTTTAATGTGTTAGGACGTTAAGATATTATTTTTGATGATAAATTTCATAGATACGTACGTGTTGCAATTCATAATATATATTTCAACAAATGTTGTTACAAGTTCCATTGGGTTTTTGTACTTATATAAAATACTTATTGATATACACTTTACTTATTATGTAGCGGCATGGCTTTATATCTATGTTCAGTAATTTATTTATTTATTTATTTATTTACATGGTAGACTTACAGCTAGAAAGTAACAATAATAGACACAAGATAGTTAACATATAGCTATTTACAAGTCTACACTTATAGCAATAGCTTAAATAATTTGACAGTCAGCATATGAGATATAAATACTTGACTTTTTTTTTAAATATAAATATATATTCAACCACCGCTCAATTTATCTGAAAAAATCCCGGCTTAGACAACTCCTCGCTGAGGACACACTAGTTGCAAACGGGTCGATATCACACTTGTTGCACAGTGTGTTGAAGCTGGAGCTCGCACGCACCACACACGAGTTCTGCCTGTAATTAGTTGACGCGTACGGTACGTAACCGTACGTAATGTATGAACGTTTTGTTAAACTACATTTGTTGTCATTGTGTACCACGCCTCTGTCTTTGTGAATACTATTTGCTTACTTATTTTTATTATATACAATTAGATTATTATAGTAAGTTGTCTTGTGACTTTATTTTGAACAATTTATGAATTGTTTTTCTAAGTCTCACATAAGATTATAATTGTCGTGCGGTTGTATCAGGTGGAGGCGGCCAACCGTCAGCTGAGGTCGACGCGCCAGTTCGTGGAGGAGCAGGCGGCGGAGCGCGAGCACGAGCGCGACGAGTTCGCGCGCCGCCTGCACGACCTGCGCGACGACAACCAGCGCCTGCTCGCGCGTCTGCAGACCAACGCCAGGATACTCGCCGAGGTCACCTCCACATTACCTACACCTCAACTTTTTATATGCTAACAGTGATCATTTAACACGTTCAGTGCCACACAACGAAATCGTATGGGCACGGAACGCCTTTAATTTTTATCATAAGCTATAATTTACTAAAAAATATATCTTGGGTGTTTCACTAACTTCACATTTCATTGCAAATTTTATGTGTTTATTATAATTAATATTATATCACTGGGCTATTTCTAACTATTGCACTTTTCTATCTGTGTTTATTTCTTACTAATATGGGTGAATCACTTCTTCTATAAGAACGTAACAAGTTTTCCATTCAATATATATGTTTGTGTGTGCGCGTGTGTTTGTAGATGCACGAGCTGAGCGCGCACTGCCGGGTGCCCAAAGTGAGTCGCACGTCCTGCTGTTGCATCATATACTATGCTTATGTACATCATACTCGATATATCTTATATAAATTGTCACTCATTTATGTATATGATATAGTTGCTTGTAGATGTTATAGTCATCACACAATAATGCATCGCTTGTACTAACATTCAACATGTCATAAACCTTAGAATTAGTTATCAAATAATTTCAATATGTTCTATCAAATCATTTATAACTTTACCAGGTGGAGCAATTGGAAGCTCAAACGCGGGAAATGAACCAGATCATAACCGACCTCGAAGCGAAGAAAGCCAGCTCCGACGAGGAACTCAAGTCGTACGAGGAGAAGGTGGTCCTGCTGCGGGACATCATCGCCAACCTGGAGAGCCAGCTGGAGCAGAAGAACAAGAGGGAAGCGGACATCCTGCAGCAGCTGGAGGGCATGAAGCAGACGATAGAAGACAGGGACAGCAAGATGAGAGCTCTGCTCGGTGAGCTGGAGTCTCTGAAGAACGAGAAGGTCGACCAGAGCCAACATGTTTGTGAGAATTGTAAGAGAGAAGAGGAGAGGTATAAGGAACTACTCGATAATATTACGGAACAGGTGAGTTTAGTTAAGTCTTACATACTAACTGTGGATTTCTGAGACCAAAATTCCCAAAATATACCGTTATCTTTATTCTGTGCTATTTATTCGGTGATATACATTGAGAAGTAAGTGACGCGTGGGATGCAGCGGCCGAGATGTTACTCATATGTTTAAACGAAACTATTCTCTCTAAAAACATTGTAAGCATTGATCAGTATTGGATATAAATACATATTTTTGTCAGTTAAAAAATTATACTTCTGAGTATAATAAATATCGTATGTTAAAAGAAATTTATAAATTATAAAGTTTCCCAATTGCAAGGAAATGTTTATTATATTTGATAAGTGTTAGAGATACCATACGATTTTTAAATCACTGATAGAATGTCCTCTCTCTCGTTAACTTATAACAGCTTACTTCCTGAACAACTGATAATTTCACTAGAAAAAACATTTAATTGAATATTTTTACTATGCGCTTACGAGTGGAGTGGAGTGATCTTTGAGAAAGTAAGAGAGATTTGTAATTTGAATATGTGTATACGACGTCAGTGTCGGTGGGTGGAGAGCGAGGTGCACGTGCGCACGCGGGTGCTGCAGCAGGCGCACGAGCACGCCTCCGCCTCCGTCTCCGCGTGCTGCAGCGAGCCCAGCGAGGACGTCTCGCTGCGGGAACACAACGCGCCGCCGCCCCCGCAGGTCACCGCACTGCACTCTATTGTCTGTCTGTCTGTCTGTCTGTCCGCAACACCGCTCTCCGGAACGATCGGACCTTGATGGACATATGGCATATTACAGGCAACTTATTTGTTAAATTCTGCGCTGACGAAGTGTCGGTCCGGTGTGCGCAGGAGGAGCGGGGAGAGGGCGGAGAGGGAGGGCAGAGGGAGTGGGTGCCGGGGCTGGTGTCGGTGCGCGAGGCGGTGCGCGTGCTGGCGCGCGCGGAGGACGCCGCGCTCAAGCGAGTGGCGGACCTGCGCATGCAGCGCGACCAGCTGCGCGACGTCGCTCAGGTACGTCGCACACCTCTCAATTCTAACATAAACTTATACAAATTCTATAAGTCCAATCTTAGTACAATAAGGATGAGAAGGGAAAGTACATTTGCCAGAGGAGAGGAGGCGTATACGTATATATCCTATTTCCGCGCGTCTCCTCATCCATCGATCAAAGGTAGCCAACGTAATTGCGGATGTCTATAGGCACTCTAAATATATGAAATCTTATGCCATTACTGCATGATTTTTTTGTGTTTCTGGGAGGAAGAACTAGAATGTGAAATAGAATGATATGAAATAAGTAGTAGAGAGAGCGGAGTGGCGGGGTGAGGCGGACGCGTATTGTTATAGAAATAACAGTTGGAGTGAGGCCAGCTCGCTCGCTGCAAGGTCGCCGCTGGACATCTCATACATACGTACATTGAATTTCATCTCCGGATATCATAAATTAGCATACAGCTTGTAAAAGATAAAATGCATCTATCATAATCTTATTTTAACCCGATCGAATCGTTATTAATTGTTTATAGCTTTTATTAGCGTTTGAATGATTTACTTTCACAAATGGAGTGAACAATGTAAGATGACGCGACTTATGTTATTGCTACATTCAAAGTTTCTCTAAACATTTCCTAGTGATTAGTTGATTCATGTCACATTTCTGTTGTTGGAAAAATTAATAAAATAAAATTATAAATAACGAACAGTCAGATGTTATTTCGCAGTGAAATAGACATTTGCCTGCGCCTACGCACATTTCGAGCGTAATGAAGCAATTGCCTTTAATACAATTTCTACAATGAAAGCAAATTGTGAGCGCGATGACCTGTGCCCTCTCCTGGCCACGGCCGTTTGTACAATTGTCTGCATTACTAACTGTCGCTTTCTGAGACCAAAATCTCTGTGTAACATATCGTTATCCCTGTCATTATCTTTGACAAAACAGAGATAATAATATGATTTAAACGGGAATCTTGGTCGCAGAAACCCGCGGTAACTGTACTAATTTTAATCGTAGTTTATATATTCATAATTCTTTTAATTTTGATGAAAAACACATATAAGATGAAATAATGCAACATGTGTTTTACAAATCACTACCTCTCCATGGTCTTGTCATGGCCTTGTCGTTGACATTGGTTATTATTACAAGTGCGTCATCTGTCACCAACAATGTAAACTATGAGTTTGTTAGTTACGTGACCACACGGGAAGAAAGCTATCTTTATTAAAAAAATAATAATAATTAGTCAATATAAAAATTGTAGCTGTCACCCGCGACTCCCTCCGCGCAGGTTTAAAAATAATAATAACTCGTAGTCTATATGTTCTTCCAGTCTATGTTCTATACACATACCAAATGTCATTAAAATCCGTTGAGACGTTTCGAAAAGCTACCTTCTAACAAACATTTTCCATCTAAACACGCGCATTTATAATATTAGTATGAAAAATAACAATTATAGGATGTAACTACGTATAACATGTTTTTTGCGAATCGTCGATTTATTTGGTCATTAATTGTTTTCGTCTTGTTTACCTTTTACTATGAAGGTGACGTCATTAAATCATAGGAAATAGCTGTCCGTAGTGAGATACTGAGGCACAGGGGTCCTCACCCCCTGGCGCGGTGACTCACTCCTCTACCTATCGCATGCTGATACTGATGCTGGGGTTAGGGCTGTCCACTGCCGCTAATTGCAACAGAGAATTCATTAAATACAATAAATTTACAAAATATGATATGTTTATCATGATTTTTCTTAATAGTAAGCTTATATAATGTGAAAATTATTTTAATATTCAAAAAATATTTATGGTAAAATACAATAATTTATGAATGACTAGTCTTCAGTAGTTATTGGTCACTACATGAGCAATACATTAGAGTTAAGGAACTTAGTAAAGTTTTCAAAAGTTATTTCAGAGTAGTTATGACTTTAAAAGCTTTGTTACGTTTAATTAAAAAAAACGTTAATCTCGCATCAAAAACTGCAACAACAGATTGTAAAAAAACAACATAAAACTGGCATTAAAGTACGCGCTAACCTATTTAGTAGGTAATTAACGGCACCTTGCACAAGCGCTGTGCCTAAACAGTAAAGTGCAGAGTGCCAGCCCTGCGCACACTCGTGCCTTATCCATCCAGCTAAATATAGCAGACGTCGAAGATATGGATGCGGCATATTATTCGTATCTCTTATGTTTTCCTTGTTCGATAACTTCGTCATAAATTAAATAATAGTATTATAAATCGTACATTGATCTTGTTGAATATATTATAAAATAACAATAAATTATTCTGCTGGCATTGCTACTCCTCTCATTCTGAGTTACATAATAAAAACTTAGATTTTGTCTCTGATTTATGGTAATCCCTTTTTAATTTCTACTTTAATATTCGTGTGAATATCCATTAATATTCAGATAAATAAATAAATACTTACAAAATCTGGTCTATTTGAAAGCCGCATCCATATATTTATGTGCACGTCGTTGAGTCCCGCGCTCCCTATGCGTCCCGTCAGTCTCTCCCCGAGCCCCGATGCTACCGAGCGTGTTCTGCTGCCGCAAGGTCTCTCCCCTTCTCTCTCTGCCATCAGTCGCGTCCTCATCTCCATTGTTGTTCCATTACAAACAGCGCAATGTAGTCGCCCCCCCCCTCTCCCCCCACACGACATGTAGTTTGTGTACAACCGTGTGATGTTTGTGTTCTATTGTTTGAGGAAATATATCGCTATGGGCCTGCCTGATCTCGCGGTGAGTGATTTTGTTATTGACATATCATTACAAGGTTCTTGGAACCAAATGTTGATATACGCAGTAAGTTTTAATATCGGTTTGATCCAATATGACTGATACGTTTTGGTCTTAGTACTCAAATATACAATATTTAATTTTAAGTAAATTTGAGGATCATTCTACACTTCTACTGTTTCTTTTGTTAATTAAAATAGTTTTTTTTTAATGTAACGGTAATAATAATGAATAATCATTGTATCAAATATTATTATATGTGTTATTAAAACAATTTCATTTTATTTAGCGGAACGTTCTCTTAATAAAGTATCAATCAGTGTCGGTCAATTGGCGGACAATCAGAGTTGTTTGCGCGTCGCGGCGTCTTGTCTCGTACCTTGTATCAAAACATTACGCCCTGCCAAAAATCTATAATGTTATACACACTCGTATATATGCTATTTTAAAACGTTTGCATACAACAAAGTTCTGCTGAAATATTTTAATATATTTAAATGTATTTTACGCTAATATACCACAAAAAGGTAAAGTGTTACCCTTAATTTTAGTCGAAGACGAAAGTCCTGATGAAAACCTTAAACCTGATGTAATTAATGGCAAAGTATTACATTTGTTTCTTATTTAAAATACATATTTCCCTATCGTACTGTTTCCTAATTGCAATATTAAATATTGAATGTAAAATTGTTCTGTTTACTGAAAACCGGATCAAGGATATGTCAATCATTTACATGAGCCGCTCCCAACACACACTGTTTGTGTTAACTGTAATAACTTCCGAACATATATTTGTATCTATGCCCGTGCCGTATTAAAAAAAAATCTTAGTAAGCACCCTATATGTTCTTCCAGACTATGTTCTATATCAATGCCAAATTTTATCGTTGCCCGTTAAACCGATCTGGAGATACCTTCTAACAAACATCCATCCAATATTAGTAGGATTAGTATTATTGTCAAAAACTGATCATTGCTCGTTAAGAAATACCATCAGCAGAAATTGTTGTCATTTAATATATAAAGTTCCTCGCTTTATTAGTGTAGGATTCACTATCAAAATATGTTTGTCATGCCCTATTCAATTCGAACAATTTCTTTTATAGTCGGTCAGATTGTGACTCAATGGGATGCAAAATATTGATTGAACATTTTATATGAATAATGTTTAGGATGTCCTACTAATGTGTGATTGTGTGATGTGTTTAGAGAAATAGGGCGTTCAGTTAAATTTAACCCGTGCTCCTCCGCCCGCGCACGCTCAGTCCTCGTCGAATTGGCACAGCGCGTTAACTGTTTGTGCTTTGTGGTACCACGGTGTGGCAATAGCCGAAACGTGTCGAAGTGAGATGTTCCATACTACTTTGATATCGCATATGTTTTTACTACTTCGTCTATCGGATTTCACCTACAACCTCTTTATACCATCGATATCGATATTATCCGCCGTGTGAGTATATTGCAGTGAAGGTGTGGTGCATGTATGTGGTGCAGGAGGTGCGTGCGGAGCGCGACGTGCTGCAGGCGCGCATGTCTGAGCAGGCGCTGCGCATCTCCTCGCTGTCCGCACGACTGACGCGCCAGCGGCACGACGCAGACGCGCTCGCGCACGCCGCGCACTCCCATCTCGGCGTGCAGCTGCACGACGCCAACGCGGAGGTACATATGCACTCCCCGCACTCCCCGCACTCCCCGCTTCCCTTCGCGACCGGACATGTTTATCACATATAATTATCTATTTCCAAAGGTACAAAGGTTAAAAGAGGAGCTGGAAACGAAGGACAAACAGTTAGCGCGCCTGAAACAGACCTTGGAAGACAAGAACAAGGCGGAGCACGCGACCTACGGTGACTCCGGTGAGTGCCCGACTGCATCAGTGCCTACGAGCAAACTGACAAAGTGTCCGAACGGTCTAAGAGAAGAAAGTGAAACATGCGTGTACACGTGTGCAGGCAATGTGAAGGAGAAGGTGTGCGGGCTGGAGCGCGAGCTGGCGGCGGCGCAGCAGCGCGGCGGGCAGCTGCAGGCGCAGGTGGAGGCGCTGGCCGCAGACAACCGCCGCCTGCAGCACGCGCTGACGCACCACGACCACCACCTCCACCTCCGGGACCTCGCGGGTGAGCGCACGACAAGCACTCGCTGGATACTTTAAACTTTCTAAATTGATGCTCTGTAGTAAAATATTTATAACTTAAATTTGTAAGGAGAAAAACTGACGCGGTTGTAAATTGGGTTAAGAGCGAAAAATAAAACGGTAACGACACACTAGACGCGTAATTTTTACATTGATACAAGTGGTTTATATGCGGATATGCTAAATTCGCATTGTGCAGGCAACAATCCTCGCGGCGAACGGCGACAGGCGACAGGCGACAGGCTCGCAGTGCTTTGTCCGCTGATAGGATAATGTACTCTCTTTCAGCTGAGTGTCGACGATTATCGTATGCTTAAGTTGTAATGGACTTACTGTTGTATTCATAAAAGTCCAATGCATAACATTTACAACGGACCGTCAACATTTTTCCGGATGCGGGAGATAGATGTCGATGAGGCGATATTCAATTTTTATCGCATTTATTTGGAAGCCCTCCAAGTGCTAGCTCCTATGTAGGTTATAGGTGAACTCCGACCGGCTAGACCGAGCCGTCGCGCTAATTTCGAAACGTTACTCATTCATTCACAGCTTTGAAGCTGGAGGAGGAGGATCCCCACCAGAGGAGCGATCGCGGCGAGGGCAAGACGTCCGCCCGCACGCTCAGCGACATCGTCTCCATATCGGAGTTCGACGAGCAGGACCTGCAGATGCGGCGCGCCGAGCTGCGCCCGCACGAGCCGAGCCCGCTCGCCGCACACGACAAGAGCGCCGCCGAGCGCACGCTGCCGCCCGACCTGCGCCCTCACACCGTCACCTCGCTGCACCTCGACCTCCAAGACCGCCTCCCCCTCACGCCCCGCGCAGACTCCCTCCCCCCGCATCTCACCTCCACGCACAACAGAGAGGAACACTACAAGAGGAACGTCAACGAGACCACGGTCTTCGGCGACCACAGGCCCTCGCCTCTCAACATTATCGACAACTGTTCCCTCTATCCCAACAGGGACGTCAGCGATAGTAGGAATGTCAGCGTGGAACCGAAGAAGATCGACTTCTCTTTGGAAACCACGGACAACAAAACCCAGGAGGAGGAATTCGCCTCGCTCCGGGAGCTGGGCATCACGATGGACGTCCGACAGGAAAATTTCCCCGACATTCTGACTCAGCTGAAGCATGAAGTTAAGAAAGCGAGACGCGAACTGGAAAGTTGCAAATCTGACCTGAAAAACGCCGAGGAGCAGCTGTGCGAGTTTCCGGCTTTGAAAGAGGAGGTCGACGAGCTGAAGGCCCTTCTGGAGAACACGATGGCCACCATGGAGAAGGACAAGAAGTTCTACGAAAACCAATTGGAGAATTTCTCCACGAACAAGAAGCAACTCGAACAGAGGATGGCGGAGTTGACGCAAGAGGTCAGCGATAAATCTAAAGACTTGCATTTGCTCAAGGAGGACATCCTCCGAAGGGAGAATATGATTTTAGAATTAGCCAAAGAGAAACGAAACTTGACTAACAGATTAAATGAATTGGAAACCAAAGTTGACGAGCTTCAGAGCCGAAACGAGGCTCTGCAGCAATACGAAATGGAAACGCACACGATGAGAGAGAAAGTGAAACAATTGGAGAAGTTGGAGCAGCTGGTGTCGGAGAAGAATCAGCAAATCGATAGCCTGAACCAACATCTGGACAGACTGGACGACCTGCAGAGAAATCTCAACGACAAAACTGAGGAACTTGAAAAATTAAAAGTTGCCCTGCATCAAAAGACAAAAGAATTATATCAGGTACAAGCGACGGTCTCATCCTTGACCTGCGACATGGAGAGACTCACCGAGGAGAACAACGAACTCAACGATCATAACAAGGAACTTAAACTGAAAATGTCCAAATTGGAGAAGGAACAAGAGAACGCCTCCTTAAGATTACAGAATAGCGAAAACGAACTCGAAAGGCTGAACTCCATAAACAAGGAGCTGTCCTCCAAGATCGAGGAACTAAAAGTTATCAACGACCAACTAAAAGATAAAGAGGCAGAGATCGAGATCCTCACCGAAGACCTTAACGCCTACCACAGTGAGATATGTTCTCTGAAAGACCAGCTGGAGATAGTGTCGCGCAGTCCCTCCCCGGGCAGCGCGCGGCCGCACGCGCAGGGCGAGGAGCGGCGCGCGCCCGCAGACCGGCGCCAGCTGCACGCCATCAGGAAGCAGATCTCTTTGCTGCAGCACGAGCTGGACTTTAATAAGAAGGAGCTAAATTGTAAGGTAAGGTTCTTGGGAGTATACAATTTAATACGATTGCATAAAACGATTCATTTTTTATTTTTTGTAACTTTTCGTCTCCTTAATTCAAAGTGACGAATTTGTTTTTTTAATATCAGGCCTTCGAATTGGCGAAAGCGAAGCTGGATGTGAACGAGCTGAAAAACAACGCGAGCCAGGCGGCCAAGCTGGTGGCGGACAAGGAGGCGCAGAACGAGGAGCTGGCGCTGCAGGCGGCGGCGCTGCGCAACGACCTGCGCCACCTCGCCGACGAGAAGCACCAGCTCAGCCAGCAGCTCGACATGCTCCTCGCCAGGTATCGCGGCTCAACTCTCATCCTCTGTGTCCTGTCCTGTCATAAAACGATATTCAACAGTGTTGACAACGATAACTTACTTTCAGATTAAGAGAAGAGTCGAATGTGAGTGAGATCAGAGCCAAGCTGCGGGAGAAGGCGGAGAGCTGCCACGAGCTGGAGATGGAGCTGCACGACATGCGGGACCGCGTCGACAGGTAGGTGGTGGTGCTGCACGCACTCGGAGACGCATAGGTTGCGAGAGAGTTGACAGTTATAGTACGCGTGTGTTGGTCAGCAGGCGCGGCACGTCGCGCTCGCCGACCGCGGAGCTGGAGCGTGCGCTGCGCGACCAGCTGCACTACTCCAACGCGCTCGACGAGCACATCATGGACCAGGTGATCGCCCGTCTACGCATTACTACCAACTATACTACATTAACATTACAGAGTTATGTTATAAATAAGCCGCATGTAAATCGTTTGTTGCAGATACTGTCGGCGAGCAGTGAGGAGCACGAGGAGATTCCGCGGCTCGCATTAAACACTTCTAAGTATGTCGTTCATTTAAGTTTATTGTTCGCTTGGCGTAAATTGAGTTTATCGTAAAAGGCAGTCCCGACTTGCAATGGCACGTGTTGCAGGTCGTCGAGCTCCGTGGCGTCGACGTCGTCGGAGCGCGCGTGCCGGCTGCGCGCGCAGGTGCAGCAGCTGCAGCTGCAGGTGGAGGGGCTGCAGGCGCGTCTGCAGGACAAGGACGCCCTCATTGCGGAGCTCAACCGGTACATTGCACATTGCACATTCAGCGCCCCGTATTACATTAAATAATATTCTCCTCGCAACTGTGACAAATTGAGCCCGATATATGCAGGATACGGGACAAGCTGGTGCAGGACTGGCAGACGGTGAACTGTCGGTACGAGGCGGAGCGCGACAACTCGGGCCGCCTGCAGCTGCTGCTCGACGCTCAGAAGGACACCGCCGAGAGTCTGCAGGTAACACAATATCTCTATTTGATCATTTTCTATTAACATTTTTCTCGTATTTATATTTAATGTGTTTCCGCTGTTTCCAGAACCAGGACTCGAACATGATCCAGATCCTAAAGAAGCGTCTGGAGAGCGCCATGCAGTCGGAGGGCGAGCTGCTGGAGCGCGAGCAGCGCCTGCGCCGTCGGCTGGCGGACCTCGAAGCCGGCCAGCCCGCGCCGCACGAACAGATGCACGCGCAGGTACCCGACATGTTATGAAGTGACAACCTTTGATAGTGTCAGTCGTTCATGTATTACTAGTTTCCTAACGATGTTCTATGTGGACAGCTGGAGGTGGCGGAGAAGCTGAAGGGCGAGGTGTCGGTGCTGCGCTCCAAGCTGGAGTGCGAGAGAGCGCGCGCCGACGAGCTGGCCGCGCAGCTGCAGCTGGCCCGCTCGCACCTCGAGGACCGGACGCGCGCCGCCGCAGACCTGCGCGCTCAGCTCGCACAGCTTAAACGGTACACTAGATCTCAGGTTCTATCAATTTGACAAAACCATGAAAAAATGAAAAGAAAGAAACATCTAAAGTATTAAACTATATATGATAATGTTTTAAACGTCGCTCCAGAACAAAGTACGAGGCGGGCGTGGAGCTGGCGCGGCACAAGGAGCTGGTGGGCACGCAGGCCGCCGCCGTCGCGCACCTCGAGCGACAGCTGGCGGCCGCCGCAGCCGCGCACCGCTCGCCCAACAACTCTCTGGTACGTCGCTATACCACAATAACTAAAGTACTTTGCACATTTAACATTTGCAGTGTGCGATCATCGTGGCGCACGTGCAACATCGGTGTGATAACACTACGTACTGTAATGTTGTGCGCAGACCGAGATCGAGGGTCAGAAGAGCGAGCTGGCGCGCGAAATAGCGACGCTGCGCAAGTGTCTGCAGAGTGAGCACCCCGAGGTGAGCACGCTGCGCGCCGAGCGCCAGCGTCTGCAGGCCGAGCTGCACGCGCTGCGCCGCGAGCTGGACGCGCGCGCGCCCGCCACGCCCCTGCACGCCCCCGACACGCCCCACAACGCACAAGACAAAGACCAAGCGGTGAGTCTTGCAACTAATACATTACAACGACCAGACAAATCCTACCCTTTATTCCTTCTCAGGAGTGGACTTTTAATAAAACTAATATTTATCTTTGAACATTGTATTTAGCTGAGTATGATTTATTTTCGATATAATTATTTTCCTGAAAAAAATATGTAATTAAATAGCGGGTTAGCATCGTCGTTAATGCTTGAGGGAAAAGTTAGTCTTGCTGCCGCCATCGTCAAGGTAGTTGGTGACTTTGGAGAAGTCCGCGAGGCTGGGCCGGTCGTCGGGCTCGGAGGCGAGAGGCTCGGCCGCCCACAACGCCAGCGCGTGCACCGCGTACAACGCGCCGTACGCCGCGTACAGCACCGCCGTCGCCCCGCCCAGCGCCAGCGGCGCCAGTCGCCCGCGGCACTCGCCCTCCGCCCCCGACGCCGACCCCGCCCCCGAGCCCGCGCGCCACGCCTCCTCCGTCCACACGCGGAAGTACACGCACACCTTCCTGCAAATAAACATCACTCAGTGTGACAAGTCAGGAAAGCGATTTTAATTGGGTCGAGCGGTGTCACCTGAGCGGCGGCAGCGCGGCGTCCAGCACGGCGACCAGAGCGTGCAGCGCGTGCGTCAGCAGCAGCACCAGCACCCACACGCACAGCAGATACGGCGGCCACCGGAAGCTGCCCAGCGCTACTGCAACCACACAGCCGCCTCATCACTCCGCGCCGCGATGTCGCACAAACCACACGGTGGTCTTGAACATGTACCGTAGACGAGCGCCTTGTTGGCGGCGGGCAGCGCGTCGGCGCGCGCCGGCGTCCCCTCGGCGCAGCGCAGCGCCAGCTCCGAGCCCGGCGGCTGCGGCCGCTCCGTGCGCGAAGACTGAAAACACGCACATAGCTTTATTATTTTATACGATAAACAATCACTCGCTTATACTGTATGAATTGTTGAATTAAAATAAAACGGTTGTTATTGTCGGCGCGTATGCACATCGTATACTCACGGAGGGCGTGATCCTGGAGTGGGAGAGGGGCGGCTTGGGCTTGGCCTTGTCGGCGCGCGGCTCGCGGGCGTTCAGCTCCGTCTTGGTCACCGAGGGGTGGTCCCCGCACATGCTGCAAACGTTTGCAAAACATCACAACGAATTTTTTTCTAATGTTTGCAAACTATCATCTTAATTACTGTCAAAATCATATGTCTGTGAAAACTATACTTCTCAAAAAGAGCAAGATATTTGACTGTTGTAAAAAATTGTTCATTGTTAAGCCAATATTCCCCTTTCGTACGCCCTCCGATTTGTAGGCAATGAGCTGAAACATCGTAACTTGTAACTTACATCATATCGGGATGTTTCGGTGAATCGCCTTTCGGTTGCTCCATTACTTGTGTAGACATCACTGGCAAACTAATTTCCAAAAGCTTTCATGTTTAAAAAATCCGAAAGGTAAATATATAGAAAACTAATAAAATGTTTGAAGTTCTTCACGTGAACATGACTGACGCATATGTCAAAGTGACGTCGCCGCGCAGCTCTATATTTAAAAATCTAATTTGCGACGTAAAATTGTAAGAGGTTTTATGTTTTCATTTTCTAAAATTAACACTAAATATTAGATGTCTCTTGGGTGATGATTTACAATAAAAACATTTCCTACGAACTTATACCAGCGCACGTCTGCTTTCAGCAGTAGTAGTCTTGTCGGACTTCTTGCAGTGCGTTGCGCAGTATGATAAGCGTGTGTAGTGTCCCACGTATCGTTTCAAACGTGCTAATGTGTGTTTGTCTGCAGATCCGCTACCTGCACGGGCGCTGCGTGCGGCTGGAGAGCTGGCGCAAGGCGCTGGTGTGGCAGAAGCGGTACCTGCAGCGCGTGCTGGCCGGCTACGCGCGCCTCGAGCGCTCCCTCGCGCCCCGCCCCCAGCCCCGCCCCGCCGGCAAGAAACTCTTCAAGTAACTATTTGCACACTAGTCAGCCAATTCTGATTCGGAACAGCTGTTCCTATACTGCCGTTGACCGAAAAAATATTTATTTTTCCTTTAGATGCGTGGTGACGGTGGTGATAACAGTGCTGCGCATGGGGTATGTGGTGCGACGCAGGTATGCCGCGCGCAGCGCCGCCTCCTGCCTGCTGCGATCCGCACACGACGCAGACGACCACGTCCCGCCCGACCCCGCCTCCGCCTCCGCCTCCGCCTCCGCGCACCACGCCTCCAGAATTAACCTTATGTAAGTCTGACGATGCACCGTATGTGTTATAACGTAATTTACATTTATTACATGCTTTAATTTGTAAATGCACGCACAGTTTTACTTAGGTATTAAAGTTGAGTTTAGCTTGATCGCTTGTGGTGCGCAGGAGCACGCCGGCGGTGTCGCCGCGGTGCGTGCTGTCCCGGCGGCTGAAGCTGGCCCCCACGCCCGCCCCGCACTCGCCCCAGTCCCCGCTTGTGCCCCACCTGCCCCAGACGCCGCGCGTGCCCCACCTGCCCCACGTGCCCCACGTGCCCCACCTGCCCCAGTCCCCGCTCACCGCATACGGCGCACTAACGCCGCTCGCTGCCCGCGCAGGTAATACTCACAACTAAACATTTACTATCAAACACATCAATTCTGCAATCTTTGTACCCAAAATATATCAATGACTGCGCTATGCCTCTGTCAAAATGAAGGGCTTGCCTTTGACAAAAAATTAACTAAACGTTTCCTTTAATCTTGCAGTGGATGACGACGTAAGAAAAACCCCCGGCGGCGTCAGCACGCCGCGGAATGAATTCTATTTAATGAGGTGAGCTCATACTACGAGTATAATATTTTAATTTTTGTATTTTTTTTGTTTGTTGATTTTGTATTTTCTTTGGGATTAGAAAACTTTTGTAGCGAAAATGTTGTGATGTGCAGTTCACCCCGGGGCGACGTGGCGAGTGCCTACATGAGCAAGCTGGATGCGGTCAGCCGCTGCCTTAGCCAGGTGCTGGAGTCTCCGCGGGACGTGCCGTGACCTACGCACGCGCACTCGCTCCGCCCACTGTGCCCGCCCACATCACTGGCCCCGCCCACTGCGCCGCTCACTTCACAGGCCCCGCGCACACAAGTCGACTCCACCCAATACTCGATACCAAAACAATTAACTTAATTACATTGAATTTATTAATTCTCCGCCTTATAATGGTGCCTTAATATTTCGCGTATATAAATGTCATTAATCAAATATTGCACAATTTTTCTAATATTTATGTAATTACAAAGGATCATGAATCATGTATGTGACAGTATGGACAACTTATAAAGCTAAGGCAATGAGAGAGTTATTTCAAATGTAACACATATAAAATGTGAAGATGCGTGTCAGTGAGAGCATCGGGCCGCGTTTCCTCACCGCAGTGACGCTAAGTATTAGACTAGTGCCAAATTCAATATATTTTTAGTTTATTACTTAATTTATTTATATTAGTGTTTAAGATGTAAAATTACAGTTTCGGTTGTTATTGGGTCCGCCTAGGGTTATGTTTGTTTTGTGTTTGCCGCAAGTTGTATTGCGCGCGTAAAAGATATGGAGATATGTCTCTACCTACCATCATTATAAAAAGCTATATGCTCTCGTGTTTGTATGAAAATATTTGTTAACAAAAACCAACTATAAGAAGACTTAATATAAGACGTAAAATATAAGAACATTGAAAATACATATGTGGAAAACTTAGCAAATGATTAGATTGTAATTCGCATAATTTTTATTTGAAGTCGAACGGATGCTATGATAGTAAGGAGTATGTTGGGGCTATAAACTTATTTTACCTCTATTCTATTGAACTATTATAGTTTCAAAGAAAAAGCGACTTGCCATATCTGTACAAGTACTAAGTAACAAGTTAGTTTCGAGACGCAGAAAAGTACAAGTTAGGCTAAGTTTAGGTTAAGTTAGCGATCGCGACTCGACCGAATCTCGAACGTTCCACGACTGAGTTGCCATTTGACTGAGAGCTCTGTCCCTTTCTAATGAGCGGTTACAATATGAAGTAGAGAGAGACGACGAATGCATGTTATCTAGGAAAGAACAGGGATAGACTGCTTGTAAGTATGTGGGACTCTTAAACAGTATTGTTTGACCTGACGAGAAGCTGCACATTGGTTGACTGACTACTTTCTGACATTTCTGTTCAATTTCTCTGACATTGATTGAAGTGAGGAGCAACAAGTGCAGCAGCTCCGCCTGGCTCTGTATGTAAGATTATTGTTTTTCTACAAATAATATTGAGGTATTTTTTAGGTTTACATTTCGTTGACTTTATTGTTGATAAGAATTTATATTTGTATGACATGTCGCATTTCAGATTTTTTATCATTTCCATAGATTTATAATTTAGGAATCCTTGATCCGATACAATAATATTTTTGTTATCATTGTAGACAATAACGAACCAAAGTGGAATATAGTGTTAAATTGCCGAGAGTTTTATTATCGATTGGCAGAATTCTATCTCATTGTGAACTAAAAGAAAACCTTTACCTCTGATACAAACAACACTTGTTTAAACGCGCACAAAAATACAACATTTTATTTAACATGTAAAAAGTTTAAAATAAATATCCTAGTATTGTAAATAGTAACTAATGTAAGTAGGTCTGTCGGTTTGTTTTTATGAATTATAATTTTCTGTTAATCATTTGACATCCCAACTTATCTTAGCCAAAAGTATGAAATCCACCGTCGAACAAAATCTACACTCAATGTGACCAAAGAATCTTGTAGCCATTTATAATATTTGTCTAAATTACATTTAAGTTATATTAAGGAAACGACTATTTTGTAAACCCAACGAATATTTATTTATCTTATGAAATGCATGAGACGCGACGAGAGCATATATATAATATTTTAGATGGAAAATATAAAGTTTTATGAAATATATATTTGATAGTCTCCATCTTTGTGTGTGTGCGGGCGTGTCTCATACATGAACATACAACAAGAACAAGGAAATTTTGTCATCTCTAGTCACCCATCTCACCATTGTGCCATGAACTCTCTACAATGAACAAAACAAAAATACAGATCTAAACATATAAAAATAAAATAATAATTTCTATATAACTTGTATCATTTGCCGTGCGGCGAGACGCGCTGCTTATCTGTCTGGCTTATGGGGGGGAGCTTCAGCTCTTCCTGAAAATATCATTACACCTTTAACAGTACAGTCAGTCCAAAGACTTCATACTCCAGTAAACAGTTGTTGTTGTAGTTACAAGTCGGCTGACGATGCCTTTGAAACGCATCGTAACAAAGTTATATTATAATATAATAATCAGATCTCGGGCAGAAGTAAATCTTACCTCTACATTCTTCCGCTGCAGACCATTCGCAGGTCCTCGCCGCTTGTATGCTTGTTCAGTTTCTTCCTCTACACCCCTCGCAGATTTAGCCTGGAATTAAAACTAGCCTAGAAAATATCCATAAAGTGTGTCAAATTTGGTTAGAACCAGCATGGCGAGTTTTAACATACCCCTTGGAGGAGTCCATCTCTTTTCCCCGCGTCAGTTGTGGGCGGGGCCAGTGTGGAGGGCGGGGCCTCGTCCAGGTGGAGGCGCGCCGCCTGCCCGGAGCGATCCTCGGGCGCGTACTGCGGGAAGTGCAGCTGCAGCGGCCGCGGCAGGGCCGGCATGCTGTACAGCCGCTGCTGCTTGCAGTAGCTCTGCACAAGTGCACAATCATGTATTCTCTATAAATATTTTTTGTCCAGGATCAAAATTCCACGCGTACATGACTCCAGAAGGTAACCGGGACAACAAGGCAACGGAACGTCTACCGTAAACTAGTCCAACAATGAGATGGGATGGGATGGGATGTTATTGATGCTGCAGAACGTACGTCGACAGCGCGGTGCAGCGGGTGTTCGGGGCGGTGGTGCTGGCGCGCCTCCTGCACGAGGGCGGCGGCGTGCTGCAGCAGACGGCGCTCCTCCTCCCGCAGCAGCCGCTCCGCGCGCGCGCCGTAGAACTCGCGCCGCGCCGCCACCTCCGCCGCGTCGCGCTCCTCGCGCTCTTTCTGCATCGCATTACAAGTTTCAGTCGAAGCTTCGTCTATGTTCAGGGTGAATTTTCGATGTTGTAATGGTGAGGGGCGACAAAGGTAAAAAATGTAAGATAATACTTTAAAGTTTACATGACACGTTTACAAAGCACGTTTGAGGTTTGACAAATAATTTGACGTGCATAAGAAGGGTTCGAGACAAAGTATAATATATGTGAGCGCAAGACGCACCCAGAGCCGCAACAGGTCCGCGCGGTGCTCCTGGGTCTTGCGGTGCTTCTCCTCGCGCAGCTTGGCCACGTACTCCTCGTACAGCTCTACGTTCTTAAATCTGCTCAAAAAATTTGTCATTCGTTGCTTTTTTAGATAAAAATGTAAAGGACAAAAACGTTTTTTTTTTTGGACAAATCGGCAGGAGCTTTTTATCATTATGTTGTATGACATTTTACAAATTATCGATAAGCAACAAAGTTGAAAACGTGCAATTGTCAAATGCCCTAATTATGGAAAAATTTGGATGGAAGTCGAAGCCCGGGATCGTTGAAAACCTTCAACAATGTATACGTTTGGAGACCTGTTGAGCATTTCCCAGGAGCGCGTGGTGTGCAGGCGGTGCAGGCGCTCCCGCTCCTCGCGCAGCTGCTGCAGGTGCAGCTGCTCGCGCTCCGCCCGCATGCGCCGCCGCTTCTGCACCTCCATCTCGTGCCGCGCCTCTTCTCTGCGAGAGTATACAATATCTTCAACTATCCCTTCCGATTAATGTCTTTTAAGTAGACCATCGTAAAACTATTGGATGACTTCGACAAAAGTGATTAATCTTTTTGGTGAACTACGCGGAAGGATTATTTCCATCAGTCGAGAACTGCTGAAACAAATAGTTACATCTAATACTAATAAGACCCGCGCGCGACTGACTTGAGCTGCTGCTCCTTGATGGCCTTCTCGAGGATCTCTCGCTCGTGCCGCTCGCGCGCCGCGTCTCCGGTCGCCAGCTGCAGGCTGATGGCGTGCAGCACGCGCTGCTTCTCCTCCTGGATCTGCGATTTAAATTATAAGGAGATGAGAGGGCGAAAGCGATTGCGAAACAGTGAAGAGCCCGCCCCCTACTTTTTTCCCGCCAACTTAACGACGGGCGACTGCCATTAAAATACAAAAACGGTATTTCGGGCTTCAAAAAAATTGGAGCATTGTTTTAATGGTGGGAGCGGTGATAGGCTGAGGAGACTGACTCCCTTCTCGGTCTGCTTGCGGCGGCGGTCGACTGTGGCGCGCGTGTTCTGCAGCACTCGTATGAGGCGGTCGTCCAGCCGGTCCCGCGCCGCGCACTCGCCGCGCCGCGCCTCCACCTCGCGCCGCGCCTGCTCCATGTCGCGGAAGATGCGCGCTTTCTCCCGCTCTTTCTGACGACCAGTGACCACACAGATATAAACATTCTTTTCTTTTTTGAAGTCGTTAAAATATAAACTTATATGTAATCATTATAATAAATTCTCACAAAATCGTCCTCGAACTGTTTGATGGCGTCCATCTCTTCGTTCGCTTTGATGTTGTCCTGCTGCTGCTGGCGCAGCTCCGTCTCGTGCTCGCGCCGCCTGCGCTCCGCCACCTCCGCCGCTCTGCGCATTCGCCGCGATCGTGTCGTGACTTATGTAAAACTTAACGAAACATTTTACATTAGTTTGTTGTAGCAAAACTAGAATTACTGGTCCAAAATTTCCCGCTGGTATTTCTTGTTGACTTCAAACCGGCGCTGCTTCCTGGTAGCCATGAGTCGGTTCCACTCGTCCGCGTTGCGCGTGATCGCCGCGTCGTCGTCGCGCTTGCGCTGCGCCGCCTGCCGCCGCAGCTCCCCCAGGAACTTCAACTGCTCCTCGCGCTCCTTCTGCGTCACCGACTCTATAACTGCCCTGCAGTACCATGGAGATGAGTCGTACTAGTTTTTATTTCAAGAGAGCACTGGCACTAACTCTACAGTGACTCTAAACTATGTTACACCTCAATAACATCTTGGGCGCGTCCTTGTTCTTGAAGATGATGTCCCTGGCGCCGGCCATGAGCCGCCGCTGCTCGTCGCGACGCCGGCGTACGTACTGCTTGTAGAAGTCCGTATTGGCCTGCTCTGCCGCCGCTACGCGCGCACGGCGTAGCTCCTCGTTGCGTTTGTTCACATTCTAGAATATTATGTCATATACATACCTCCTTTATAGGAGTTGAAGTAGTCAAAAATTGTAAACGAGAAAAAGGTACCTCCAGGGAATTAGGCCAGGCTTTGGTCATAGCCTGGCTGGTCTCGTGCAGGTAACGGATGTACTCCCGCCGCCGCACCGTCTCCGGGTTTTCGCGGTTGGAGTCCGTCCAGCTCACGATGCGAGACCACTCGTCTTTGCTCATCACAAGTGGCATCCTGAAGTCTGGGAAAAGTCCGATTGTTCTTGATACAAAGAAAGTGAAAAAACTTTACCTAAACTTTATTTCAATACGTGCTTTACATCATGACTTACTTACCTTTAGTATTTTCTTTTGAAAATTTTAGACATTAATGTAAAGAAATAACTATTTATTATTTCTGATTTATATTTTGAGTTATAAATATTGTCAAATTAAACTTTGACATATTTTCTACATTTTCTTCTCTTTCAATACCTGGCAAAATTTATTAACAAAAAAAGACGATGGAGCAACGGAATAAATTATTTTTAACAACCTTACCTACTAACTAGTGCAATAAAATGCATTTGAATAGTTTGTTGCTATGGAAATTATCCTTAACTTATAACATTGAATAGTCGTTTACATTCTACTTGATATGCTCTTTTATTTAATGGCTGTAATTTTAGTAATTATACGTAACTCAGTACTTAACCAAAAATAAATGGAGATTACGAATGGTGGATGAATGATGATGTTTGAGTAGATGAAGATGAATCATATGCCTATTTAATCTATAACATAAGTAAAAAATATTTTTAATCTATACTGGGTGACATTTTAAGTCAAGAAATCTGTCAAAAGAGAAATATTTATGTCAGCCACGTTGGAAGTGCCAACTCGGTGTTTTTATGGTGAATATCTTGAAACATTATTAAAATTACTTATATTTTAGTAATAAAAATAATTTGTGCAACTTTCAAAATTAATTTGCATTCTCTGATTCATGTCTTTTGATACTCCTGCAGTTATTTTCTATCAATAGTGGTGACATAATTACGTTGTAACTGTATTTGCTTTTCGGCTTGTTTTTTATTGATATTACTGTGCATTGCAGTGAAAGAGTGGCTTAAAAATGAAGATCAAAGAGTTAAAAAGGACGGTGAACGTGAGCTGGTCGCCAGCGGAGCAGTATCCAATTATGCTGGCGGCCGGCACCGCTGCCCAGCAAGTCGATGCATCGTTCAGTTCCAATTCAAGCTTGGAACTATATTCTCTCAATTTGGAGGAGCCTGGAATGGATTTAGAGCTCAAAGCTAGTCTGCAGACACAACATAAGTGGGTGTTTTATTCATCATAACATTTGCAAAGTCAGTATTTAAGTTAAAAACCAACACAAGAAAAGGCTAGATTTTGAAGAGACTTAAAAATGATAACTAATTCCTTATGTATAAAGTTTATTTTAAGATAAAGCTCTTGTAAAATAGATTTTGGTGTTTACAATTAGAAAATATTCAGTGAATGACATATAAATGCAAGTTAATTGAACTAGTAAATTGTTATTACAAAACAATAAATAAATTTTTCAGATTCCAAAAGCTGGTGTGGTCGGGAGCAGGAGTGGTGGTAGGAGGCTGTGATGGAGGTCTACTGCAATTCTACAATGCAGAGAAGCTGCAGACTAGTTCCGCAGATGCACTTGTCGGAAGTAGCTCTAAACACAGTGGTGAGTAGTTATGCTTTACTAATAAAATGATTTTTTTTTTTAAAAGAAGGGGGCAAACCAGCAGTGGGAACACCGAGGTGTTCAATGTTTGAGCATTGCCTAAGAGGAGGCTTACTATAAGTTCTTTGTACCCATAGAAATTTTGTCAAACTGTGCAGTACTCTCCATGATTAAGCTAAGGGCAAAAGAGATAAAATTTCTACTTATTGTAGTTACTGTCCGCATACTACATAATATGACAGTGTTTATGGTTATAATGCAATTTAAAACCATTAAAAATTAATCAACATCAATTGGCTAGTATGGACTCGGCCCACATTACACACAGAGATATGTAGATAGATTTGTCAACCAAAACATTACAAGATAACATTATCTCTTATGTCAAAGCTACTGTAATTGTGAGTCAACTTTTGAACTGATTCTGGCATATTTTATTAATTTTTCATAGATTATATTATACTGTTGCTTGTTTAAATAAATTTTAGTAGGTACAGAAAACAATAAGAATACACAATGCAGTATTTCTGTTCTGTGAATTACGTTTGTACATTGTCTCTGTCATTACAACTCATTAAACTCCTTTAAAACCAAGCACTAATGAAGTTTCCCACAAACCAGGCCACGTGTCAGCACTGGATATTAATCCGTACCAGAAGAACTTGCTTGCCTCTGGTGCATCGGAGAGTGAGATCTTCATCTGGGACCTAAATAACACAAGCCAGCCCATGTCCCCTGGCAACAGGAACCAGCCCTACGATCATGTCCAGGGGCTCGCCTGGAACCAGCAGGTAAATAAACCTCACAAAGGTGTTCATTAAACAACATTGTGTTTTTACACACATTGTGTTATTCTACATGAATTTGCAATATTACTTTTGTTTATTATTTTAAATTTTTTAGGTACAACATATTTTAGGATCAACATTTGCAAATCGCTGTGTCGTCTGGGACCTTAGGAAGAATGAGCCGATCATGAAACTTAGGTAAGTCGATCTAGTGTTTTAAGATGACTTATGCAATACACATATTTTGCCTTTTCTACTTTAATTTCAATGTTTACCTGATAGACACTTCAACATAAAGTTTCCATCTATTGATAATGAGTGCTTGTTTACCTCAATGGATGTTTTATGTGTCCGTGTGCAGTGACGCGCAGTCACGCACGCGCTGGCGCTCGCTGGCCTGGCACCCAGCCGTCGCCACCCAGCTCTGCATCGCATCCGAGGACGACCAGGTGCCCGTCATACAGCTGTGGGATCTCAGGTCAGATATACCTCAAATGACATCTCTAGATCTGTGCAATTCCTAAAATATTTAGACATCCAACTGAACTTACCTGCTTTCCTGCGTGTTCAGATTGGCGGCGTCCCCGCTGGTAACATTGGAGGGTCACGACAAGGGCGTGCTGGCGCTGTCGTGGTGCCGGCAGGACCCCGACCTTCTGCTGTCTGCCGGCAAGGACGGCCGCCTGCTAGCATGGAACCCTAACAACACTAAGCCTGTATGTTACACTTTATCACACTAATATATGCCTATTTTAAGTATTTAATAATTGCCTGACGATTGTGAGGTATAGTATTATGGTGATTTAGTGTTTGTGTTGTGTTGTAGGGCGGTGAGATCGTGGTGGAGGTGTGCCAGGAGGCGGCGTGGACGTTCGACGTGTCGTGGTGCCCGCGCTGCCCCGCGCTGCTCTCCAGCGCCTCCTTCGAGCAGCAGGTGGCGGTGCACGCGCTGCTCGCCGCGCCGCAGCTGCAGACGGTCAGTGGTCCTGCGAGCCGGAGTTGTTACTTACACTGAGGTCAAGAGGAGGAGAAAGAGAAAGTGTATGTGGTGTGTTGTCAGAGCGCGCACAAGCAGAGCAGCATGCTGGAGTCGTTCGGTGTGGCGGGGTCTCTGGGCGCGCTGCCGAGCGTGTCCCGCGCGCCCGCGCACCCGCCCCCGCAGCCCAGCCGCGCGCCCGCCTTCCTGCGCCGCCCCCTCGCCGCTAAGTTCGCGGTAAATATACACACATACAGTCTTCCTCTTCCTTCTATCTAGAAATATATTAACAATAATTACTTGTATATATGCCATTTCAATTTATACCGCGGAGCCGCAGATCTATATCCAGTAAAGTTATTTATATGTATAGTTTTGTTTCAGTTCGGTGGCAAGCTGGTGACTTTCGACAAGTGCCCGCAAGATGTCGGCTCTCAGAAGATGGTCTACATTAGTCAGGTACGAATTAAAATAAATTTAAAATTATTTTGTGATATAATTTTTAAAATCTAATAAACTAGCACACGAGTACATGTTTGTTTATTTGGAGTCTGCATTGAATGATTATGATGTCTGTGTGCGCAGGTGGTGACCGAGCCGGAGCTGGTGGAGCAGGCGGCGGCCCTGGACGGCGTGCTGGGGCTGACGCTGAGCCAGGAGCCGGCGGCGGCGGACCAGCTGGCGGAGTGAGTAGTGCGGCCGAGCTGTGCCGAGGTCCGGTGCAGCATGAGGCAGAGATACAGCATGCGTGTGCGCAGGTACTGCCGGCAGCGCGGAGAGGCGGCCGCCGACCAGCACGACCGCTACGTCTGGTTCTTCCTGCGCGCCAGCTTCCTGCCCACCTTCCGCACTGAAGTCCTCAACCTGCTCGGTATGTACACGATACCATTCACAGATTTCTTCTTTACAAATACATAGTTTTATACCAATTGTGGTTATCGTTGCGCAGGCTTCAAGCAGGACGAGATCCCGGCCAAGTTCAAGAGCACCGCGACACCTGGCGACGCGCCCACCACACTCACCACAGTCAGTACATACACAATCTATCTCAATCATTATTAACTCATTCATTGTAATGGCTCTATCTACAATTTTTTAATCTCACAAACCTATCTCCTTAAATTGGGACTAATCTAAAAGTTCTGAAATATTGATCTCATCGGCTTTTGTGGTTCTTAAGTTAATAGTTCAGTACTTAATAAAGCCTTTTATTGCTAACATTATTCCTCACCTCAATAAGTTAACTGCACGTTGTGTTTGTAAATGTTTTGCAATGAGTACACTAAGTGTCGGGTGTTCCTTGTGTGGGTGTAACGTGTTGCGCGCGCGCAGGGCGACACCGCCGAGACTGAGGCCGAGCTCTCCACCGACACCGCCGACACCAGCGCTGACCTCTCGGTGAGTGCACGCACACACACACACACACATATACATCTTCATTACATATCTATCTTAAACGGACTTATTTTAGTATCGGAGCTATAACAACTTTCCTTACTAAGGTTCGCCTTTTTAATCTTTTCAAATTTTTTCCCTTTATCAATATGCAAATTGGTAATGCTTCACTAGAGGTCGGCTTATGTATTTAAACATATATTATAATGATACAATGGCAAGAAATTATGCAAAATGATAGAAATTATTGTTCTTTGTCGCAGGACGCGCACACACTGATCGAGAGAAAGCTCGCCAACATCGAGCTGTCGCCTCCCGTGTCCGACGTTGTCATACCCAATGCTGAAGGTGTGTGCTTACTTTGATCATTTTAAAGTTTCAATTGGTTTGTATCGATGTTTGTAGTGTGAGACACGACGATATGAAAAGACAATATCACCCTTAATAATTTTATTGATATTTAATAATTTATTTATCGTATGTACAGATCCTTCGAGCATGATCTGCCGCGCGCTGGTGTGCGGCAACGTGGAGGAGGCGGTGGAGCTCTGCCTGGAGGCGCGCCGTGTCGCCGACGCCCTCGTCATCGCCGCCCTCGGTAACACCACCCCGCACCCGCACCCGCACCCGCCAGTGTGCGCCCCCCA